ACACATAGATATTCTCCTAAGGAAGCCAAAATCTCACTTTTACTCACTTAAATATTCAGGTTTGAGGTTTATTAACATTTTAGATTGACCAAGAGCACTGCAGTTGTTCAAAAATAAAGTTTATCCTCAAAAATACAACTTGCCTAATAATTCTGCACACAGTGTAAAGCTGTGCTTCTTGAGTACCATTTGAAGGGTGAGTTTGGGTCGCTGCACAGCAACCTCCGAGGGTGCAGCAACTCTGTGAGGAACTGCAGAGGAGCCAGCGACAGTTGATGCAGGGACTGATAAGGTGGCAGATCTAACTGTCTGTCTGTTCTGGATGTGTCTGAGGAAACAAGAAAAAGAACTCTCATAATTTAGTTAAAGATGTTTGTGGGTTTTGTTTAATTTGTAAATGTATTACTACATGACAACCACTTGTCAAATAGTTTTACCTGTCTCTTCAGCTGTAGTAACAGATTAATTTTTACTGGTTTCATTCCTCATTTTAATGAACTCTATTATTACATACAATCTTGTGGTGAATCATTCAAATTTACCAATCCAGTTTACCGTTTGACTGGGAAATCCCGAGAGCAGAACTGCGCCACACCAAACAAAGACATCTGACCCCAATTTTGGAGTGGACACTTTTCAATCTGTAACAAAACACATTTAAGATATACCAGGATACATACTTATTACTTCATTGTGATACTGACCTATGATGAAAGATACACCTTGTGATAGAGTTCATGCCACTTTTTTTGCCTAGGAGCTGGCCTATTTCCTGTATGACTGGGCCAAACTCCTGTGGCAGCAAACCTCCTTAGCCGGGACATCCATTCACTGTCATCCATGGCACGGTGCTGTTTCAAGGCCATCCGTGGTTTGAATGAGAAGTAAAAATATGACAACATATCAGCTCCCCTTGAAGTGCCTATGGTGTACCTGGACCACAAAATTAAAGTAGTTCAAACTGTATGAACCATTTTTACTAGTGATGCACGATATGAAAAATTTCAACCGATACCGATAACCGATAATTTTCTTCTTCTCATGGCCGATACCGATACCGATAACCGATAAATTCATATTTTTACATTTTTTATAATCTTCATATAATCTGCAGTTTGTGCAGGATGCAGCCATTGAAAACTGATATTTTTGTTGCTCTGGCCTATCTAGAACAACAAACAAAAGTTTTTGGCTCTTCAAATGTGGTCATTTGCTATAAATAACAATAACAGAGCAAAAAGCAGAACTTCATTTGATCCCCTGAACTGTTCAACAGAACTGTAAACTGTAAAGGAGCCATTATGAGCCGTTAGGCTTAGCATGCTGACCGGACTAACATCTGACGTCCATATGTCTGTGGTAAAACTCACGTGTAGTCCGTTCTTGTCGATCAGGTTGTGAATGTTTGTGGCGACAATATCACAGAGTGCAGGAAGAGACACATCCGAGAAGAAGCGGCGGCTTGGGAGAGTGTAACGTGGCTCCAAGTGTGCTATGAACTTACGAAAACCCGGGTTCTCAACGACGGAAAAAGGCTGGTCGTCGACCGCTATGAATTCCATCACTTTGTCGTTAATGGCTTTAGCCTTTTCGCTGTCTCTTGAGAAGCTTTTGCAGTTTTTAAACGCCTGCTGAATGGGGACATCGATCCTCCGTAGTGTTGTTGTCTTAGCTTTAGTACCGCTAGCAGCTTCGGCGGCTGTCTCATATTCTTTTAATACTGCTTCGCCGCGATGGCGACTTTTCAGATGAGCTATCAGATTCGTTGTGTTAAAACTTGACGTCTTCTTTCCTCCTCTTGAAATCCTCGCTGAACAGGTTTTGCATATAGCAATGCTGTTGTCATCTTCTGCCACTGAGAGAAACGACCATGCTAGTGAAGACATTTTATTATCTGTCAGGCAGTGACGGGGTCAGGCTTGGGACCTGCGAGTAAAGCTTGATAGAGGACGTGACCAGCGCGTCTCGGACGGGCGGCTACTCCGCCTGCAAACGTTACTCGTAATTTCATTAATATATCGGATCTTTCTATCGGAAAAATGCACCTATCGGACCGATAAAAAATGACGTAATTTCCCCCCAAATCGGCCAATATTTTATCGGTCCGATAAATATCGTGCATCCCTAATTTTTACATGTGTCATTTTTGGGTTTTGTTTTGGTCACTTGCACAATCACCACAGAGGGCACTTTAGGTAAATAGGCAGGTAGACTTTACATAAGAAGCACAGTTGAGGCAGTAATTAAAACTCAGGTGAAGATAGTCACTACACAAACAATAATTAAATATTACAGAATATGCCTAAAATACATTTAATCAGTAGTTTGGTGATTGAGAGGCACATTTTCTGTGTGAAAATATTAACTGTAATTCACAACATTCCACAAAGGTTTAAACGGTTGAAAATGGTAATGCTTGTGACAGGGATTATAAATTTGGTAAATATCTACCAGACACCATTACTATTGCGAAAGAATATACAACAAGCTACTACATCTATGAATTTAAACAGTACATTATCATTTCATGACCTGATGAAGGGCTTTGCAACATAAAATACGTGAAAAATATATTCTTAGACACATCAACACTTTTCAGGCTACAAAGGAGAGCTTCAGCTGTTTGTTTATTTGTTTGTTTGTTTTGCTTTCATCACAACACTGTGCGTGGTAAATGTATGTGATTTAGGGTGTTTTATTATTTTCCGAACTCAATTCATTTTCAGTGACTAAGCCATCAAATAGGCAATCTACCGTCATGGGGACGTGTTCGACGAGGGTACTCCGGGATATGTCACTGTTTTCATTACAGCCATCACATTGTGCTGCGTTATTGTAGAGGCTAAATACATAGGCCATGAGCCAGGGGGGTTGGTCGGTATCAACTGAGGGGAATAATGCTCATAGTGATTTTTGACATTGTATACATGTATAGAGTTAGAAAATATTTGATAGCATTGCAGCAGTGGTAGCTAAATGGGTGCTATCATGCATTTTATTTTATAACACTAGGCGAAAATTACATGGGTCAATATATGAAAACATACAACTTAACCCCCCAAAAAACCTATAGAAAGGGTTTCATTTTACCATCCATCATTTCTATAAGGTTTCTAGACTAACATAAGTCCTTTGAAATCCCAGTTGGAAAAGTATGTTAATTTCGCCAGACAACAATACGCAAATGAGCTCAAAACTCATTAAAATTTGCCCAAAATACTCCTTTTCCCCTGAACTATTATCACAGTGAAACAATTATCACAGTGAAAGCACATCGAAAGAGGGTGATGGCAATGCTGCTTTTGGACTGGCCTCTAACCTGAAAACTGCCCGGCTTGGTTGTACCTACCAGGGGTATAACCCCGGCTGGTGTAGTCTTCAGGGTCACTGAGGCACACAAGCCTCCCCACCACGACAAGGTAGCAACAAAAGGGGAGGGTGTTTTTTTATTTATTTATTTATTTTTTTGTATGTTTATTTTTGCCTGGATCCTCGCCACCTTCTCTACATGTCAGTTCCTGGCTTGTTCTTTGCTTTGTTCTGGGACAGAGTTAAACCAAGAAAGGTGGTTTTGGTGTATATCCCTATGTTTGCCGTTCAGGAATAGTGTAGGCCTGAATCTCTCCAATTCTCACTTATACAGATCATACTTTTGACAACTATACGTTCACAACCTAATAATCAAAATCATTTTCATCAACTTCTTCCATGTCTTCTTCATCTGAACTTTCCACACTGTCTGAGGTGGATGCTTGGATCTTACAGTCTGCCAGTCTACACATGTCAGTACACTCGAGGCCATTTGCAATACAGACACATTTTGGGAGAGAACATTTCTTTGGACAGTTACAGGCCAGTAGATCCAGGACCGCATCAGGTGCTGGCTGGCCGTCCATCCATTGTACCACCAACTGTTCAGATTCACCTTCTGTCTCCATTTTCCACCCTCTGCCAACAGGGCTTGGCTAATGTGGGTATTGCTCCAGGCATCTTCTCCATATACCAGCCTGGTAATTTGCTCGCTGTGCATGTTTTGTTAAACAGTCCTTGCAAGGTGGGAGTTGATGACTTTCAATTTCACCTTTTTTGGCACAGAAAAGGTGATACCTGAGCTCATTGATCTTGATGGTTGGTGCTTTGGGGGCATACATGAGACATGTAAATGCATGCATGTAAATCCATTTAGACTGACTCAGGCCAGGTGTGAGTGTGACAACTTAAATCACAGCAGGAATAAAGTAGAAATATCTAGCCTATGCATTACTTACCATGTTTTATGTATTAAAATGTTTAGGTTGTGTACAAATTAAACCTTTGTGTTAAATCTTTCATGAAAACGGAAGACATATATTGTCACTATGTTGTCGCTGCTTATAAGAGAAAAAAACAATAGTACCCGCTAAACGGGCTCACTTCGCCCTCCAGTGGCGTAATTGTGAAACAAACCGTTATGAAAACAACGCCGAAGAGAGAGATTATACCGAACTGAACTGAATAGATGTGTTTTCAATTAGACTGAACTGGGAAAATGTGTTCATAGACAAACAATAAGTGATACGTTTTTCTAATTTTAATTTGTCTCTGGACCGAGGGGAGGGCCATGAAACAGTAAGAAAGCGTGGTACTAACACTGACGAAAACCAAGTGGACTCAAACTCACCGTGTTTTTCCCGGGAATGGAGCGGCAGGGAAAGGTAGCAGAAACGAAGCTTTTATAGACATTTAAGGTGTTTATAAGCAATTAATGGACAATGTGTTTATTCATGTGTATTTAATATGGTGTGAGACCCTGGTGTAAACTTAAAAACAAGTATAGCTCGCCACTACAACGTTTTTTTGCTGTTTTTTTTTTCTTTTTCAAATGTAAAGACTTCCTCGTGGTCGCCGTGCAGCAGAGTGGCGCAGCGGAAGCGTGCTGGGCCCATAACCCAGAGGTCGATGGATCGAAACCATCCTCTGCTAGCTATTTTCTCGTCCTCAATTCATATAAGCCTGTGAGTTCAGGACTCCTCTTCCGATTCACTGTCTATTTCAGGTTTTACGTTAGCTACTTGCTTCGTGGCTTTACTAGTTTTTACGTGTGTGGCGTTAGACTGAACAACGACAGTGAAACTTCTATACCTCACATATCTATTCAGTTCCAGAATTCGAGTGACATTTTATTTGTAAGGTGGTAGATAAGTAAGATTAGTTCTTATTAGAGACAGTAATGTAGTTTACAGTGAGAGGTTCTGTAATGGATTTTATACTTAACCTGCACATGTTATCGAGGTCTGTTATAGTCTTTATAATAGAAAAAGAGAAATACCTTAAAATACTGAAACCAGACTGAGAACAAGCATGTTTTTTTAAGACACAATAAAATTATTGTGCTGTCTTTGCACTGTTTTCTATTAAATGTGGGCTTTGAATGATCTGCGCACCATCAGATACAGTTTCTATTAATATTTTATAAAGCACTCTGGCTTTTGTGGAATAAAGGATGTAACAACAGCTATTGCTGTCCAAAATCTGCTGACATGCTTCATAAAACTTTTCTTCAGCTGCAAGAGTCAGTTTATTTCTAGGCAGTGTGACAACTATATTACACAGTCTCAGGCTGTGTGTCCAAAGAGTTTGCTGTTTTGAACCTCATCTTAGCGCTGCAGGTGGACACACTGACATTATCTCTCTGCATACACTGTGAAGTCAGGGCTGGACCTGAGTGTGAACTTGATCAGACATTTCTAATTCTCTGTTAGAAACTTACCAGCAACTCTTCATTTTTTGTTTCTTAATTTTGTTTCTGAGACATGAGCTGATAGATGTAAGTTACCAACATCGTTTTTGATAAGGTTTAAATGTTACTTTCAAAAGACAGCTAAAGACCCAGCTCTCTAGCTTAAAGAACACTATGAACTTAGCTAGACCATTCTCCACTGTTGACCTTGACTTACTTGACTTAACTTAGGTCGCAACGCGGCGAGAGTGAACATGGTTGCGCCAAACGTCACGATCCTTCATCAGTGAAGCTAGCTCGCTGGCACTCTTCGCTCCAGTATCCTTCTTTAGGGTATCCACGTACGATGTTCGTGGCCGCCCTCTATCTCTGTGGCCATGCTTTAGCTCCCATAGCAAGACTTTCTGGGTGCTCAGCTCAGGGTGGTGGTGGCAGTGTCCTGCAAGCTGGAGTCTCTTGGCTGCTATCTTGTCAGCGACTGCGGGCAGTTCGCCGTAAAGCACTTCATTGGTTGTGTGTGAGCTCCAGTGTACATTTAGGACCCTGCGTAGCATGTGTGTGTAGGTACCATTGACCACAGTTGGTTAAATGAGTCTTCCAGCTACAGTTGACTTGCACTGTCCTGCTCTACTTTGGGAACTGAAGTTTAGCGCTTGAGTCACCCAGATGCTTCATTGTAGATGTTCCTTATTTTATTGAGAAAAAAACATGTTTTTACTATTGTACATTGAGTTTTACACAGCATGGCAGTACAGATGTCCAAATGGACTTGAAGCACATATTGCTCTTACTGAACTTGTTTCCGCTTGTCTAGATTTTTGTGTGTTGTTCTTGTTCTCGTATGTATGTTACTTTATATAAAAGCGCCTGCTAAATGACATTGTAACATTGTTGTGGGAGGATTTGAGTTAGCTGTTTATCTCCAGTTAACAGACAGCTCAGATCAGCCCCTGAGAGCTTCAGACAAACACAGATTTTATTTAGAGTGTAAACTTGATTGAATCCCAGAGAGAAGGAGAGCTCTGAGGGAAAAAACTTGAGTCAGTTTCTCCCACAGCTCAGAGAGTAAAGAAACAATGTTTGTAACAAACTCCAGGCTCTATCTTTCATAAACTGGAGGACTGAATCACTGACTTTTAGGTCTGTTTGTTCCTGTAAATCTGAGACAACAGTCACAAAGTGATCATCAAGATTTATGGACAGGAATCATGAAAACAGCAGTGAGTGTCAACACTAAAAAAAGGTGAGGACCAGTGTGTATGTTAAGAGTTACACAGTCCCTAAACAGTCCTCTTAGCTCAGTCCCTGTGCCCCCCTGGTGTGTGGTCCACAGCCTGTGGCGGACTGCTGGTGAGTCCTGAGATTGCAGATCCAGGCAAACTTCCTCCCACAGCGCTCACAGCTGAAAGGTTTCTCCCCGGTGTGAACCCTCTGGTGTTTCTTCAGGTTTCCTGCTTCAGAGAATCGTTTTCCGCAGGTGTCGCAGCAGAAAGGTTTCTCCCCTGTGTGGACTCGTTCGTGGGCCTCCAGGTTGGACAGACCACTGAACGCTTTCCCACAGGCTCTGCACACATAGCTCTTCCTGCGCCGCTCGCCAGGCCCAAGGCTGAACTCAAGGCTACTATTGTGGCAGGAGAGGAGGTTGGCTTGATGCTGTGCTGGGATGTTAATGTTGACAGAGGCTGATGTGGATCCTCTGACAGGTGGAGCCTCTGAGGAGTTCAGAGTCCTGCAGGAGGAGCTGACGCTGGAGAGTGTGGTCTGTGCCAACGTCCTGCTCTTGATCCGGTGGAGTTGGGTGTTCCTCATCAGGGCAGAGGCTCTGCTCCATGGAGGCTGAGTGGGCGGAGTCTGTAGCCTCAGGGGGGTGGGCACAGATGGACCTGCTGACAGAGCTGTGAAGAGAGAGAGAGAGCAGAGAGTGAGAACAGCAGCATTAACACTATCATCCATGATAGTTCACAGGACGTTTGAACAGACACTAAACTCTCCATCTCTCTCTCTCACCATCTGATTGGCTCTGCTGGACTTTGCTACACTTGCCCACAGAGCTCAGTTCTCCACTCAGCCTCGTGGTTGCCCCGTGTGGCGTCTGAACTGCATTCTGAGCCTCTCCCTCCACGATGATGACCCCATCCTTCTCACGTTCTGCTGAGTCATCATGAGGGAAGGACCCGGGGCCCCTGGGGGGTGACGCAGAGTCGGGGTCAGGGGCCCAGCGGGTGAAGAAGGTCTCCAGGTCAAACAGGGAGTACTCAGATCCCATGGGGTTCCTGCTCCTTTGCTCCAAGTTCGGAACAGGGTCCGGGATTGCCAGCTGGACCGATGCCGTGCTGCCAAGGTCATGTGACCTCACAGGGGTCAGCTGAGCCACAGCAGACTGCAGAGGAGAGGAAGAAGATACAGTGTCATTGCTTCAGGCTGCTGCAGACCTTGTGTAATCCTGATTTTAGCTTTTTAGATTAAAAACAGAGTCAAACCTTTCAACAGAAGTCTGCACAGGTGAGACAAGTGTAATATACACCTAAGCATAGTTTAACACAGCTCTCCCTCATAATCCATGCTCACTCCCACCAACCCTGTTTCCAGCTGAGGCCAGATTCCCTTTACTTTTACTGGAGCACTTTCACCGTTCTCTTCTATTTGTGTGCTGTCTGTGAACAGGTTGATAAAATGCTGAACATAAACATGATGTCAGCCAAAGAGACATCTAAAATTAAAGACTTCTCTGAAGTCAGAGTGAATCCACTGAGACATTTTTGAATATTCCGATATAATCTTAGGCTTTTGAAGGAGCCCAGACGAACCCTTGTAAGTGGTTCTCACAGGACTGACCAGACATCTTCACTGTATCTCCACAGCAACATCTTCCTCTGACAGCAGGCTGTGGTCAGACAGCTCATGTATTATGTCCTGCTGTGTTTTAGGGTACAGTCCTGTAGCTCTGAGGGAATCAGACTCTCTGCCATCTCGTCCTGATTGATCAGAGTCTGCAGAGTCAGTCTGAGCAGAAACATCTAGAGGGTTCACAGGTGTCTCTAACCTGATTTCACAGAGCAGGTCACCTGTATCTCTTCCCTCCAGTCTGTGATAATGAATACAAAGACATGACATGCTCTGATTCATGCTCAGACAGTTTGAAGCTCCCTTGCTAGGTTATTTCCCCTCCTGATTTCATACAGTTTGACTCAGCTCCTGCTCTTAATCTGACTGTTGGTACTTGTTTATGTTTCAGATGCTTGCGCACACACCAAAGAATGACCGTGGAGCTCTCTTATTTTATCTCTGCACATCTGCTGTCCTGTTTCTAAACCTAAAAAAAGTCTCTGCAGCTCCTCTCAAACTCCAGACAGACGTCTCATCATTGTGACTGTAAATATTTCAATTATCATTATTTTTATTCATATCAGCCATGTATATGCAAGACGCTTAGGGAGTTTCAATGGAAACGGCCCAAAATAATTGCTCTGTGAAAAAGATCTGATCTATAACCCACAGATCTTTAACCTTTAGATCTGTAGCCTATGTACCTACATGTCTATAACTCTTTTGTGTTAATAAATACATGGTTAAATGAGTTATTCAGTAAATGGTTGGTGCTTATATTGTGTCACAATTCTGTAATGGGTGATTTGGAATAAAAACATAAATTCACATGTTGATTTTGTTAAAAAGTTTAATCATGTTTATAACAAACTGTAAACATGGAGACTTTACAAAACTGTGACACAATAAAAAAAATCAAATAACATTAACAGTGTACGGTTTCATTTTTACAGACTAATAAAGACAGAATTATTCCTGTTGGTAAAGAGACAAAAATAAAAACGTATTTCAGCTCCTGAATCTGTTAGACTGCCTCAGCTGGAAGAACAGGATTCAAAGCATAAGAGCATGCACACTATGCACTGTCTCAGATTTCTCTTGACTTATTTGAGATATAGAAGTTTGTCTTTTACAGTTTCAATCTTTCCACTCGTTATCACTCAGAATCCTCAAACTTGGCCTCTTTATTTCCTTAAACCAACAGTTTATCAAAAATTATTCAAATTGTAAAATGTTGATAAATATTTGACGTTACATATTATTAAGAGATTGATAGAATCTGGGGAAATCTCTGTAAAATAGAGGCAAGGACCAAAACCTGGAGACCGGATGGTCCTGATCTTTGTTAAAATGGTCACAGGACTCTGGAGTGGAAATCATTTCCAAAAAACATTGTCTGTGAACATAGTTCATCACTGCATCCACAAATGAGGTTCAAACTGAACCATGAAAAGAGAAAACCAGATAGAAACTGGATCCAGAAACACCAGAGACTTCTCTGGACCTAAGTCCATTTAAGGTGGACTGAAGGGAAGAAGAAAACTGTCCTGTGGTCTTATGAATCAAAACCTGGCCTTGAAGCATTGAATATTTCAGACACATACCAACTATTTTAACAGGATGGCTCTGCAGTAGAGTTCTGCTGCCTCACATGTTCCTGTATCATCTTTTAAAAAATGTTTTGCTAAAATTTAAAATGAGCACATATCAAATTTTGTTTTTATTAACATTTTACTGAGCGTCAAGATTTTTTTTTGTTAATATGGTTATGATTGTCATGTGTTAACATTGAACTCGTCCCTCTGATGCTTATCACAAACACTGCTGAATTCATTCTGGCTCTTCATCAAGGTTTTTCTGTCACTTTTAAACCTCTTGTCCATTAAATTCAAATAACAACTTAAGAAAAGTCTATCCCGTTTAAAGTTGGACTTTGGTCTGAAAAAGAGAACATGTTAAAAATAAGAATCAGAGTTACTGCAGAATCATCTCCTGAATAAAACCTGTGTCCATCTCAAACACAGACCCGAGTGTCTCACTGAAGGAAACAGACACGCGCCTGAATTTGTGATTTGTGAGTCTGTAATTATACAGCACCAGTCTCAAGTTTCTGCAATTTAACAGCCTGCTGATATTCACAGTTTCAGGAGATCAGACTTTAACCTGTTTCTCTCTGTAAGTGATCATTCAGCCTGTTTCAGTTTATGGACTGTGGTGTCGGGTTTAAAATGTGGGGCTGCTCCCCTGCAGGTGGTTTGAGACCTGTGCACAGGTCACTCTGAGCTCAGAGATGTCTCTGTCTATGTCTGTGGGTGGTGTCTCTTTTGGTGCTTCTTCAGGTTGCTGGGGTCGGAGTATTTTTCGGGGCACAGCGGGCACTGGTACGGTCTCTCTCCGGTGTGGATGTTCCTGTGGATCTTCAGGTTCCAGAACTGGGTAAACTTTTTGCCGCAGATGTTGCAGCCATATGGTCGCTCCCCTGTGTGAGTCCTCAGGTGAGATTCCAGGTTAGCCGGGGAGCAGAAGCCCCGCCCACAGAACCTGCAGGCACACACCCTCCTCCTGGAGGTCTTCTGCTGCAGGTCAGTGTTGCTGTGCCCCCCCTGAGCCCGAGCTGGACCACGATCTGGGTCCGGAACCCGATCTGCAGCCTGGGCAGGGCTAGACTCTTCAGACAAGTCAATAACAGGAAGCTGTTGCTGAAAAGACACCACACTGTGGAAACCACCTGAACCTTCAGCAGCCAATCCCCTCACTGCACCACCCTGCTCTGCTCCAATCAGAGCATCTGGCAGGTAGGACAGGGGGGCACAGTGAGGGGATGGCCCTGGTAGACTGTCGTCATGGCAATAACCAACCCCATTGGTCCACAGTGAGGAAGCACTATAGCTGACCTCTGAGAAGCCCCGCCCATTCTCCTGCAGGTCTGATAACTGATGAGTGGACATCTGTGCGGTTTCATCAAAAGGCAGAGCCGATCTGAAATCATCAGTGCTTGACTCCACCAGACCTAAAAAGATAGAAGGAGAAACCATGAGAAAGGGAGGATTAAAGGGGGTGAAATATGAGGGTCTTCCCTGAAAAAAATCATTGTCTGGATGGCAGCAGATGTTGCTCCTAAACCTGTAGCTATTGTTCAGCATTATTGGAGCCTTCACAGATGTGAAAGTTACCCATGGCATGGACTCTGATGATCCCTATACCATCAGGGATGCTGGCTTTGGACTGGGAGCTGAAAAAAAAGCTGTGTGGACTCTCTGTCCTTCAGAGTAAAAAGTACAGTGTCCATGATTTCCGAAAAGAATGCCAGGTTTTGATTGATGAGACTACAGGACAGTTTCCCTCTTTCCCTCATTCCATTTTAAATAGACTTAGGTCCAGAGCATAGACTGTATATACAATGAACAAAAATATAAATTTAACACTTTTGTTTTTGCTTCCATTTTTCATGAGCTAAACTCAAAGATCTAAGATGTTTCCTATGTACACAAAAGACCTAATTCTCTAAAATACTGTTGACAAATTTGTCTAAATCTGTGTTAGTGAAAACTTCCCCTTTGCTGAGATAATCCATCCACCTCACAGGTGTGGCATATCAAGATGCTGATTAGACAGCATGATTATTGCACAGGTGTGCCTTAGACTGGCCACAATAAAAGGTGCAGTTTTACTGTATTAGGGGGAGGGTTTGGAAAACCATTCATTATCCGGTGTGACCACCATTTGCCTCACACAGTACAACACATCTCTTATCCATAGAGTTGATCAGGGTGTTGATCGTGGCCTGTGGGATGTTGGTCCACTCCTCTTCAATGGCTGTGCAAAGTTGCTGGATATTGGCAGGAACTGGAACACGCTGTCTTATACACTGATCCAGAACATCCCAAACATGCTCAATGGGTGACATGTCCAGTGACTATGCTGGCCATGCAGGATCTGGGATGTTTTCAGCTTCAAGGAATCATGTACAGATCCTTGCAACATGGGGCCATGTATTATCATGCTGTAACATAAGGTGATGGTCACGGATGAACGGCACAACAATGCGTCCCAGGATCTCATCACGGTATCTCTGTGCATTCAAAATGCCATCAATGAAATGCAACTGTGGTCACTGTCCATAACATAGGCCTACCAATACTATAACCCCACCGCCACCACGGGCCACTCAATTCACAACACTGACATCAGCAAACTGTTCACCCACATGACTCCAAACACGCTGTCTGCCCTGTACAGTGAAAACCAAGATTCATCCGTGAAGAGAACACCTCTCCAAAGTGCCAGATGCCATCGAATATGAGCATTTTCCCACTCAAAAGTCAGTTATGATGACAAACTGCAGTCAGGTCAAGACCCCAATGAGGACGACGAGCATGCAGATGAGCTTCCCTTAGACGGTTTCTGTCAGATTGTGCAGAAATTATTTGGTCATGCAAACCAATTGTTGCAGCAGCTGTCCAGGTGGCTGGTCTCAGATGATCTTGGAGGTGAAGATGCTGGATGTGGAGGTCCTGGGCTGGTGTGGTTACACATGGTCTGTGGTTGTGAGTCTGGTTGGATGTACTGCCAAATTCTCTGACACGCTCTTGGAGATGACTTAAGGTAGAGAAATGAACACTCAATTCCCGGGCAACAGCTCTGGTGGACATTCCTGCAATCAGCATGCCATTCCCACGCTCCCTCAAAACTTGTGACATCTGTGGCATTGTGCTGTGTGATTAAACTGCAGCTTTTAGAGTGGCCTTTTATTGTGGCCAGTCTAAGGTACACCTGTGCAATAATCATGCTGTCTAATCAGCATCTTGATATGCCACATCTGTGGGGTGGATGGATTATCTCAGCAAAGGAGAAGTTTTCACTAACACAGGTTTAGACACATTTGTCAACAATATTTGAGAGATATGGGTCTTTTTTGTACATAGAAAAATTCTTAGATCTTTGAGTTCAGCTCATGAAAAATGGGAGCAAGAACAAAAGTGTTGCATTTATATTTTTGTTCAGTGTAGAATGGACACCGTCTGCCTCCTCGCTGGGTGAAGCCACTACAGCACCCTCTCGTGATGGACTGCAGTATAGTATGTAGTTACTGTAAGACTGGTTTTGCTCAAAGTCTTTTTTCTTTGCAGCTCCATTTTTAAAAGTTTTTAGGGGGTTCATATTTTCTATGATGGGCGTATGAGGATTGCATAGCTCACCAGGGGGACACGCTGTTTGAGCCGAGCGTCATTACAGCAACTCTTGGCGACTCTCCAACTGAATGCTTACAACGCCACTGCGCAAGTGGTGGAGTGCGTACAACGCTATCTATCTATCTTTCTATCTAGAGTCCTGTCTGCAGTTCTGCCTGAGAGCTTGATCAGGATCATCTAGTTTGTTTTGGTTCTTGTCTTTTTTGTACAGAGATTTCTGTAATAGCAAACTATCAAAATCAGTTTTCATCAACGCGCTCCAATTTCTTAAGATTTTGCTAGCAAAATATATGATATAAATTGCAAAAGATTGCAAGTCACAGTCAAAATATTAAAATTAGTTCTAACAGCACATGTGCCCTTCGTAGGTGACCTCTGACTTACCCTCCTGGATGCTGAGGCTGGTCTGACTCTGAGACCCCACCTTCACTACCTCAACCTCCTCCACCTTTACCAACACCACGTCCTCCTCCTCCTGCAAACACACACGGACAGAGACAGAGAGACATCTGATGTTAGAGCATGCACACACACAGAACAGCAGTATGACAACAGAAAACATAGTGAAGAGGCAAAACATATATTATTGATTTTGAAGAAAATTATATTCAAGGTTAAAGTCCACATAATATATGACCCAAAACAAGAGAGACTGCAGAGGGAGATAATTAATCTGCTGTTATTGGTTTCAATTAATCCTGGCCAATAACATGGAGCACATAATTAAAAGCTGGATGAGATTCAACATTTTGAAAGTTTATTTTTGTTTTGAAGTCAGACTGTTAGAGACTCAGACAGTTAAAGACTTAGACTGTTATAGACTCAGACTGTTAAAGGCTCAGACCTATGTATACTAAGACTAGTTTTAGTTTAGACTGTTATAAACCCAGACTGTTATAGACAGTTATTTGCTAAGACTGTTATTTACTCAAAATGTTATAAGCATAAATTGTTATGGACTCCCACTGTTATAAGCATAAATTATTATAGACTCCCACTGTTACAGGCTCAGACTGGTATTGACTGTTTCAAGCTCAGACTGTTGGAGACTATTATACGCTCAGACTGTTATAGAGTTAGACTGTTATAAGCTTATACTATTAAAGGCTCAGACTGTCGTAAGAATAGAATGTTATAGACTCCCATTCTTACAGGCTCAGACTTTTATAAACTATTACATGCTCAGACTGTGGTAGGCCCAGACCGTTATGTGCTTAGAATGTTACAGACTACAACTGCTACAGGCCTAGACTGTTGGGGACTATTATACATTCAGACTGTCATAGACTCAGACTGTTATAGGCTCAGACTGTTGTAAGCATAGACTGTTATAGACTCTGACTGTTACAGGTTCAGACTCTTATAAACTATTACATGCTCAGACTATGGTAGGCCCAGACCGTTATGTGCTTAGAATGTTACAGACTACAGCTGCTACAGGCTTAGACTGTTGGGGAATATTATACGTTCAGACTGTCATAGACTCAGACTGTTATAGGCTCAGACTGTTACAGGCTCAGAATATTAAACACTCAGAATGTTACAGGCTCAGACTTTTTGACAGTTACAGACTCAGACTGTTTTTGACTGTGACAGACTCAGACTGTTTTTGACTGTTACAGACTCAGTGTTTTTGACTGTTACAGACTCAGACTGTTATAGACTTAGACTATTGTGAGCTTAGATTTTTATAGGTTGTTATAGACAACGACTGTCATTGGCTCAGACTGTTATAAATTGGGACTGTTATCGACTTAGACTCTTTTAGACTCAGACTGTTAAAGACTGTTGTAGGCTCAGACTATTATAAGTTAAGACTGTTATAGGCTGTTATAAACTCAGAATGTTATAGGCTCAGACTGTTATAGACTCAAACCATTTTGGGCTCAGACTACACAAAAATCTGAGCCCAAATTTCTGCTCAATAATAAATTAAAAAATCAGTTCATTACCTCAGAATCAACACTGTGCCATGTATTATGTTATGGATACCACCCTGCTTTTCTATAAATGTAGTAAAATCGTGTGCCTGAAATGGAGTATTTTGAGTGTCCAGAGTCTGAGGCTGTTGTTTTTGGTGACAGTGCAACTTCTGGATGATTTTAAAACACTAACTAAGGTTGTGTTCACCCAAATACCACTTCTATCAAACTTTGAGCTTTGAGGGTTATCACACCCAGAGACAGAGGCTAACACCTGAAAGGTCTATGAAACTGAAATAGTAATGCAGTATATTCGCAGTGTAGTTTTAACAAACCAAAAATGCATTTGTTTGTACAGAAAGAACAAAGTTTCTTGAAAGCAACATTTGAAGACTGAATCTTTATTTATAGTACAAAAATGGAAACATGATAAAAGCTGAGGTCCTAATCAGACAAATACAAAAAGAAATGTCACAAAGTACAACCTCAGTGAACCTTAAGACTCACTGCTATAACTGCATAAATTCAAAGGGACATGTCACATGCCTTCGAATGCAAAAACAGGTAAAGACAGCTGACAGAGAAAGCAGTGCCGTAAACTCAGGTGGCCCAGAAGCAGCTCACAGTAACTCTGCAGAATGAGGGGGAGCTACTCCATCCAAAAAGACAAGGCTTAATTTCAAACCATTTCAAGCGCCAAAAAATATATACACCGCCGATCTCATTCAATGTCTCATGGTGAAACACACGAGATCTCGTGAGATCTCATCCAATCTCGCGAGAAATGTTGGTAATATCGCAAGCACTTCTCCTCCGATGGCAGCAGCGGATTGGATCCAGTGGGTGCTGTATGCTTGCGTATTTGATCTGCCTGCCGGTCCGGAGCGGACTGGAGCTGCATGCGGCAGAATCCCTGGGTAACTCTGAGCATTAAGCAACAACTTCCTGCTCATACAGTTAAACAGCAAAGAGTTTCTACAAGTGGGTAAGTCTGTCTGTATCTGGAACTCTGTGATATTAAAGCTAGTGTGTCCTTACAAAGACACCACACCAAATGCAAACTGTTGCTCAACACAACTCACTGCTGCCAAAACAACAGGCTCAACACACAATGCTATTTTTTTGATGGGCATTCAGTAACTTGGCAACATTGTTCCAAGTTCACATTCACACAAATGATTTTCAGAGCTGAAAATGGTCATCAACGACTCTGATTTCAATGTGGTATTTGTGGTAAAGATAATTTGGTTTTAAACAATTGATTTCACTATGCGTTATGTCTCCTATCACAAAATACTGTGAGCAGGACACTGAGTCAAGTTTACAGTCAGATCTGCAGTAGACCCTTTTAACATTGGTTCACTTTCACGTCCCACTCCAATGGTTTTTTAAAAAATATTATTTCTTAAAGTGTTTTCAGTAGTCTTTAAGTAGTGATTATGAAGTTTTTAGTTAAAATCACGTTAACTGTGTCATATTTAAGGGCTTTTCTTTTGCAGAGCTCCAGTAGCTCATTAGGAATTCATTAACCTCTGAGTCGTGGGCGGAGACAGCGCTACTCTGCACACTCCTCTTCATGCTAGCTTGTAGCCTAACATTGCTTGTGGAGCAGAAGTAGCAGGTAACATAGGAGCTATTCGGCTCTCGAACACTAATGTCTTTAGGGACATGATAAAGGGTAATATTATAATTAGCTTTCTTACGAGGATTGCAATCCGCTAACGCACACGCTTGTTCCGCGATCGTCCTCTATTTCTCAGAGTGTGGCTTGCATAGTGAGGCTCCGGGGGCGGAGCTTGGATTTGCTACGTAGGAAATCTCACTGTGTCTGAGCCTGCTGTTTGGATCTGCCAGAGATTTAAATGCAATTTTGCACTTTGTTCTCTCATGATATGTCCTATAGCATCAGAAAAATGCCATGTGAACATGTAGACAACAAGAAAAACATGATTTTCATCAGAGTGGGTATTCAAACTGTATCAAAATTTACCTATAGTCAGAGAGGTTACAGATAACTTTTATGTTGCTTGCTGATCTTCCTCCCATCCTTCGCTCTGTTGAGGAGTGCAGGCGCTCAGGAGGGATTTATCAACTGTATAGAGTCCATTTTCAGGATCCACACCCTCACTGTGGAGCTGAGAGGGTGCAATCACATCCTTGTGTCTGCTGCTGTGCTTCCTCTCAATGTGCTTTTTCAGATTTCGTTTGTTTAGCAGGATCTGACAGATGGGACACTGAATCTGGAGCACCGGCTTTACACGCAGCCTCTTCACCTGAGTATCAGGGGGTTCAGGTGCAGAGGCCGTTACTGTGGGGGAGGGTGTCAGAGCTGTTGTGGTGGTTGGAGCTGGCAGGTGTGCTTTGGTCATCGTACATGGTGTGGTGGTGGTAGCAGTAGCTGAGGAGGTGGTGTTTGAGGCGTCTGTTTGTGCAGGGTCAGGCTGAATTGAGGCTTTGTGCTTCTGACTGCAGAAACCCAGGTGATTCTTAAAGTCTGATTTGCGTGACAGAGTGGACTGACAGTGGACACAGTGATAATGAAGCTGATTCCGACAACCCAGGCCACATCTGTGAATGGTATACCCTAAAAAAAAAAAAAGGTAGTTGATTTTTTGGTATATGCTTTTTACATGACCATGAGGCTGTCTTAGGAGCCTCCAAACACTCTGTCTTCATGCTTATGTCCTGAGACATCTCGTTACCTTCATGCGGGACGGCGCGGTTGAAATGGTTCTCCAAGTGAATCCTGATTTTGCTCAGCTTTGTGGGGCGGCACAGAGCCGGGCTGCAGAATGGGCAGTGAAAGTTAGAGCAGCAGGAAGTGCATCTCTTTAGATTGGGCAGAGATCGCCCCCGCTGGATGGTTATATGCACCTGTAAACAAAGAGAGAAAGAGCGATTGATCAGTCACATTAAAACAATCAACTCACAAATATTAAACCTAAACTCTGTGCTAGTTTGAATCCTTTCTGCTCTGGACTGAGCTCAATCGGTGTCATTAAACTATAAAACTTGCTGTCTTACAGTCGAGGTAAAATACGCTCAGTTTGAGGACAAATGTCAATTTTCACTTGAAACCATGATATTCAGTGTGTTTGTGCAGCGAGGAGCTCTGAACATGTTCAAATAAGGAGCCATTAAAAAAGTGCTTTAACCATTGTGGGCAGCTCTTAATATTTTCAGACCAATCTTGATTCATTTTTGTATTGTTTATTTTTTAATTGGCCTCAAGAGTCCACAAAGGCATCCATAAATAAAGCATTTTAAAGTTATTATTTTACTCTCTTACCAGACAGTGTGTTTTTTCCTTTAACTACACAGAATTCACTGTTTATTATTCACCTGAAAAATGTCTGATATGATGTTGTTCATAGGATCATCTTACTGCTTGGCCACAGGAAGACAGCAGCATTAAAGCTTTATTGTGACAATGTGTAAAATGTGAAAGATTTTAAAAAAAGAAAAAATATATATATTTTTATTATATTTTTAGAGAATTCAAAAAGATTAAATAAACAACAACAAAAAAATGGTTCATATGTTCATGTTAACATCCAGGTGGTTTAGGTTTACAGCATTATGACAGTTTCAAGTAACCAGAGCTATAACTCCTGCTTGTGGAGGGAGGCTGCACTACAGCTAGGACTTCAGTTATGACTGACAATTCAGACCTCCAGTAAAAATGAATGAAAGAACATTTTTACGAAGTGTTCAAAGGTTTACTTCACTCAATTTAACATTGAGCGCAATACAGATGGGTTCACTTTTAGGGACAGCCTCTAGTGGACACTCAAGGAACTGAAGAGTTTTTTTTTTCCTGCACTTCTATATTGGCTTCATTTTAACGTGACAGGTGTTTATGGCCCCATACATAGGATAAAATTCTGAGAGCTCTGAACTTTACAAGAGCATCATTGTGTCATCTGGAGCACTTGCATCTTAAACTTGATTTCCCTGATCAGGCTAACATGATCAACCACAGTCACTGAGCTCGCTCTGAGCTCATTTGGACTGAATCACATGTTGGTTTCATTAATCAGACTAATACAGATCTGTTTGTTTACAGGAAGCTGTAAGATATCAGGTTAATATATGTGGTGCCTTTCAGACTATAACAGGAAATACAGTCACACCATGCTGGACTTACAGTGAATGTAAAACTATAAACATATCACAGGAAATCTAAATTTTACTGTCAAAATCAAGATAGCATAAATGTATTTGGACATTTCATTAATAACCAAATTCACATTAAATACTCACTCTCTCATTGTTGTCCGTCTCATCACTAAAATGATCTTCTTGGCTGTGCACAGCACTAGACGGCACTGTGACGGACACCAAGGGTCCTTGAAATGTGGTCCCAGCATTGCAGTCCTGAGTCTGCAGCCTCCAGCTCTGCAGACACATGCTACTCGAAATTTGGTTCAGAGCCTGGCCCTACGGTGGAAACCCACTGTTAGTCATTTCAGCCTGAGTCTGCAGAGGCTTAAACTGTCAGCCTGCAGATAAAGCTGCAGAGAAGCTGTCAGTCAGTCCCTCCCAACGAATTTATGTAGCAGCCGGTCAGTCCGTCCGAGTCATATTTGTGTCCTCTATTAAGATGCTTTTTTTTTTTTTCCCTTCACAAACTACAAATTGTTTTGAACCAATACAGAAGAGAAATAATTTTTATTGAACATTTTATTTGAACAGCCTCTTCATGGATGAATGTCCTGGCACTGATCCTTAAGAGGAAACAAACAAATAACACAAGCAACTACAGATAAATCTACCACCAGAAATTATTCTTTTTCCTCTTGAATCTACAGCGAGCAGCTGAGTTAGAAAAGTATTTAGTCTTTTTGGAAATTTAAATACTGGTAAGGTGTGCAACCCTAATTCCATAAGAGTTAGAACCTTTGGTGAAAAGTTGATGTAAAACAGAATTTGATGATTTGCACATCATTTCAAGTCTATATTCATATTATTATATTCATTCATTCATTCATTTCCATTAGTAACGTAAGTGCAAAGAAGACATTTATTAAATACCAAACTGAAAATAATGTTGCTTTATGAGTAATGAGTAATGTACTACTCATAATAAAAATGTAAATATCTCTTGAAATTTGATGTCAGCCACATGTTTATACAAAACTAATTAGAGGAACAATCAAACAGGTGAAAAGTTGTATATTGCTAAAAAGAAACAGCTGTAGGAACATCTCCAACCAATGGGGTTAATTTCCAACAGGTTAGTAACATGACTGAGTATAAAAAGGACATTCAGGGAGGCTGAGACTGTAAGAAGGAAAGATGGGAAGAGGTTCACCACTCTGTGACAGACTGTGTGAGCGAATAGTTGAACAGTTTCAGAATAATGTTCCTGAGTCAAATGTGAAAGAATGAGTGGATTTCATCATCTACAGAAAATGATATCATTCAAAGATTCAGAGAATCTGGAGAAATCTCTGTACTAAAGGGACAAGGATCAAAACCAAGACCGGATGGTTCTGATCTTCAGGCCCTCAGGCAGCACTGCATTAAAAACAGACAGGACTCTGGAGTGGAAATCACTGCATGGACTCAAAATCACTTCAAAAACCATTGTCTGTGAACACAGTTCATCACTGCATCCACAATGAGGTTAAAACTAAACCATGCAAAGAGAAAACCAGATAGAAACAGGATCCAGAAACACCAGAGACTTTTCTGGACCTGAGACCATTTAAGATGGACTGAGGGGGAGAAGAAACTGTCTTAAGGTCTAAAAAGTCAAAATCTGACATTCTCCATGGAAAACATGGAAGCTGCTTCCTCAACTCCAAAGAGTAGAGAGACCACCCAGCTTGTTCTCAGCTCCCAGTCCAAAGCCATTGTCCCTGCAGTATGGGGATCATCGGAGTCCCTGTCATGGGTAACTTCCACATCTGTGGAGGCTCCATTAATGCTGAACAATATCTACAGGTTTAGGAGCAACATCTGCTGCCATCCTGACAATGATTCTTTTAGGGAAGACCTTCATATTTCAGCAAGACAATGACAAAACACATTCTACAGGTATCATATCACATTTTTAATTATTACATTAAATCAGGGGTGTCAAACTCAACCACAGCAAGGGCCATAATCTGGATTTAAGTCTAACCTGAGGGCTGAACAGGGTCAACATTTAACCCAAACTGTCAGCCGCCTTTTCAAAATATACATAAGAAAATCAGCGAGGGTTATAAACCACTTGGAAATTTAAAAAGTTCAAAAGATAAATTTAAAGGCAATCTGAGATTTTAAAAGAATCCAATAGATTAGTTCAAAAGATGAGAACACAATATTAAAAATATATTTGAAAAAGGCTTTTAAAGAGCAAATACATGAGGAGAAAGTTAAAATCACAAGTTTTAAAGGAGAAAATATGAGATCATTTTGAAATCAAGAGTTTAAAGTCAAAATATGACTTAAAATTTAAAATTGGAATCTAAATGATTAAAATGACATAAATCTAAATACTGAGTTGAAAAAATTCAAAGCACAAAGTAAAAGGTCAAATCATGTTTGACTTGTTATCTTGAGATGCAAAATTGGAAATATGGATAAAACACAATTTTTCCCCACATTCTTGACTATTTATCAAATCTTTCCCAGATTTTCATGGTTTATTAAGGATATTTTAAATAATGTTGCTAAAGTTTACATTATCATCCTGGAGGAAATCTGCAGACCTCATACTGGTGGGCCAATAATAATACAAATATGATATGATCTTGTGGGCCAGATATAATTGTTCCATGGGCCAGATTTGGCCCCCGGGCCTTGAGTTTGACACCTGTGCATTAAATCATCCACCAACTATCAAATCTGTGTTAATACTGTTTTATTGGAAAACTGTCCTGTGGTCAGAGAAATCAAAGTTTGACTTTCTTTTTTAAAATAATGGACAAAGGAGACCCTGAACTGATGTGCAGCTGAAATCCTCTATCAGGCAAGAATGGGACAATATCTCTACTCAAACTCAAGAAAATGGTCTACCAAGTTCACTAATGTTTACACTAATGTTTACATAGAGTTGGTTAAAGATGAGGTGATGACACAAAATGAGAAAAATGGTCCAACTCTTAAGGAACTGAGGTTGCAATGAAATGCTGCCTTAGACACATGGAGGGCTATCAGAAAGTTTTAAAAGTATTATCGTTTGATTTTCCCTTTAAAATACTTTTAGGAGAAAAGAGTCCCATTTCAGGATTTAAAGGAAACCCTGCGGAACTCAGCCTGAACATGAAGGAAACGGGCATTAAAACATTATAGATTAATACACAGATAAATAACCTCCCTGTGCTGAGACAGCTTTGATTGATAAGTTCAGCTGCTCCAGATCATCTTGTTGACAGACTGCAGGTAAAAATCCTTTGAACTGTTTGACTCATTTCTTTCTCTAAAAACAGAGTCACTTTAAAACATGTTTATTTGTGGTCTTAGTTTGTTGAAATGGTCCATTTGCTTCTGTTTTATCCTGCTGTCACTGAGTCTCTGCTGATCTGGTTCACTTGACAGAACCCTTCAATCATAGGCTGACAGCTCAGGTACAACCCCTGCTGTCTCTGTAGCGTAAACTTCAGGGTGGCTTCTCAGCTGGTGAGTTTTCAGGTATCTGATCCAGGCGAATCCTCGTCCACACAACCCGCAGCTGTATGGTTTCTCTCCACTGTGAACTCTCTCATGCTTCCTCAGGTTCCCGGCCTCTGAGAACTTCTTCCCACAGGTGGAGCAGGTGTATGGTCTTTCCCCAGTGTGCACACGCAGGTGAATCTCCACCTTCTTAGGCCGGTTGAAAACTTTCCCGCAGTAGGTGCAGATGAACTGTCTCTCCTTTTTGCCCGTTCTACGGTTCACTCTGTGACGTTCGGTAATTGGTAGGGACTCCGAGGAACCTGAATGAGTCCAGCCATTTATGTCAGAAGGCATTGGCAAATCAGCTGCCATTGGGAACGCACATGGCTGCTGCCCCCCTTCTACTGCTTCAACCGACGACTGCTCGTCAAAAAACTCCTCGAGCAACAAGTTAACACTTTTACCATCTTCATTCAATACATCAAACTTAGAGCTGCTGCCATCGTTTCGCGTTTCCTGCGGAGAGTTTCTGCTCTCGGCAGAGTCAACCAGCTCACAGCTAAGGAGAGGGGAGGAGTCACTGACCTCCACTCCTCTGCTGACCGCACTCCTCCTGCTGCTGCCAGGGGTCACACTCTGGGTCTGGCTGGGGTTGGACTGCACACTCTGCTGATGGAGACTGGGTCTCTGTCCTGCAGCTGTGGAGGGGACACATTCCACTAGTCCTGCAGAGAGACGAGGATGAACAGAGATCAGAGACAGAGGTGGGGGCTGTTACACATAGACTTGAAATAACTAACGAACCATTAAAGTTAGTTTTTTATCAACATTTTACACGACATCAAAACTTTTGTAGAAATGGAGTTGATTATGTAAGTTTTCATTTCAGATCTGTCTCTCGTGTGAATCTAGATCTAACTGTACTGACTGATATAGTCTCCCTACTATTAAGCTCTTTCTCTTTGTGTCTGTACTCACCATCGTCTCTGATCAGTGACACCTCCACCTCCTCCTCCATCATCTTCACACTGGACATGTTGGCCTCCACAGTCTCAACCTTCACTTGGGATACCTCATCCAGCTCCGGCTCCACCAGCTCCACATCTGGAGACTGCAGATTAAACAAAATAAACAAGATCAGACCAGAATACAGCAGAGTGAGAAAAGTCAGGATAGTCAGGATAGCAGGGTTTCAAACTTTGATTCTGGTACAAAGTGGCACTTGGATCTGTGCTGGTCCCAGAGCACTGATGGACCAACAACTGATGTTGTTGTTGTTGTTGTTTAGTGTCTGTGGTTGTATAGAGGTGACGAGCTCACAGCCAACATCTCAGGACTAAATGAAAACACATTGATCAGGTGATAAGGTGACATTGGCCCTCATTTATCAATCTTGCGCAGATCTGAGTGCAGGATTCATCGTACGAAAGGACACACGTGAGATTTATGAAAGGGTTCGTATCCGACCAATCCCAGCGTACATATATATTCATGGTTCAGAAGCCTCGCCCACTGAGGTCAAACATGAAAGAGGAGAAATATTAGAAAGATTGGAAACTTTTCCAAGCTGAAAGTGGATATCCTCACAACTGTGGTGGAAACTAACAAGGATTTTCTCTTCGGAAGCATCAAAACTGGTATAAAAGCAGTCCAGAAAACTCCTGTCTGGAGCAGGATTATGGTGGCGGTGAACAGCGCTGCCGCGGAATAGCGGACAGTGGCTGAAGTTTGAATAAATCATTAGTCAATAAGTTGCTCATGATGATAAATTAATATCTCATACATGCCACATATTTGTTTATTGCCATGAAATAGGTACGTTGCTCCTATTATTGAAAGAATTTAGTTTTAATTTGTTGCGTCTTTGTAATGTAGAGCAGACTGGAGAGTCTGACAGAGGCTGAACAAAAATAATTATTAACTTCACCAAACAGTGAGTTGCTGCCCCTGAGGCACATTTTTATGGATTTCTATTGGATTTTTATCACTGATTAAATAGCAAGAGCACTTTCTAAACTGATACTTTACATCAGAATCCATCAATAAGGTCCTGTCTCCTCTGTACAGCACCTTTGTGGAGTCTCTCCTTGTTATTGTTCTCCGGGCATCAGGTCCTCACGTTGCACCGGCACAGCTAACAGCACTCCATTCGCCAGTGCAACATTGTGCAAAACTGAACTGGCCCAAATGATGTCCCACACCCTTCCAGGAGTGTACAACAACGTCCCCGCTGCTGGGCAAAGACAGAGACACCTGCCTTTTAGGAGTCAAACGCAGCGCTCCACAGTGGCGCGTGTGCGTAATGTTAAAACGGCGCTCCTGCTCTGTGGCAGTGTTTCTGGGCAGAGTTATCAAATAGACCTATTCACTAAGGACATTACAAATTTATTTTATTTTATCTTATTTACGTCTTAATCTTTAATGAAATCCAGCTGATTGTGCTTAATGACAGGTTTGAGGTTTGTATATCAATTATTTTGCGACAGACATTTGCTGCACCGCAGATCCACACTGACCCAAACTTGCGTATACGATGTCAGACCTGTCGTGAAATTTGGTCATGGCGTACGCTCACGTGCAGTTTGATAAATGCCGATCCTCACGTTGCAGCTTGCGTTCGCACGGTGTACATGAGTTTTCTGCCGTACGCAAGCTTGATAAATGAGGGTCATTGTGTCTTTGCTCTATCTGCAGCTGACTTTGATGAACTCTTGGATCTTTGTTAGACACTAAAGGGAATTCACATCAATATTTGACCACCTGTGAAATTCAGCTGTCCTGGCGTGTTGTATCTTTGTGAACGAGATAAACACACCAGGAAAGTATTAAACTTATTCACGCCTGCTTCTCCATGCAGGACAGCAAGCATTGTGCTGGGTAGTGTTGTGTCTTTCATGAACGTTTCGTTCAAAAGAACGGAACTGCTGAGTGAATGACATGGGAATCACTCCAAGACCTGATTCGTTCCTTTCTCAGTTCAGTTGAGCTCAGCAGCAAGCCTGGCATGCTGGTCGAGAGTGAACTCTTTGGCGAACGACACACAGCCAGCCAGCCAGCCCCAATAGTATGTGTCTGCAGAGCCGGAGAGCCCTGCAGTTTCACACGCTGCAGTTCTACACGTGTTAGCGCCCCTGCTCGTAGGTCAGTGCTAATGCAGATGCTGCAGTTCTACACGTGATAGCGCCCCTGGTAGGTCAGTGCTAATGCAGGTGCTGCAGTTCAGTAATTGGACTTCTTTACATGGATAAAATGTGTTATTTTGCTGAAAAAAAAAAAGAAAAGAAAAAAAAAAACGGAATATGAGCTGACAGTCAATATTTAAGGTTTGGTTAACCCAAAACACCTTGTAGAATTTAGGTTTATTCCATCCAAAACAGTTAGGAGTAATCTAATTTCAATGTAATAAAAAAATTTTAATTTCTGGACCCAGTGTTTTAAATGCCCGAGCCAAAGCAAGCTGTGCAGTGCTTGAAGCCCTGTAGGGACCGGCTTTGCCTTTTTATTATTTATTCATTACATTTGATGACAATTTGACCCCTTTGAGTGAGAATTTCATAGTATTGTCATTCCAGGTAATTCTTTGTGGTGATCAACAAAAAAAATATGATTGGCTCTTAACGTCTACAAAAAATGTCTTCTATCAAGAACAAAGCTGTGGAGGACGGCGAGTCTGCTGTGGAGGCTGACGGGGCTGCTGTGGAGGCCGACGGGGCTGCTGTGGAGGACAGCGAGGCTGCTGTGGAGGCTGACGGGGCTGCTGTGATGGCCGACGGGGCTGGGGTGGAGGCTGACGGGGCTGCTGTGGAGGCTGACGGGGCTGCTGTGGAGGCCGACGGGGCTGCTGTGGAGGCCGACGGGGCTGCTGTGGAGGACGGCGAGGCTGCTGTGGAGGACGGCGAGGCTGGGGTGGAGGCTGACGGGGCTGCTGTGGAGGCCGACGGGGCTGGGGTGGAGGACGTGGAGGCGCAATTCATGCAAGATTTCAGATGTCTCTCGAAATCTGCTCTGCGCAAAATGGTGTTATTGCACTTGAGACAGTGATAATGTAGCTGCTTCCTACAGCCAAGGCCACATCTGTGAATGGTGTAACCTTAAACATAAGAACATAGAATTTAGTGCATGTATTTTTATTTATTTATTATTACATCAACTAACAAAATATGAATCAAGGATAAGAAACTAAATGGTAGATAATTACATAATCAATTAATAAAAGACTATTTGATTAATTGTTGGATAATGAAGTTGCAGTAGCAACTCGATAACTACATACTGTACACATATCCCAGGATAATGTTCTCCAACATACCTTCATAGCTGACAGCGCGGTTAAAATGGTGGTCCAAATGAATTTGAATGTGCCTTAAACTGGTCGGCTTACACACCTCAGGCGAGCAGAATGGGCAGTGGTACTGCCTGCAGCAAGTCTGGCAACAGACCAGTTCAGGCAGTGTTCGCCCTTGTTGAATTGTATTATGCATCTTAAAAACACAGATCATAATGAGACGCATGAAATCGTTTGGATAAGATTTTGTATACATAGACAGAAACCTAATTCATAGGAAAGAGAAATGTGGACTAAATGTCAATTACATATGATATGCATACAATTGAAAATAATTAATTAAATAAATAAATGATATACTAAGAAATACCTGATATAATATACGAAAAAATGCATACGTTCAAAAGACATTTCCAACATGTATGGGACATCTCGGTTCAGAAAGCCTAAACTGTTTATACATTTTTTATGTTCAATCTGATACACATGCTAAAATTATTTGTCAGCGTACTTCAGTCTCAGTAAATATAATGGCGGCTTGTCGTATACGGGTTATACAATTCCGACAAGCTAACAATAGCTTTAGCTGGCTTAACCAAGATAAATATTCGACGTGTCTTCCAGACTATCATGGTAAATATCATTAACGTCCGCACAACCACACATTCATTTCTCATTCAAATCAAGTGAACGATTTGGGAGACGCTAAATAAATTGTGGGATTCACATTTAATACTCACGGTTCGATCAACAAACTCCGCTACAGACCATTGCATACTATTGACAACTCTTCTCCAAAGAACACGAATTCGAAGAGGAGAAAAAAAGGGGGCGGTTACATGATTTCGAGACTCCGCCTCCTGCAGTTTTACACGCGTAGAACTGCAGCGTGTGAAACTGCAGGGCTCTCCGGCTCTGCAGAGACACCCTTCTCAGCCAGCCAGCCAGCCAGCGGGTGGAGTCTCGTGATTTGCTCACAGTGAATGAACGACATGTATCAGTCAGACTGTGAACGAAACGAACGACTTCAGAATGACTTTATTCAGGCAGAGGAGGGAGGGGTGTAGCGTTGTTCACTTACTGCCATGCACCGGTTCGTTTTTTGAGGCTAAGATAAAACAGTGCATTACAGTGCAATTACATTAATACATGTGTATAAACTTTGCTGCAAAAAGGATTTAATTTCAGCCGATTTAAAGCAAACGCTATTTGATTTCTGTTAATGTAGCAGAATCCCTGCTACAGGTGCAATGTTTATTTATTTTTAATATCTCCCCTTTTCAGTGATATAAAAGAACAACGTCTTGCGCTTGTTTAGCGGGTGTGCTGGTGTGTTGTTTCTGCTGACAGCGATACACAGAGAGGTGAGTTTTTCAGGGCAGGGGAGTTATTCTCCCTTCAGGACTTGGTGAATGAACGACACGTGTCACTCATTGAACGATGCAGTGACTTCAGCAGCAGGGGAGGGAAGGGGGGGGGGGCGCTGGTTTAATGAACAAACTTGCAGCTGTGTCACTCACTCGTGTACTGCACCGGCAGGACGGGGCTCCGAAGCCCTGACTGATTCAGGGAACAAATCTTTTGAACGAATCGTTTTAGTGACTAGATTCTAAAGATTCAGCACAGTGAAAAAAACTGTTCTTCCCAACACTGGCGCTGAATTGTAGGACTGTGAATCTGATTTTAAAGAGTTGGGAATGAATAAGACAAAAATGTTTTTTTTTCTGTATCTCCTCTTTCTTGTCAATAGTAATGCTCATTCTCTTCATTGTCTCTCTGTGGCTCTTTAAAATGTGTGACTTTATGTGATATTTGCTCTCCTGTAACATCACACCTTCCACATTAATGTCTCATGATGCATGATGCTGGGGACCAAGTTGTCCTACCACTTTGGGTGGAAAGGTAAGGTAGAAAAATAGGAGGGATCGGATACTGTCAGTGGATGGTGCAGGTATAGCAAAACACCACTGTGTGTGTGTGTGTGTGTGTGTGTGTGTGTGTGTGTGTGTGTGTGTGTGTGTGTGTGTGTGTGTGTGCGTGCGTGCGTGCCTGCTTATGTGTGTGTGCACATTTGAAGTGCAAACCCATAGGATCCATGCAGAGCACATTCTGTCTGCTCTGTCCAGCAGTGTGCTTTAAATTCGACAGGATGCGTATTTGGAGCGTAGCAGCAGTTTAGTGCAGCCCCGGTCAGCTGGGCTCAGCATAGAGGGAACAACATGCTCACAACAGGTTGTTTTGCCTCTCTGTGGTCCATTTCCTGCTATTTTGGATATAATTCAGTGACTGTTGAGCCTTTACTATATGTGAAAAAGCAACATGACTTTACAGTATCAGTTTTTGCAGGTTTACTCGTGTTTAATAAAGTAAACTATGTTCCTTTATGCTGTGCTGTTACCTTCAGACAGAGTTAGCAGTTCAAAGTCCTGTTGGGGTCCACATGGATCAGGGATTGACCATCCGATTGTTCTGTGTTTCTGATAAATCCAGAACCAGGAAGTATTTCTCATCTACACAAACTGATACACAGTCAGGAGTTCACATATGGTGTTTTATTTTGAAATTTACCGGATATGAGTAACATTCTGTCCAGGATGATCTTCTCAGTGGAGATTGACACATGTTGGAAGCGTAGAGCAGCAAAAATAGACTCTCCACGAATCTTCACTGTGAGACGAGCTGAGACATTAGAATGAGAACTACTTGCTGTTTGACACGACACTGACGGTGCACACTCAACATGGATCCTGTGGACTATGGACTGAAGTTTTTAATCATGTTTCAGGGTGTATGCATGTTTAAGGGTGTGTGGATGTTTTAGAGTGTGTGCATGTCTGAGTGTGTGTGCATGGTTAAGAGTGCATATGCATGTTACAGAGTGTGCATGTTTAGACTGGTGTACTGTGCATATTCTTAAACTTTTCAGCAGTTTTTGATAACACCCAAACTAAAGTGAAAAGAGACTGTGTTGCTTTTAATCTATCACACGTGGATCCCTCAGATGAATCCACATCAGATGAATCCACATCAGACCACATTAACTTGAAATTTCCTCCACCCCGTCACATGAAAGTTGGACTGAGTATGAGGGTAGTAAACTCACCTTCCTCTGCTCAACATCTCCTGTAGCAGCTCCATCTGACCACAGAACCTCCTCCATCTGTTCCCCGAAGCCTCCATCTGTTCAACAGCAGACACACCTCTGTTAGAAACTCTCTCTCATACCTGTTTACTCATCAGCAAACCTCCTCAGGTACTCCTCAGCCATCTACAAGAGGAGGGAAGAGTCTGACCCCCTCATCTCTACACCACAGGCTCTTAATTTTATACTGTTTTATCTGATTTAGTCCGGTCTGTATGAAACTTATTGGGCCATTGTAGTAGATCATAATTCTGTACCAGATCACTTTGGCCCTATGTACATGTATCTTCACCTTACTGACATTTAAATTAACACATGAAATGATAAGGACAAAGACTTTCTCTACCCCTGATAGGCGCGTGTGACATGTAAATAGGGTACATTTTGATCAAATATATTGCTGTAAAAAGTCAAGCTTCATCAGCATGTCACTGTGAATTAGCCAGAATAAAGAACAACACATAACCTATAAATTTACAGTCAGAGTAAGACTTAGAGATTTGAGTAAATGATAAAGATGGCTGCATGTCTCCTGTCTCACAGTGACCAAAAACAAAATCACTCAGTCAATCAATCTATCAATCACTTTTCAATTTAAGAGTGTGAACAATTCATCAATATAAAAGTAATTACTTTGTAAGAACACACATTTTGGTTTGAAAGAAAAAATAATTCTGTGGTCTCATGTTTGCACTCAGCTGGTGAAGTTGCACACCAACACCTCTGCAAACAAGCAATATCAGCACCATCTTATGGGTTTTTCTGCTGATGGACATGCTTACGTTTCTCAATAAGAACAAGTATGCGGCAAACTGGACATTAATAGTCTAAATTATTCTGTGTTCAGTTCTCTTGTTGCCGAGTTTCCACCTTTCATAGTTTGAGCCTCTCTCTCTCTGTGACTTCTGTCTGCAGAGATTACTTGAAGAGTCTGCACTGCATGTTAATGTTCAGTGCTTTAAACTTTTTGGATGACTCTGTAAGTCCTGGAGCTTTGCAATACAGTCAGTTTTCTCCCTCATGTTTCTGTGAAAAATGTACAATCCAGAGAATGAACACAGTGGCCCTCGTTTATCAATCTTGCGCAGATCTGAGCGCAGGATTCATCCTACGATAGAACACACATGAGATTTATGAAAGGGTTTGTATCTGACCAATCCCAGCGTACGTATGATCGGGTCTTGATAAATGCGGCGGCTGAAATCGATCGTCATTAACATGTCTACGCCCTTAAATATTCCTGGTTCAGAAGCCTCGCCCACTGAGGTCAAACATGAAAGAGGAGAAATATTACAAAGATGGGAAACTTTTCTGAGCTGAAAGTGGATTTCCTCATATCTGTGGTGGAAACTAACAAGGATTTTCTCTTTGGAAGCATCAAAACTGGTATAAAAGCAGTCCAGAAAACTCCTGTCTGGAGCAGGATTATGGAGGCGGTGAACAGTGCCGGAATAGCGGACAGTGGCTGAAGTTTGAATAAATCATTAGTCAATAAGTTGCTCATGATGATAAATTAATATCTCTTACATGCCTCATATTTTTTATTGACATGAAATAGGGTACGTTGCTCCTATTATTGAAAGTATTTAGTTTTAATTTGTTGCGTCTTTGTAATGTAGAGCAGACTGGAGAGTCTGACAGAGGCTGAACAAAAATAATTATTAACTTCACCAAACGGTGAGTTGCTGCCCCTCCATTTTTATGGATTTCTATTGGATTTTTATTGCTGTTAAATAGCAAGAGCACTCTCTAAACTGATACTTTACATCAGAATCCATCGATAAGGTCCTGTCTCCTCTGTACAGAACCTTTGTGGAGTCTCTCCTCGTTATTGTTCTCCGGGCATCAGGTCCTCACGTTGCACCGGCACAGCTAACAACACTCCATTCGCCAGTGCAACTTTGTGCAAAACTGAACTGGCCCAAATGATGTCCCACACCCTTCCAGGAGTGTACAACAACGTCCCCGCTGCTGGGCCAAGACAGAGACACCTGCCTTATAGGAGTCAAACGCAGCGCTCCACAGTGGTGCATGTGCGTGTATGCGTAATGTTGAAATGGCGCCCCTGCTCTGTGGCAGTGTTTCTGGGCAGAGTTATCAAATAGGCCTATTCACTAAGGACATAACAAATTTATTTTATTTTAATGTATTTACGTCTTAATCTTTAATGAAATCCAGCTGATTGTGCTTGATGACAGGTTTGAGGTTTGTATATCAATTATTTTGAGACAGACATTTGCTGCACTGCAGATCCACACTGACCCAAACTTGCGTATACGATGTCAGACCTGTCGTGAGATTTGGTCATGGTGTACACTCACGTGCAGATTGATAAATGCCAATCCTCACGTCTGTGTGGGTTTACTTTGGGTACTCCGGTTTCCTCCCACATCCCAAAAACATGCAGAAGTGGGGTTAGATAAACTGCTCACTTCCAAATTGCCTGTAGGTGTGAATGTAAGCGTGGACAGTTGTTTGTCTCTATATGTCAGGCCTGCGATGAACTGGCGACTTGGATTTTTTGCTGTCAATTTTTTCCAAGTTCCAAGATGAAGAGTACTTTGAATATGCATCTCTACTGTATTTAGAATGGGCCACTCCATAACAAAAGCTTTAAAAAAAACTTGATGTGACAAGGTGCACATCTGCATCAAGAGACAGGATCTTGTACCAGACAAATGCAGAGTATTTTTACAACCTCATAAAAAATCTAAAATTTAGATGATAAAATTACACTAATTACTATTTGAGTCAGAAAATGTTTAATGTGCTGTAACCTGCCTGCACAGCAGTCACTGCTTTGTGCGTTCAGCATTAAAGGGACATCAATCTGACTTTATGACTTTATATCATTATGCAACAAATCAGTACAGCTTCTCCTTGAACAGCTTTAGTGCAAAATAAGACAGAATGTCAAGTAAAGAGAAAGAGCAAGCAATGAACAAAACAGCGAATTGCCAAAACTTATTATTTACAAACTGGAATAAAACAAAATTAAACAGTAACAGGATTAGCAGAAGCTTGCACACAGTGTATTATATGTGATTTGAGACATTACACATCCTGCAATGTGACTATGGTGAATGCTTATAATACATTTACACTTTCCAAATAAATTATAGTTCAGCTTTAATCAAAAGACATGAAAAACATGACGCATCCTTCTACTGTTTGTATAATTTGATATCAAGTATCATAAATTATATCTATCTGATGTTTAGATTCATGTTTATTAAACCTATTAATAGCTGTGTAATATATCCAGATCAAATTGATTCAGTCTGACAAACCAAAGTCGAGATAGGCAGCAGTACTAAATATCCTGTAAGAGTCCAGTTTTGCCTTTAGGAGTGAGATTATTTATCATCAGTAATCATGAGTTTGATGCTCACCTTTATCAGTTCAAATGTCTTAAGAATTATCTGGGATGACTAAACGCTTCAAAAAGTTCATTACTGGTGCTAGAGGATAAGAATTTTTCTGCTGATGTGTGCATCTGATAAGGTAGCACATAAATCATGAGTACATGATGATGACAGTTTCCACACGCCAACAACAAAAACCATGTTGGCAGTGAACAGCTGTTTGAAATGCTTGTTAAACACCACAAAACTACCCTTTTTGTCACTAACTTAACCCTGCATCTCAAAAACTGAAACAGCGCCAAGAGTTCCTGAAAATTACTGAAAACTTCTGCACTAAAACCTGTCAGCAGCATCTTCAGCTCTTCAGCAGAGTGGAGAGAAATAACAGAGCATATTTCTGAAAGTCTGTTTTAGAAAAGAATCAATGTTCCATTTATTGTTGTTGTTTTCATGTTCCTATGACAGAGTATGAGGAGCTAAGAAAAAAAACGACACTCGTCGCAGATCCAGAACATAGTCTGGCAGGAGCCGTATCCCCTCTACCATTAAACTCCTCAACAAAAACCTTTAAGTTGTTGTGTCTGTGTGCATGGACATATGTAAATCTACACTGAACAAAAATATAAACACAACACTTTATACTACAATAGTTCTGTTCAATGACAGCTCTGTTCTACTCTATTACAGCTCTATCCTAATATAGCTCTGTCCTTTTATTTTAAGGCTCCGTTCTATTCTCTTACATCACTATTCTATCATTTTACAGCTCTATTCTATTCTATCACAGCCCCCTGAAATTACAACTTCAATCTCAACCTTTATTTGGAGGCAGCTCAAATACTGTGTCAAACTTTCTCAAGTGTAGGCAATTTATTGTCTAGGTATCTGACATGAAAGTTATGTGATAGTCTCAAAATCATATGATCTTAATACAACTGTCATTGTATTATGAAATCATTGCTTGATGGTGAACTTACAAGCTTAATATGACTTTTTTTTTCTCAATGAAAAAGTATGGACAACAGAGAGCTTCTAGTCCATTTGGACAAAGGTGCAATGCATAAATTAAGTAAATTAAGGAGCTTTATTTTCTTCGATGAGCAACCCTGATTATACCAATATTACAGACAGTTACCGGGCATGAGTAGAAAGTTCTTATTTATACCCCCCCACACACAAACCGCCGTCTGTCTCACCGGTGCTCCTGGAGGTCGTCCCGGCCTCTCGCAGCCTGTCTCCCCCGCTGATGTGCACTCTGGGCCGGCTGCTGTTCATGGCGCTCTCCCGCAGTCTCCTCTCGGCGTTGCCCCGAGCCATCTTCAGCTCCAGTAGGTGCAGCTTCCTCTTCAGGGCCTTGTTCTCCCTCTGACACTGGGACATCTGGAGGCTCACCACCGCGTAGTCATCGTCCACCAGCTTGCATATCTCCGCCACCGCCGCATTAGCTAGCGCCTCCATGATGGAGGCCAGCTGGGTCTGAAAGGCCAGGCGGCTCGACATCTTTACCCGGCCCGGGACAGGTCAGCGGCTGTAAAGCCTATAAAGGCTGGTAAAACTCCTGCGGCTCAGTTAAAAATATTTTAAAGGATTTCAGACGAGTGGGGAGACGAAAGCTTGGGTGGCTACTCATCTGATTTCGCTATAACTACAACCGCAAACACCTGGCGTCACTTCCGGGTGTTGTTGTAAAAACTGCGTGTTGCTGCCCCTCTCAGGCCACACCTGGTACTGACACAGAAGAGTGAATGGGAGGTCAGCTACAAACTACAACTTCATCGGAAGTTCACAGCATTCACTTCAAGCTCCTGAAAGCTGTTTTGTGGTATTTTTATCTTTATCAGAAATCCTTTTTAAAAGTATTTTAATAAGCACACAAGACTACCAGCAACATAAACCAAGTTATGATCTGACCTGTCCAGTGGTGGTAAGGCAGTGGCTCTTTAAGTTTTTTTGACATTGGCATACAGCACATCCAGGGTGCTGTTTTCTCTGGAAGAACAGTTAACAAACTGTAAAAATTCAGTCAGGTGAGAGGAGATGGTGACATGGTTGAAGTCTCTGATAATATTAATTGTGCTTCAGGGTGTAAAGTCTGTAGGTATCATGCCAAATGTGATGGAATTTCAGCCATTGACTTGGATGGGATGTACAAGTATTGTTATGATATGACTGAATTCTCTTGAAACATAATATGGGTGAAGAGCAACTGCCAACAGTTTAATATCTGGACAACACAACTTCTCGTTGACAGTTATGTGTGAAGGGTTACACCATCTTTGGTTGACAGATAAAGCCAGACCTCCTTCTCCTTCCCTCTAGCCACTAGCTTCAGCAACTCTGTCTGATCTTATGAGAGTGAAGCCAGGTAGATCCACACTGGATTTGGAGTTGTTTTGATTCAACCAGGTTTTAGTAAAACACAGGAGACTGCACTCACGGCATGCTTTCTCAATCTTCACCAATATCTCCAGTTCATCACTTTAGTCGAGCAGATGGTTGACATTTCCCATGATGATTGATGGAACAAAGGGTTTATATCTCTACCTCCTAGCATTCAAGTTTACCTTCACCTTTGCACCAGCACAGCAACCATGATAACGCTTCCTGATGTCCTCTGGGATTGTATGTTTTTGTCCAGATTTGCTCTGTCTCAATAAAAGAAGCTCTTCTCTTGAATAAACTCTCCCCCCAGCAGAAATATCCATCAGCAGCTGACCAAACATAACTAAAATAAGAAAAAATAGAGAAAATTTACAGAAAATTAAGAACTTTACTTTCTCAGTTGAGCCACTGACTCAATTTACCCCAGAACTACTATGATGACTTTATTAGTCATCATAGTTTGTACAGGGAATTTATACTACTGCCATCAGGCAGACGATATAAGGAGCATCCATGCGGGCTTAATAGGTTTAAGCTCTCATTTGTCCCATTAGCAGTCAAAGCACTAAATAACAGATAACTAGAACTAGAACAGCACAGTACTGGTAGAGTGCGGTACCACACCAGGCATTGTAATGACACTCTATTCACTGTGTGTCTTGTTTGCTCACTATGGTGTATGAATTGAACTGTATGTCCGTCTCATGGGTATGTAATGGATTGGTGTATGATGTATGGATTGTATGTACGCTGTACCTTGTAAGCCCAAGACAAATTTCTCCTTGGAGACAAATAAAGGAATTGATTGATTGATTGAATTGATTGATAGTCCTCTAAACTAAGATGGTGGACTTTTATGCTAGGCTTTTGACCTCAAATTTAAAATGATCTTTTTGGTCTGAACACGATTCTAATAAAAGTTATGACTGACTAAATTCACTTTCAAGAGTGAAAAATGTTTTGTTTTTTTTAAAATAAATGTCTAACCCTGTCACCCATGTCCTTCTAACCTTCAGACTCCATGAATTGATGCCCGTCTCCTAAATATTTGGTCACATGATCAATTTCTTTTACCATTTCCAGGCAACAGGGGCGGGCTCAACTTACCCTTTGGCTCAATTTACCCCAGTCTCCCCTACTAAAGATCAGCTCTTCTTATGTCAGTTCATTAAAGTCTCACTCAGCATCAGAATAACATAACTGTGATCCATAAATAATAAACATAGATGTAATCATGAATAAATCTAGAATTTTCTTTGACAGGTGTATATAATGTCAGACACACAGACATCATGTAGACCAGTCTGTGGATCCACAGAGAGGACCTGCTGCTCTGAGGTGATGCTAACAACAAACTGACGTCATCAGAGCGCGTCTCTCGCTCTCGCAGAAACAACTTTCCGCAGATACGCGTCGATGTGTCTGATGTCCGCCGACACACCGTAGCGTGGATCTGATCCGCGCCGCACCCGCAGAAGCAGCAGCACCTCGGCGATAACATCTCCCAGCGGCGCTCACAGAGTCACGCACGGTCGGGAGCTGCAGAGCTGGCGGTGATGGCAGAGTGTGTGGGCTTCCAGGCGCAAATCGCCTCCATCATCGAGATCCTGGCCAACTCCGCCGTGATGGAGATCTGTAAGCTGGTGGAAGACGGATACGCGGCGCTGCGCGTGCAGATGGAGGAAGAGCGCGAGAAGAGCGAGCTGGAGAAGCGGGGCCTGCGGGAGAAACTGCGGGAGATGGAGGTGAGGATGAGGAGCTGCGAGAGGAAGATGAGGAGACGGAGCCAGCACGCGCTTCAGTTCAGGACAGCGGCAGGTAAACAGGAGGGGGAAGGAGGCATGATGCATGACACACATTTGAACATTATACATGCACGTGCCAGACACAAAGAAAACACGCGCGCGCGCGCACACACACACACACAGAAATAATGTGTCATAATTATTCAGTCTGTGGGTTTTATGCGTTCGTCAGCCTGGTAATACTTAAGCCACACACACACACACACACACACACACACATACAGGCTATATCTGGTACATGTTAATATAAATTAAAAATCCTGCAAAGACAATATATGAAATGTTGTAACTAAAAAATGTAAAGGTTTATGACAAATCTGCTTATTTGTTATTTAATATCAATAACATGTTTCTGTAAAGTAGTTCCAGTTTTTTTTCCCCATCATGTGTCATCAACTCTACTTTTCCCAACACTGAACCCAGCAGACCAGTTTCTGGAGTTTGGAAAGTAAAATGCCCTTTTCTTGTCTGATAGAAGATTTAGCTACTTAACAGTTCAGGGTCTTATTTGTCCTATTTTTGGTGTCATGATGCTCCAAATGTTTCCAACAGGGGGCAAGTCAGGACTGCAGGCAGACCAGTTTATCAGCAGGACTCTTCCACTACAGAGCCATGCTGTTGTAATCCCTGTTGTAAGAATGTGGTTTGTCATTGTCTTGCTGAAATATGAAGGTCTTCCCTGAAAAAGTCTTTGTCTGGATGTCAGCAGATGTTGCTTCTAAACCTGTAGATATGGTTCAGCATTAATGGGGCCTTCACAGATGTGGAAGTTACCCATCACATGGACTCTGCTGATACTCATACCATCAGGGATGCTGAATTTGGACTGAGAGCTGAGAACAAGCTTGTTGGTAAAAATGACTGAGTAGGAGGCTTGTGTATGTTCAGTTGAAGTAACTCTTTACTGCTCATTTACATGCTCATTTTCAAAGGTTATTAGGAGGTTCATGTATTCTATGATTGACATTTGATACAACCTCTGGGCGTACGAAGATTGTGTAGCTTACCCGTGGACACACTGTTTGAGCAGAGAGTCATCACAGCGACTCTCTCGCTGAATGCGTACAACGCTACTACTTACAGGAAGTGGAGAAAATCCCGAAAATACGGAGCAATTCAGCTTCAAATTTGTAAGATGACAGAAGATGGAGCCCAGTTGTCCATAGTTACTAACTAACTGATGAATTTACACAATAAGCTTTGTGGGAATTCAACTCTCAACACAGCTGTTCACATTCCTGCCCTTCTTTTTTTAACACAACCCCCCAAAGACTATGAGTCTTTTCAGCTGTCCAGCCTGATGACTGGCTTGCAAATACGTCCAGACCTGGTCACAGTCTAGTTAGGCTGAGAGGGTGGAGGTGTAACCTCACTCTGACTTAAGCCTTAAACATACAGGATCCGTGTTGAGCGTGTTCTGTCAGCATCACGTCTCTGCTCCATTAAGCAGTGCTGTCTATCGCCCACAGGTTGCGTATTTGGAGCGTAGCAGTAGCATAGTGCAGCCCCGATCAGCTGAGCTCAGTATAAAGGGAACAACAGGTTGTTTTGCCTTTCTGTCGTCTATCTCCTGTTAATTTGGATATAATTCAGTGACTGTTGAGCATTTACTATATGTGGAAAAAGTAACGTGATTTTACAGTTTCAGTTTTTGCAGGCACTTGTGTTTTATAAAGTAAACTATGTTCCTTTATTTTGTGCTGTTATCTTCAGACAGACTTAGCAGTTCAAAGTCCTGTTGGGGTCCACATGGATCAGGATCTGCTCTTGTTTTGGTCCTTGTCCCCTTAGTACAGAGATTCCTCCAGATTCTCTATGTATTTTAATAATCTCATGTTGTAGATGATGAAATCCACTCATTCCTTCACATTTGACACCCAGGATCATTATTCTGAAACTGCTCACCCATTAGCTCACACAGTCTCTCACAGAGTGTTGAACCTCTTCCCATGTTTCCTCCTGGCAATCACAGTCTCTCTGAATGTCCTTTTTATACCAGTCATGTTACTAACCTGTTGGGAATTTAACTCCATTAGTAGAAGATATTCCTACAGCTGTTTTTGTAGCATGAGACAACTTTTTTTTACCTGTTTGGTTGCAAAAAAAAAGTTTGGGAATCACTGCTCTATAACAGCTTATAACAGCTGTTATATATTATTGTTACATCTGGCGAAAAATTTAAAATGAGCATGTATTTCTTATAAAACTAACTTTTTCAGTTTTAACATTTGATATGTTGTTTTTGCACTGTTTTCAATAATGTACATGCATTAGATGATTTATAAAACCAAAAAAATCTGTTGTTATCAGCATTTAAATAGTCGTAGTAAAATCACAGAATTTTTTCTCTTAGTTTTCTATTTCTATGTGCATGTTTTAGCTGTAACACAGAGGGTTTAAATTTCACAGCAGGTTTTGACATCCAAGTGTCAAAGTGAAGACTGTGGAGCTTATTTAGTCTCTACAAAATATTCAAAGAAACCTGCCTGAAAGCAGAAGAAGTTGTGGATTGGACTGATTTTAAGATCTGTATTTTCAGCACCTGATGATCTCCATCCTTTGGCGTCTCCTCCTCCCCCTCCTCCTGTCTCCTCTGAGGACAAACTTCTCCACCACATCTCAAAGGTACATCTGCTGAGTGTTTTCTGTACAGTCTGAAACTCTTTTACGCATGCACAAAACTCATGAGAACATCAGAAAAAAAATTGAACAGCCTGCCAGTAAAATTTCCCCAAATTAGTATATATATTCTTGACCCTGTGGTTTTTAAACTCCAATCCCAATAAAGTTTGGATGTTGTGTAAAAGCGGAATAAAAACAGAATATAAAGATTTTCAAATCATTTTCTACCTAAATTCAGATTCATATACTACAAAGATTTTTAATGTTCAAACTGATAAACTTAATTTTTTTATTATTTTTTGAAATATTCACTCATTTTTAATTAGATGCTGTAACATGTTCCTAAAAAGTTGGTTCAGGATCAACAAAAGTCTGAAAACTGAGGGCTGATCCAAAAACACCTGTTTGGATCCTTCTACAGGTAAACAGATTCACTGGAAACAGGTGAGGGTCATGATTGGGTTTAAAAGAAGCATCACAGAAAGGCTCAGTCCTTCACAAGCAAGGATGAAGCCAGGTTCACCACTTTAACAACAACTGCGTGAGCAAATAGTCCAACAGTGTAAGAATGTTTGTTAACATACAACTGCAGGAATTTAGAGATTGGATCATCTACGTTCCATAAAATCATCTAAAAATTCAGAGAAATCTCTGCAAGTAAGCAGCAAGGCCCAAAACCAACATTGAATGATCGGGATCTAAATCTTTTAATATCTGAAGTGTACTCTCTGATGTATAGCTAATCAAAGTGTATAATGTACAACAAATCATTTTGTGATGTCACTGCCAGACGTAGGACCCCAAACTAATCTGACCATTAGAGCATATCTGGTATATCACCTGCACAGGGTGTGGGACTGTATGGACAACTTGGCTCTGCCTCCCTCATTGTAGTTTGAAGTTTGAAGCCAAATTGTTCTCGGTATTTTCCTGAAATAGACATTTGCGCAGTAGTGTTCAGTGGGAGAGTTGCTGTGATTAAACTCTGCTCAAACAGCGTATCTCTCAGATGATCTACACAATCTTTGTAAACCCATAGGCTGAATTAAGTGTCAATCATAGAAAACATGAACCCCTAATAATTTTAAAAATGGAGCTGTACAGACAAAAGAGGACTTGAGCACAAACCAGTCTTACCCCGATTTTCCATCGCATACGGAATGGTGGCGCCGCTGATCGTTTCCATTTAAGTTAATGGGCTCTATTTTCGTGCCCACTGGCGGCACGGCAGAGGGTGGCGGACCCTGCGCAGTGGTCTAGCGGAGCCCGGTGCACAGCCAGTTTGATATTTTCGTGGACTGAGGTGCACCGAGGTCCACCAAGCTGGGTGTGGTGGCACGGTAAGGGGACGTGTCGACAGAATCAGCTGGCGCAGTGACATTTTTGTGCTCGCCAGTGGCGTGGAAAGTGGGCTGAAAGCTTGCCGATTGAAACCTGGTCAGCTTTCAGCGCTGACGGAGCGCAGCTGGTCTAGTGGTATTTTGGTAGACCGGTGGCGTAGTGCGCATACGTCACAGATGCCTCGCAGGCAGGTTTCCACAGTGTCAGGCACATTTCATGCAATAAATAATCATCAACAACTAATAATCTGAGTCAGCACATACATTTAGATCTATATCAATATATTCTGATCTATATCTGATCTGATGAGCGCGTTTGGCACGCGTTTGGACACACAACCTGACCGAATCAACACAGCTGAAACCGCATTAGATTAAATTAAATATCTAGTAAATAGACACACATGATGAAGTTAACAAGATATGTTATTCGTCTCCCTCCTTTTCTTTCTTCCTCTTTCTCTTGTTTCTCGCGCAGCTCGACCTGGACATGTGTCCATGTCCTCTCCCCATCCTGCTGCAGCTGCTGAACAGATAATTTGTTTCAGTGAGCAGATGAGTTATTTACTTCAAGCCTACATACGAATATTATTCAGTTGATATTCAGTTGAGTGAGTCAAATTTATTTTATATACCAACATCTATGAAAGAAAGAGCCAGGCCACGAAGCGAGATGGTTCTTTACGCACAGATGGTTCCGATTTCAATGCAATTATTGGAATTCTGTGCGCACAACCCACCTTTATCACGTGAGGTTTGAATATATGCAACTTAGGGAGGGAGGATACTTACACCAGACTGCGCCGCTCACCAAAATACCAAAATGTGCTTGGGCACGCCTTGTCCTTGGGGCGGACCTGACTTACGCCACGAGGAACGAAAATACAGCCCAATGTGTCAAATTCCACCAGCTTCTTTCTGGCCATCCATTCTATGTACAGTCTATGATTGTGACGTATACCTTTTTTAAGATAATTCACTTTTGTCATGAGTAAAAGACATGTTAGGGCAGGGGCATTACTTCTCTCTCTTTCTCAATGAAACCAGAGTCTAATTCTGTATACAGGTACATGTTTCCATGAGTATTAACAGTCTGACATGACTTCCTTGCTGATACTACCCCCTTGTGGAGACTTAGGTGATATAATTTCATCCTCTCACTCTGCTTCTCTTTCTCTTACATTAGAAAACAGTGGACCATCTGACAGTACTCAATGTCGTGAAACTCTAGCATCACACTGTGTAAAATAAGAATCCTAAGTAACAAAAAAAGGAACACTCTACTCAGAGCTCAGAAGAAACACACACATTCTTGTACTCACATCACCTGAAACTCTGAAATCCTCTGTTGTTTTGCACCAAAAAAGGGAAGAAAAATGGAATCTGATCACTTTCTGTTCTTCATGGATATGTTCATTAAATTGATATGAAGTCAGAGGTTCACATCAATGTGTGTTATGCATGTGTACAAAGGTGTGTTCTTGACTGTGTGTCAGCAGGAGGACTCTACAGTGTTTCCTCAGGTGAAGATGGAGAAGGAGGAGAGAGAGGACTGTAACCTGGACCTGAAGGTGGAGTTGAACATCAGGGCGGAGTGCGGCCTGTCTGCAGGTGAGGGATAATGTCATCACTTGCTGGTTCATTGTCTGTGTGTGTTTGTGTTTTAGTGTTTGTGTGAACCATCTGGTTAAAGAGATAAACTGGAGGACAGACCATCAGGAGTTCAGTCAACCCATCATGATTGTCATGAGAAACATTAAAACCAAACTCCATTCCCAGAAACAGTACTCAAAAATCTGGGGCCTCATTTATAAAACAGCGTCAGATGATCCATACTAAAAGTGTAAGTGTTCTCAAAAGCTGAAAATGGCGTGCACCAAAAAGTAATCTAAATTACAAAACTTTACATATGCACACCTGCAAGCACTTTACCTTTTCTAAATCACAGTCCACTTGGAAGATTGTGCAGATGGATTCATCTCACATCCCACCCTCTACACACTCTCATGTTTTACAGTGAAGGTAAAACGTACTTTGTTACTTTTCAAAGTAATTTGTTACTGCATCGGCATATAAATAAGCCTGCTGATCAGTGCCATTTTATGCTCAATTATGGCAGAAATGATGGGGAAAAGGAATTTCACAGAGATCAAAACAGAGGAGCTATGGGTGAGATTCTGCACTGCTGTAAATAGTGTGAGTGCCACAGAGTGATCTGTGGCAGAGGTGAAAAAGAAATGGTTGGATATGAAGGTGGAGGCCAAGAGGAGAGTGGCATGGCGCCATCAAAGCATGTCTGCCACAGGTGGGGACAAGGGCACACCTGAGCCCACACCGCTGAAAACCAAAACAGCCTCCGTACTTTTGACAGCCAGTGGGTGTGACATAGTGTTAGAGAAGGAAGGAGAGACAGATTTGGCAGAGACCACAGAGCACAGGAAACCACTAAAGTACAAATGTATAAAAAAAAAATTGGAAGAGTTGGAAGCGGCAGGTTCTGGGCACAGCTTGTCCTGGCTTCGTGGCTGAAGGCCTGGCTGTCCCCAGCACCAGTGCGTCCTGATTGCATGGTGCACCTGGAAGTGGTTGTGTCCTGACCAACACTGTCCCACAAATGCAAAGAGACACCATCAGTGTGAGAAATTAAGTCAAAGACAAACTCATGTGATGTCATGTCTTACATTGCCAACTCCAAGGTCTTGTTGACTTGCTGTCTTATTAAAAACGCCGCATGACACTTTATGAAGCCTTGCTCCTCGTTGAAACTCCTGATGTCGGGGAGTTGATTGTGGGTAGCGGCCCTCATAGTGAGGGGGAAGGAGGCTCTGACATGTTGGGCAGAACTCCACAAGCCCTAATGATCTTACACACATTTGTAGGGTGGTAGAGCAGTCTGCCTCTTATCATCAGCTCTCTTTGAAATCAGGAGTAGAACAGCAAAAAGTTTTTCTCTGACTTCGCCACTCTCGTCTCTCTGCAGCTCTGGAGCCCACTGAAGAGACCCCACCCAGAGAGATCATCCTTGACCCAAACATCACCCCTTCCTCTTCCTCCATGCCCCCCTCCTCCCCCCCTGACGCCTCCATGGACCTAACCTGCAGGTCTCGAGCCAAACAGAAGCCCTCCAAACCCATGATGAACAGTGTGGCAGTCAGTATGGGGGCCACGGCGCCTGAGGCGGGGCTGACAGATGGCGCTCTGAAGCCAGAGGTTCAAGCTGATGGAGCGGCGGCAGAGGAAGACCCAGCCTCCCAGCTGTCAGCCCCACCAACCTCAGATGAGCCGAGCCCGGAGCGTCTAGCAGGGCTGGGTCTAGACCTGGCCTGGATGCAAGAAAGGGTCAGTCATCTCGGGGCAGCGTATGCAGTGGCTCAGCTGGGTCTGAACTCAGAGACTGGTCACCCCTCCTCCTTCTCCTCTCAGGGGGGCACAGACAGTCTGGATGGCCCACCCACCATGCTCTTCACAGGTGGAGCTCATGAGATTGCTGCTTTTGCTGCCTCCTTTGACATGGCTGCAGCTGCTGTGGTAGCTGCACCCCCCCCTCCACCTCCTCCACCCCCCCTCCCGTCAGCTCCTCCTGCCCCACCCACCAGCCAGAGAAGGCCTTACAGGAGCGCTTCAGCAGCCAAAGAGCCTGCAGTGTGTGCAGTTTGTGGGCGGGTTTTCCCCAGCAGCGCCGCCCTAGAGCTGCACCAGCGCGTCCACACAGGGGAGAGACCGTACACATGCCCCCACTGTGGGAAGGGATTTGCTCAGCCAAACAACCTGCGGGTGCACCTCCTCATCCACACAGGGGAGCGGCGCTATCGCTGCTCACTGTGTGGGAAGAGCTTTATTTCATCAAGCCACCTGAAGAGACACCGCACCGTTCACACGCAGGAGAAACCATACAGTTGCTCCCGCTGTGGACAGTCCTTCAGCCAAATGTGCAGTGTCCGACGACACAGGCAGCAGTCTCAGTGTGGACTGTAGACCACATCTTAAAGGGGACTGAGTCTGGATCTGAATTGGGACCAATCTAAGTGTTAAAAGGGAGCAAGGACAAGTCCTGAGATCTGAAAAGACGTGTAGGTCCACCTGGATCAGAGTGGGAGCTGGAGTGCCTGAGAGACTGTTTACATCAAATCACAACATATCACGTTCATCAGTTAGTGAGACACCCTGCCTGTGACACACACTCATACACACACACACACACTGACAGGGGCGGGTCCAGGGAAGGATGTGGTCTCCTGGTTCAGAGCGTGTTAGTGTAGTCACAGGACCACTTGCTGACACAGAGTCAGGCTTCTGCTCCCTGGTCTCTGAAACCCTCCTCTGACTGATCACAGTTTTCTTACAGGTCCTCACAGCACCCATGATCCCAGCAGAGGAGAGTTATTTGCAGGGTCAGTTTGGCACAGCAAAGACAGACTAAAGTTAAATTCCAAGCATGAAGGGGGTAACATGCTCTCCCTCATTTACAGCAAAAAATTCAAAGTTTCAATGTTTGGAGTCCATACGAAATGTATGTAAATTTTGAGGTTAAGTTATGATTCATAATACTAGAAAAAAAGATGTAAACTGCTGAAACAGGTTCATGCAGGAGGGCCTTAAAAATACAGCGGCTAAAACAAAGCTTTTCAGATGGAGGCTGAAATAATGATTCTTCAATAAACCAGAGTGAAAGACAAGAAGCTTTTTTTTTAATCTAAAAATGATGTAAAGCTATTAAAGAAATATCCGAAAGGAAGTACAGAGTCTGAAAAATGCATAACAAGGAAAATTACGATAAGTGTTTGTCAATGACCCTTTTCTCCGTGACAAAGACAGAGATGAGATACAATACGTAACTGTTAACAAAAATTTGGTTTTCCTTTTGATAACAGAAAAAAGGTGTAATTAAAGGGGTAATTTGGTGTAAAATTAATGTAGGGTCAAACACACCTTAACACTAAGTTAGACACCCCCTCAAGAGATGAATCTTGCCAACTGCTTGCGTCTCTAGTAATACCAACTTTAGTAATGACGGCACGATAGCAATGCACAGCGGTCTAAGGAGCCATAAACAAATCTCAACCAAAAGCCACTCTATAACCACAAATAATGCTCAGAACAGCACCTAACTTCATCAACAGTACATATAGGGTCCCAGCCATAGTACTAGCCATCAAACATCTTTTTAGCTTTGCCTGGTTTCTTTGGCAAAGAGACTAAACACAACTCACCTACTCTCTTCCAGCAGCCGCTTGTTTGTAGCAAGACCACCAGCCAGTCCATTGAGGACTGCTGCGGGGTGACGCAGCTCAAGGAAGAACATTTATGATCATCACTTTATCATTTCCTTGAAGTAAAAATCACTATAATAATCATTTTGCACTGCAGATGCGGTAGTTCTGCCTTAGCATCTCGGTCTGATTGCATTTCCATGAAGGAATGGTGCATTGCTATCATGCGGTCGTTACTAAAGTTGGTATAACTAGAAAAGCAAGCAGTTGGCAAGATTCTTCTCTCGAGGCGGTGTCTAACTTGGTGTTATGGTGTGTTTGACCCTACATTAATTTTACACTGGAATATCCCTTTTAAATTCATCATATTTCCCCACTGTATATCTAATATGTCATTTAAAAAGAGAGTCTTAACTTAATTATCAAACTGAGATAAAAAGAAAAAATCCTGATATTACATGAGCTTAAGTTATACAAAGGAGACGAGGTACATCTTTGACCCCATTTTCTGATTGATCAGTCGACTTACTTTGAAGACAGAGAACTTTTGACTAAATTAATGCAAATAGACCAGAGGACTTTTTCATCAACTAAAACTAGGCTAAAACTACTAAGAGCAGAGATGACTAAAATTAGACTGTTGCCCATATTATTCCTGACCTGGATCAGAGGAAAGTCTGGAGCCAAGCTAGATTCACATAGCAGAGTTGCCCAGTTTGAAGGAAGCTGTAGCCTAGCTTGTGTGCAGGTTTCTATGAAAGAACCAAGCTGACAGATTTCCATTGTGGCAGAAACTCTTACTAGTGGCATGTAACATATAAACTTACTTCAAAAACACTGAAATATCCCTTCAAGTGCAAATGACCCTCCTTATCCTCTCATCTCACCTTGAGTGTTGGTGATAGTGTAGAACATTAATACAACAATACAAAAGATACAAAGATTAAGAAATGCCCAAAATGAGCATGCTCAGTGAAAAAAACAAGACTCTCTCTCGTCTTTATGCTAACCATGCCCTGTAGCGCTCACTCTTATTTTAGAGGTTATGTTAACTGACCAGGTTTTAATCTCAGACACTGAGACACAGACCTGATCCTGGACTCATCCTTTGGACCTCTTTAACCCCAGCCCCTCCTCACCTGGTGGACAGGACTGAATCATTGTCACAGGTGGGCTCTGTCTCCTCCATGACTGTGTTTCTGACCCCTGTGAATGTCACAGCTTCATTTTCACTCATTTAACAGGATCATATGATGAGAAATCAAATAGTTTTTTCTCTATCAGATATCGGACTGTTTTCAGCTGCTGTGTTTGAGTCTGTCTGATGTCAGTCTTTGTCTTCACTGACAATTAAAGAGTGTATAAAAATGTACATTCAGAAATACACATATACATGAGTAAATATATATATATATATATCTACAGTATACCAGAGAGTTGTGTTTGTGTGTTTGGATGTCGTTGGCTGTAGCTCCGTGTTGCACATCTAAACCTGATGTTTGGCCTTTTAGTCCTGACCTGTTTATGTGTTTCTACAGCTGTCATTAAACATGTTACAGGTTCACAACGACACCTGGTTTTATTTATGATGTTTCTGCTTATTTCTTTGTATACAGAGCTCACCATAATCTGGGGGGTGAAAGAATCATCAAATTGTTTTAGATTGTTTTAACACAAAATTACAAAAAAAATTCAGCCAAGCAAAAACATTTTTACTACATATAAAGATGATATTAAAACAAATTTAAAAAATGTTTTTTAAACCCTTAAGTGCTTGAAAGAGACTTTTTTCGATTGCTAAATCATGTCTGTCGAATCAGATGATACACCCTATTTTTTAGAAGTCATGTGCAACTCTTGAAAGGGACAATGCATCAGTTCTTTAATTTGGAAGACTGTTCTATTAAAAATGAAAGATTTGAGATCATTAAGTGCTTAAATTCTATCACAGACTGTGGATCTAACAAATCATTTAGTCTTTCAAGGTTTTGATGTTCTGTATAAGCTCAAGAGCTGGGCTTGCTTCACAGTAGTGTCTTTCACAACAGTTATTTGTTTGCATTAGGGATCACTACAGCCTGTCTTGTCATGCTTATTCTGTCCTTCAGCTTTTCAGACACCAAGAAACACAATGATTGCCCAGCTCTGGCAACTACTGAAGCAGCTTTTCGTGTATTTCACATGGACACAGCACCTCCATTTTGTTCATGTTTTATTTACCAAAGAAGCATCTATGGAGGCACTTTTAGAGCATTGCTTCAGACTTAAAGGCAGTGGCTTCCTCCCCCTCTACATGGACCATTGATCTTTTGATCCCTCCCTGCTTTCTGGTCTCTGTGACTCTTAAGAGACCATGATGTAGTGAATGATTACTATGCTGTATTGAAGCAGACTGTAAACTAGAGACATACTATGAACTCATTAATGATGTTTACTTACAGAAGACATCAGCTGAGAGAAACATTTACTCATAGACTGATAGAGATATGTACAGGTATATACCATCAGACTACTTCATAAACAGAAGAGTCTGAGTTTCAGTCCTCTGGTCTCTGTGGATTAGTCTCTGTCAAAGCTGTTTAGACCAGCATGAAGAGGGTTTGATTGATTTAAATAATCAATTACCACAATAAAATTAAACAATCTTGAATCATCAGCCCCCTTGAGAACACCACATCTGTTGTTGGGTATCCTGGTCTCAGTCCCTCTGTGATCCAGTCTTGCTGGACCGGGTTCTGGCAGTCAGCTCTGTCAGGAAGCACATGCTGAAGTGAATCTGTAGGGCGTCACAGACTTTGGACCAAAAGTGTCCAGTGAGTCTCTGGAAGAGCCGGTACTGGGCCAGCTCGAGGTCCAACAGCTTGAGGACCACGAACCCGCAGCAGGATAAGACCGCCAACAGAAGATATCGCCGCGTGCGCTCGTCCCCGTGCGTGATCTGCACGCGCAAGCCTTTAAACACAGCCATGAGCACGTGACCGCCCAGTGCCAACTCGAAGCCGCGCGTGTGCAGCAACGCCAGGCCGTAGCTGAGAACAGACAACAGCTCAAGCGCCGCCGCATGCCGCGCGTGCCAACCCCTGGGCCCGCGCTCGATGAAGCCGATCCAGACCAGAACCCAGGCGAAGATCGGCAACGTAACCCATTGATCCAGCACCGCGGGAGCGCGCCGTAGCACTGCCAGACGCGCCCACTGCACAGGCGCGTACAGGATAGACATGAAGGCAAACACCTGACGCAGGTATCGGCCCTGCTCTGGCTCTCTGACGTCGGTGTGACGCAGTAGCCAATAAAGACCCGTGAGGGCGTACAGCAGGTTGACAAGACAGTTGCAGGGCATCGCGAGGAAGCCTGGAAAGTGGTCCACACGTCGCTCCGCATAGTGATCGTACGACAGATCCACCGCAACTTCATCAAAAACCCGGCAACACGTCAACAGAGCGCAGAGCGTGAGCGGCAGCGCCACGTGCAGCAGAGCGGAGAGCATCATGTATGGTCGATTACCATGATCGATTAAAAGTCGAACAAGGAGCAGCAAGCGAGAGACTGTGGGCAATCAGCGTGTTCCTGTTCTAGGTTCTTCTTCTTCTGCTGATCTACCTGTTTGTTCAGTCATTCACACTCAGCTACAGGTGAGCAGCGCCGTCTGCTGTTCACCTCGAGAATAAGGTTTTATCAGGGCAAAAACCATAGACTGTGTATAGAATAGTATAGAATCTGTATACAGCAGCTGGCGCTGTAGCATTGCAGACAGACAGAACACAGATATGTCTTGCAGCCTGCTGATGAGGAAAAAGGAATGAAACACTCCCCTGATTAATTTTTATATTTATTTATTAAAAAATAAAACAAGTCCTTAAACAAAATAACACACACATAAATTCATAAATCCTCGACTCTGTATTTGTGCAGTTTAAACGTTTAACACACTCAGACTGTTTCTATTCACTTAGTTTAAAGACAGACAGCTGCAACTTAACTCAGAGCTGACAAGACAAAAGCAAACAATCATAGACAGACTGGTGACAGACAGGATCTGAAGACAGAATCAGCAGACGTCTGAGTCTCAATGCAACACCTTCATCCTCTTTATTCTCCTCTTCCTCTTCTTCTATCTTCTCTTTGTTCCTCCAAACCCTGACAGAGAATAAAAACTCCTGAGTGAGTCACCTGTGCCAGCTGTCTCAGGTAAGTTTACAGCTCAGGTGTGTGTGAGGAGCTTCAGTGCAGTGTGTGTGTACCTGATGCAGTGCGAGTCCCAGAGGAGGAGGGTCCGGTAGAGGGTGCTCTGTTGCTGTTGTTGCTAAATGTGGGGTAGTTGTGGTTGTGGGGCTGATTCCTGTAGAACACACACATGCACACGCACACACATTTATTTTTTAACAAAGCGAGATCCACTTGATGGAAGTTCCAAAACTGATCTCTCCCACACTAACATACTTAAAAACCCTCATGACACTCATGTTCATGTGTTGAAACAGTGCCGGCTCTCTCGCTGTTGCTCAGTCTGGCAGTAAGATCACTAAAGACTGACACTTAATCCTTATTCTAACAGCTTGTTTTCACCTAAAAGTCCAGTTTGGTACAGTGCAGTTTGGTCTGGCAAACCTTGATGTCACTTGAATTACTATGGCAGACTAGATCCTACTGTGTTATGCCTTGATTTTGAAGTTATGTTCTGAACATTGATTGGTTGGTTTTCTTGTTTTCCTTGTTTTAATTTCTCACTTGTACTCTTCCAAATTATGTCCCTTTAACATGTCTTTGTTTAGGCTCACCCGTGTTTTCCACTTTCACCAAAACACTAATGGTGCTGAATTTAATTTCGCACCTGCTGTCAGTCCGCTGTCTCTCTAAACTCTCCATGGTGTAAACAAGACAAACATGCAAACCCTAATTTAAATATCACCTCCTCCTTCATAGTCTTTGCGCCTGACACCATTACACAGTTCTTCTTCATTGAATAACAACAACAACAAATGTGCAAGATATAATGATGTACGCAAGCAATTTAATACTGGTCATGAGGGGTCTTTGTAAACCAGAGGCCTGTACTACGAAGCTGGATTTGGTCTTGGCGAGATAACTTCTGGGTTTTCCATACTGCAAAGGTGGATCTCTTATTATCCGGGTCCGTTGCCCCGGTAACTTACGCGGAACGCCAAACCTGCTCCAGAGCAGGTTATGTTTCAGGATAAGATCTCAGCAGGTATAAAAGACCGCCCAATGACCAATCGGATCTCTTGGAAAATGGCCTGCCCACTTTTGCCGGATCCCGGGGACATCGTTGCACGGATGGTGAGAGGAGCGCTTCGCGTTTATTCATGATCGTTCAAATCCGTTTGATGACGTTCTCTATGAACGTTATAGGTTTTCCTCGGACGGCCTCAACAAAGCATGAAGTCTAAGCAATGCACTAATATTTGCCAAGCTCCAGGTTCCAATTTCATGCAGCATATCAGTCATCATTCAGAATTTATTGAAGCAGATTGGAAAACTGCTCTTAACCCTAACTGTGTCTGCAGATGACATGTGACCATCAGATGAAGAAGAAAAAAAAGGCAGTGTGAGGAAATCACTGTTTATGCGTTGAAATATGTACAAATAAAATCTTCCAATAAACCTACAAACTACTTTAAAGGATGTTTTTAGATTTATTTTTATTTGCTCCCACGTACTCTTTTCCCCACTGCTGTTGTATCTGAAATAATGAGGTCTATGATGGAGGTTATCACACACGCTGCATGACAACATATTAGGGGGCCATACATTTATGAACGCACAAATGTAATTTACACAATCGATGATTTTTTTTTGCCAGCAGTCCCTCCGGCTTTTAGCGGCTGCGGCTGTCCTGCTCCTCACAGTTAGAATGTTGCGGTACTCCTCGTAAAATAAAGCTCTGTTCTTCGGCTGTGAAAAATGACGTGCAGCCTTCTCCATTGTAGAGATTGGTACGGTGGAACTGACTCCACCCCCTTTACATGTGCGCGCACAAATCTGAAGTGGCCACACCTGGATTCAGTTATCGAGTTGATAACCGGCTTCGTAGTACAGCTGATCGGGATCGCGGAGATCCGGTGAAGTTAAGCGAGGTGTCGCAGAGTTACCCTGGATGTGTTAATCCAGCTTCGTAGTACAGGCCTCAGGTCAGTAAAGATATAATCCAATACGATCTGTCTGCCCCTTCCTCTCACTTAATCCTTTACAGTTTAGGGTCTAATTAGTGTTTGTGGTACCCCAACAGTAAGGCGCCAAAAAGTGCAATGGTACCAGTCAGTCAGTGTGGTTTTACAAACTTTACAAACGTTTTTGTTTTCATTGTTTTACAAACAATGGAAACAAAAACAGGCAGACTGATGATGCCATTTGAAGTGGGCAGGGTCCCTCTTCTGTCCTGCTGACTATAGGTGCCTGTCAGATGAAAACAGGTGAAAACATTCTTATCCATGTTTGAGTGATACAAACAGGAAACACTGCACTCCTCCCCCTGCCCCACATCATACTGCATGGGGAGGAGCCTTGATCGTCACACTACAGAGAGTGTTTTTTCACAACTGTCTAACAGGTACACTCCAGCTGAGAGGTAAGATATGACACAATATGACTGAATGTGGCATTATAAGATATAATATGATACAACAGTGACAGTTACATTATATGACACAAATAAATGTCCATTTAAAAAAAAATTATCCCTCTACATCTCTTCACTGACCTCTGACGACCAAACAGGTATCCCAAGAGCCCTCCTGTTCCCATGCCGCTAAAGAAACCGCCTCCTAAACCTGAGCCTGGAGCCCGTCGGCCTCCTGGGTAATGTGGTCCCTGTGTATAATCACTGTGGAAATTATAGGAGGGATTTGACCCGGGGGGGGCTGATTGGGGAAGGGGGGAGAGAGAGAGAGAGAGAGAGAGAGAGGGAAGACAGCATTTACACACAGACACATCCTCATCCTCTGTGTGCAAGTGTTTGTGTGTGTGTCTTTGTTACCTGTGAAGTCAGGTTTGAAACCAGGAGGAGGTGGTCCTGAGTTGAAGCCCTGGTGGTTGTCATGGTAACCAGCTTGCCCCCCATCCTGCCTCCCTCCTTGCCCCCCCTGGTTTGTGTTGTTCCCACTGAGGAAGAGTTTATAGACACCGAAGGCCAACACTAGCAGCACCAAGGGGACCAGCAGACCTCCAGAGTCCTCACTGCCAGGTGATGACCTCTGACCCTTCTGATGGTGACTGTTCCCATTGGAACCACCAAAGAAACTGGAGGCAAAGCCCCCCAGATCTAAAACACACACGTGCACACACACATTCAGTTTGGATGCACTCATGATGTGCAGAAGAAGAAGCTTTAAAATGTCACAGATCTTCCTACCCCTCCTCTTACCTTCAAAGCCCCTGAAACCTCCACCTGACCCCCGCTTGTTCCTGCGCCCCTCCTCGGTCAGCTCCAGAGTGAATTCCAGGCCACAGGACCCCCTCAGGATGTAAGGATCATCAGGGTGACTGAACCCCTCACAGCTCACCTCCACACGCCCGAACCTGAATGCAGCATCCATGTCTGTCCTGCACTCCCACTAAAGTAGGGGGGTGGGGAGGGGGACATGTGAGGGGCGGTCATTACATATCATACAGACTGTGATGCACATGTGAGAAGCTGCAACGAGCACCAAACTCTGGCCTTTACCACTAAAGCCTGTCTTTACAGCAGAAACGTGTTTACAGTCTGGATAAGAACATTATTTAGGGTCTTTACAGTTCAGATTTCTCTGCACACACTCCATGTGTGAGTGAACGGACTTCAAACTCATTACTATGTTTGACGTTATATTATTGTAGATGATCAACAGTATTATATCAATTACATTTTTTTTTAATGACAAAAGTCTTGTCCCCTATCCAAGTTGTAGGAACTTGGATAGTAATAATGACTGGACTTGTAGTTGATCAGTAGACATCAGAAATGGCTAGTATGAACGGCAACAGCCTCCAGATTGTATTGATTAAACAAAAAATAAAGTTGTATATTATTCATTGAGTTTTATAATTTAACCCCCCCACCCCCCCTTCTTATCTCCTCTATCTTAACTCATGAAGCTGAAGTTAGGAGGCGTTGATTCAATAAGAACTGTTGCACTGTTATCTTGACCTAACCAAGTTTCATAAAGTCAAAAACATAAAGTCAAGGTTGTTCTGTACAATGAAATCATTAATAAAAAATGATTTTGCCTGATAATGACATGATAATGCATGCAGAACTTCAACCTTTTTCACTTGTTCGTGGTAAGAAAAGGATCAATCACCATCATTTGAGGAGCAAGAGGTAGAAGCTAACAGGTGTGTTTAGTTGTGGCTCGAAGGCTTAAAGCACATTTTTGAAGGATGTTAACAGTGATAATCTCAACAATGATCACGAACAGCAGCTTGTTGAGCTTGTGCTATGAAGTTTACTCCCCTCAGTTTTTTCCCACAGGACAGGAATCTATGGTTGTGTGTGATTTGGGGAGTTGGAGGTGGGGATGGGGGGCGACAATGACTTGCTAATGCTAATACTCAATGCGCACATGCGGTGCAGCGCCCGTGTGCGTGCACATATACGCTAACAGATGAGCCCGAGATAGAGCCACGTAAGAAAAAAAAAGTCATTTTCAAGGTGTGGTGGCTTATATGGTGCGCTACGATCAACTGCACGATGGATCTTCTGGACTTTAAGTTGGCTGTGTGGTCTGCCACACAACTTAAAAGGGATATTTCTGCGTAAATTTAAGTTATGATCAAACACACAGTTAGACACCCCCTCGAGAGATGAATGTTGCTGACTGAGTGCAGCAGAGTTTTGCAGCTCCAGGAAGAACATTAATGATCATTACTTCATGGAAATGCAATCAGACTGAGATGCTGAGGCAGAAGAACTACCGCGTCTGCTGTGCAAAATGATTAATATGGTGATTATTACTTCAAGAAATTGATCCGCTGCACCTGGTGATCAACATGTCAGGGCTCTACCACAAACAAGCGGCTGCTGGAAGAGAGTAGGTGACTTGTGTTTAGTCTCTTTGCTAAAGAAATCAGGCAAAGCTAAAAAGATGTTTGGTGGCTAGTACTATGGCTGTGACCCTATATGTACTGTTGATGAAGTTAGGTGCTGTTCTGAGCATTATTTGTGACTATAGAGTGACGTTTTGGTTGAAGTTTGCGCGTGGAGACGTAGACCGATGTGTATTGCTATTGTACTGTTGTTGCTGAAGTTCGTATAACTAGAGAAGCAAGCAGTCGGCAAGATTAATCTCTGAATGACTGTATACATTCAATGAATAATACACAACAGGGGGTTACTAACTTGGTTTTACGGTGTGTTTGGCCATAACTTAAATTTATGTCAGAATATCCCTTTAATCAATAGCAGACATTTACTTTGGTCTTTCTTTGGTTTTGGAAATGGGATGAAATACACCCCATTGCCCATCCTGTCAGGATACCTTGTGTCGGTATTACATTTACCCCATGCACACCTTTTTACCACGAGTTCCACTGATACTAAACTGCCTTTGGCTCATCTGTGTTTGAGGAGTGGGGCTTAGCGATAAGTCAATTACCCTCTGAGTTTTATGTTGAAGGCTCTGCTCTTCCCAAACACCATCTATGAGGCGTGGCTCAGATGGATGGGAAATATACCATCTAACATGGAAATGACATGATTGTTGATTGATGAATGAATGCTCAGGTAAATCCAAAGCTGGACCCCCCTCTCCTCACCTGGACATCCACTCCATCCCAGCCTTTGTTCTGACACTGAACCACCTCAGGTACAAAGGCCTGACAGCCAGCCGAGCCTCCCACACACTTCAGCTGAGGCACAGGGCTAGAGCGCCGTGCTGTGGTGTGGCGGTCTCTGTACAGTGTCAGGACCTGAACGTCACGCAGCAGCACGCCACCTGCTGGAGAGAGGAGGGACATGATAATGGAGTTAAAGTTCAGTGTTACAGTCAGGATTCAGGCGTGCTAACAGAGACTACAACAGAGTTTCATTCATTCATACACTGATGGATAAGAGAGAGAGAAACACAAAGGTCAGGTTATATTCATCCTGCTGACTGATTCATAGTAGAGCATGCTCTGATATCTGCAGCTCTTTATCTTCACATATCTTTATCAATCAGACTGACTTTGACAGGCTATTTATCTGCCTACTGACTCAGAGAGGAGGGTTTTATTGGTGCAGGATTGGCGTCTTTACAGATCAGAGACACAAAGTTTGATGGACATGATTCAGAGACAATTACAGAGAAAGTACAGAAAACACCTAAAATAAAGCAGATCATTATAAGAAAAATGGAGGAAACTTTATGAATCAGAATGTCAAACTATCTCAAACAATCTGTTCATTCACATAATTTGTATTTCAAACCTTTTCTAGGAAAATCTGACATACAATAATCCAGATGAAAGTGAAATCAAAAGCTAATAGAACAAGAAAACATGAAAAATGAAACTAATGCCATTACATTTCTGCGATCTACTGACAAAATGATCAAAAAACATCAATGTTGATCTCCTCTACTTTATACTACGGCTCTTACATTAGAAAGTATCTTTTAATTCAATTTGTGTGATTTTTTTAATATAGGGAATTATGTTTATTAAAGGGTAGTGCCTTTAAAAGTTAAATGGCTTTTAAGAGAACTAAGTTTTCAGTTAATCTGTGGGTTTTTCATTAATTAAACGGTGTTAATTCATAGGTAATGGCTATAATATTACCTATAGCCTAATAATAACTGTACTGTTGTTAACTGTAGTGACACCAAACCTTACCCTGATGATCAAACATCTCAACAAGTTTATTCTAGAGCTCTTACTTTAGAAAAATATCTTGTAACAACAGAAGTTTTCTGGCTCGAAGGACGGCTTGTTTTTAGGAAACGGGGTTGTAGCTTGATTAAAAGGACGGGTCGGGTTTGTAACTACTCTGTTTCATTGTCGGTAAATCCTTATCTTTGAATATCTTTCTAACTTCACCTACGTAGCTGTTGCTGAGTGTCTGACAAAAAAAAAAAAAAAGTTTCAATAAAAATTTAACTTCCTGCGTATTGTTGTGAAGTTAGCTCCGTGTGCTAATATGTTAACATGTCGTTAAAAAGATCGTCAATTAAAAACCAACCTTCATTCCAGCTCCAGCTTTCCTCCACCAGCATCACAATCAGAGCCAACACGACGGTGACCGCTGGCTTCATCACTGCTGATAGTTAATTAAATAATAGTTAAAATTAAACTAAACTTATATTAACACAAACAGGATGCGATCAACACCAACCCACACTGACAACTTCTTCCTTTCCGGGTTGCGTCATTTGTTGTTGTCGTCGTCAACCAATGAGGAGTGTGCACGACTCAGCAAGTGAGAGTGTCTGGCAAGGTGTCTGGTACATTAGTCGGTATGATGAAAGAACATGAAATAATGAAATAACGAGAAATCAATTCTTTTGATAAAATACAATGAATAAAATTGACATTATAAACAAAGTTTAAACAGGTCGTGATGGACAGCAGATTACCTTAATCTGAGTTTAATCTTACACTGTCAATTATTTTAACTTGATAAGGAATCACCCCAGTCGTTGATAATTCAGATGTTCAGAAGTTTTTTTTCTTTCTTTCTTTTTTTTTTTTTTTTTTTTTTTAAATCTTCAGTTAATATCTGTTCTTTCAGTTTCGGGAATCACGTCTCCTTTACTTTCATTGATATCTTAAAATAACAAACCTTGTTATTCATAAATCTGTTCCAACACTAACACCAGTTTTGCAAGGTGAAATAAAAATTGAGATTTAGAGAAAAAAAATACATACTTACATTAAAAAAATACAATTAGAATGTATAGCTGCGTATGTTCTGAGTTTTTATAATTCAGTTACCTTTACTTTTAACACCTAATGATAATATATAAATTAACTAATAATATGTAGAATATAATATTGTTCAAGACTTTTATACCAAACACAATACATCTACACAGAAAAGATGTTTCACACTTTATTTTACTCTACTCAACCTTCACATTACCAGGTGAAAAAACTACAAACATATAAAACAGCAAATGTTTACAACAGATTCCCATATACAGCAAAATATTACATCACAGAATAAGTCAACAAGTCACTGAGTACACAATCCATTCTCCTGTAACCTGACCAGCTTCTTCCAGCAATACAAAGCTTACCTATCAGCCTTATATTATGTAATGGAGTAACTAAACAGCAAGGATAATCACTTAAATGTCTTAAGAGAAATAAAAAAAATCTGTCATGGGTAAAATCAGCTCCTGTCCTGAAAAAAGAAAAAAAAAAAAGAAAACAGGCAGATACTGTCACTTCCACCTGTTTTGCTGAACAATGGGGCCAGTAAAATTTAAAGATTACACTGCAAGGCTATTAACCTCAAAGCTAATAACCGCCCAATGGGTATGCTACTAATATTTCAATTGGCACTTTTTTAAATGTTAAAAGTAATTTCAGTATACATATATATATATTTTTTGTGACAAACACAGAGTGCAACGCATTGTGGGCTCTGCTGAGAAGGTGATCGGCTGTAGCCTTCCATCTCTCCATGACCTGTACGTCTTCAGGACTTGGGGCCGAGCAGGTCAGATCACAGCTGACCCTTCTCACCCTGCACATGGACTATTTGAGACACTTCCCTCAGGCAGGAGGCTACGGTCCATTCGGACCAGAACCTCCCGCCGTAAGAACAGTTTCTTTCCCTCTGCCGTTGGACTCATGAACACTTTATAACTCAGTCACTTTAACTCCGTGATTTTATCACTGGTCACTTATATTAAATGTACCTTGTTTTTTTAATTGCACTCCTCCCACTGCACTGTTGTTCTGTATTGTGTAGTTGTACATAGCCTGTTATACTTACTGTACATAGCACTGTACACAGCCTTTTATACTTTTATACTTTATATATGTCCTGCATGCTCTTATTATTTTCTATTCTAGTATTTTATATATTATTCTCCGTTTAATGTTGCACCATCGCGCCGTAAAAATTCCTAGTCTGTGAATCCTGTTCATTGACAATGGCAATAAAACCCTTTCTGATTCTGATTCTGATTCTGATTCTGATTCCAATCTAAAAGGACATTTCAGTCATGGGGTTAATCCAATCACAAAAAAGTGATTACTGAGTTTATCAAAACCTGGCCTACAGCTCTGTACAAAACCCTCTGCATTTGACACCATTGATTATTCTGCTCTACTCAACAGGCTGCATAATTCGGGGTCTTTATTACATCCTAAAACAGTTTTAGTCCCACTTATGTAAAAGACATGTAAAGTTTTGCTCAGTTATGTGTCCAGTTTGATCAATCAATCAATCAATCAATCAATCAATCAATGAATCAATCAATCAATCAATCACTTTTTGTACGCAAAGTGCTTTACATAGCTGAAAAATAAAACAAACAAAACATACTCGACTCTAACCCCACCCCATCCCCTCATTCCCACCCCACAATCTAAGCACAACAGTAACAAGTACTTCAATGAATTAATTTGAAAAGAGCTCGATTTCATAGAAAGGGACCTACACAAACCAGGTGAACAAGCTGCTTCAGTTCAGTTTAATGCAAAGTGACTTTGCTGACAAACTCATTGAAAGTTCAAAAATCTCTCTCTTATAACAGACAGACTGGGTTTGCTATGTCAACTGCCAAGTAACTTTGTGAGGCCCTTAACGAAGAGCCAGAACTGAGGGAGAACAGACTGAGGAGCACTAAGAGGCAGTTTGCCTATGAGACTGCAGATGAGCCCATGAATGATGCCCTGAAGAAGCTTGAGGTGACATTCTTTAACACTGTTGTTGACTCTGCTCTAAGATCACTGCAAGACAGATCTGAGACATCTACTGAGGTGAAGGAGAAATTTGGTGTGCAGCTTGATTTCACACAGCTTCAAGGGATGCCAAAAATAAAAACCCTTGCAGAAACTTTGCATCAAGGCGGAGAAGACATTGACAAAGGGGTAGAGTCTGATATTGACAGTGTAGAGGTGGCCCAAGAAATCATGAATCTCACACAACTGCTCTGGAGATGTTGACATTTTTCCATGAAAATCATTTGCAGGAACTGTATCCAAATGGATTGCCCTTGTCATTGCAGTAACTCTCCCTGGAATAGTTGCCTCTGCTGGGCGAAGCTATTCAAAACTGAAGCTCATCAAAGCATAGTACCTCTGAGTTGTCAAAGCTACACTCTGCTCCTTTGTGCTGCACGACGAGTCTCACTGACTACAGCATTGTGAGCAGCATCTCATCTGATTCCCCTTTGACTTTTTGCACAGCTTTATTAAAGGAGCGGCGCTTCTGTTGGACCGTGTTGGACAACTCCTGGTAGGTGAAGATGCGGGATCCCTCGTACTACTGGTTATTCGCCTTTCTAAAAACCTCAGTTTATCCCATGAGTTATGTTGCTTGATGATCACGGGGCAGGGACGATCACTTCTCACCTGGCAGTTCAATGAGCCTGGTCCAACTTTATTCTCCCTTTGGCTGTGTGTGTAAACTGAGTGTAGTGGGCAGCCATGATTAAAAAAACTCAGATCTGTTAACCCCCCAAAAAGGCAAAGAGAAATTCCCCCAACAAAAATCTAAACCTGGCTAAAACCATGACTATGTGATGGAAATTACAGAGCCCAAAAGCTGATATCCTTGACTGTGTGGATGCAGAAGCACTCATGGCTTTGTTAGTTTACACATAGGTTACACTGGTGATAGTGAAATACAGTATAAGGTATAGTGTGCTGTCATTCAATGCCTTTTTCATAGAAGACATTAATATTTCAGCAAGACAACGCCAGATCCTGCACCCATTACAGCCATATGAATCAACAACAGTCAGCATGGGAAAAGAATCTGGGTGGTAGACTGGAAACATGACAAAATAGACCCCTAACCATTGAGCAGGGAAGGTTACTTATCACCTTCAAAACTCCTGAAACACAGTGGTAAGCATGTTGCTAGCTGTAAAAGATATGTCACTGAATCAGACTTTAGACAACAGTTTTGTATTAAATAGTTTTATTTTAGTAGCAATGTACAACTTGCAAACATATGGGAACAGGGACATCTGCCATCATCTGGCAAAATCAAAAACTACAAAAAGTTTGACACAATATATAAAAACAAATAAGTTAGCATCAACAACTCCATCAGGCAACTGTCCAGAATCTGAACTGCTGGGCTCGACTCCTCCTCTTGACTGGTGAGCGTGTGTAAAGCATCATTCTGTTCCTTGTTGGTGAACTGTATGCTGTGTTGCATCTCTCGATAGCTTTCTCACTAATAGGGTAATTTTTCTTCAATATGTCTTTGTTTACAAGTCTGTGTGTATATTTGCTAGTTTTCACCAAGCACCATCTCTCTCTTCATTTCTGTTGACCTCTTCAGTGGTTTGTTATGTACTCTCATAGCACTTAACTTCTCTCACTAGCAATGGCCTCTCCCCTGCTTTTTGCTTCACCTGTTCGCTTCTGCTTGGTGTGTCAGCTGTTTGGTTACTCCTCGTCCTCTTTTTACAATAACAATACCTGTTAAGCTTAAGAAGCCCACGTTAGACCCCAGCCCCTCTCAGCAACACACCTGCTGAGCCCGACGCATTGTCTCCCTGGGGGCCAGAGTGAGCGACATAGAAAGTAGTTTGAAACTACAGGCAACGGCTAAACCTAAAGTCAGTAAGATTGCAATAGATATTGGCGTTGTAGGAGCCAAAAAAAATTTGTTGAGGGCATGATTTTTCTGATAGGTATATCACTTCTGGTGATCAACACTGAGGGGTGTGGTTTTGTGATTTTTGGCGGGTTATTTAAAAACGCTGGTGTAGTCAGAGACAATGGGTTTTAGTGAGCTCTGGTAATTTTCTGTTGACCATTTTTTCACCCATCCATCTTCAATTCATCAAATCACCTTTCATTTGAAGGCAAAAGTTTGGACCTGGATCGGTAGCCTTAGACTGTTAAGTTTTCTTCCTTTTTTTGAACAATTATCACCTTTAATGCTCATGCAGACTGAATGAACGAGTCACGGATGCAAGCGCACCTAAACCCCAATGGCCTTTTGTTGATGGAAAGCAGTCACTACAGGCGTTAATGACTCCTGGCGTTGTAAGTGGAATTGGTGGGTGAATACACCAACTATGTTGAGCTCTGTTGTTTTCTCTGGTCCCCTACCTGATTGGACAAATAATGAGATTTGTAGCTGCATTTCATCACTCAACCGCTGGCTGTCAAGGTGATGTCCGCGAAACAGTGTAGGTTCATTGATAATTGGAAATCGCTTTGGGGCAAACCTGGTCTGCTTGGTTGAAACGGCACTTATCCTATTTGTGACAGTGCGGCTCATTTACCCAGAAATCTGTCTGATTTTATTAGTCTTCCTCACTGACAATACATAGTGGAGACCAGGGAGCAGAGCTGCAGGCCTACTCCACTGTGCTTCCTTCAGAGCAGCGTCCCAGCCACTACCACTATGATATAGAGATTGTGTCTGTCCCCCGTCCTCTACCCTTTAATTCTAACCAGCTGAATATTATATCCAGCCTCAAAAACCATGTGACCAGTACTGTTTGCTATAGTTTTTCTCCCTTCCAGTTCATACTCAGAATTTTTGTCAGAATTCTAGGAGTTTCTATCTGATTTAGTTCTTAGTGCAGTCAAGGTCATTGTTGTGACTTAAATATTCATGTGGATGTGGATAATGATGGCCTTGACATTGCTTTTTTGTCTCTGGTAGACTCAATTGGGTTTACACGGTGTGTACATGGACCTACGTTTTGTTTTAACCACACCCTGGATCTTGTCCGGGCTTACAGCCTTGAAACTGAAACCTTGTCAGTCAGCTCATTAAATCCCCTTTTATCAGACCACTTCCTAGTAACTTTTGAATTTGTGCTATCAGGCTACTCTCCTTATCACAAAACCGTGCTAACAAGAAGGTTGTCTGAAAGTGCTGTAGCTAAGTTCAAGGAGGCAGTTCCATCTGCTCTTAATTCAGTGTTTGAGAATAACTTTACTGATAGCTCATACTTACGCGTTAGTCCTTTGCAACTTGATAAGTTTATCTATGAGTCATTATCTGTTAGTCATTCTTGACGCAGCTGCTCCTCTTCAATAGAAAACTATTGGACGCCAGAGGCTGGCTGGTGGTATTACACTAAAACTCATGAGCCTAAACAGTTAAGAAAACTGGAAAAGATATGCTGTCCTTCTAAAACAGCCAAAGCTTGCATACTCTGGCAGGACTGTCTCAATAAATATAGGAAGGTCTTGCAGTGTGCTCGGGCAGCTTACTACTCGTCCTTTATTGAAGAAAATATGAACAACCACAGGTTATCTCTTCAGCACTGTAGCCAGGCTGATGGACAGTCAGAGGACCATTGAGCAGTGTATTCCCTTAGCCCTCAGCAGCGATGACTTCTTGAGCTTCTTTAATGATAAAATCTGAAAAGGTCCCCTATTATGAAAAAAATCCACTTTGGGTGGTTTTCTACCAATAATATGCATCCCCTCGAAGCCAACAACCCCCCTGACATGAAAAAAAAATCACTTTCTCCCTTTCTTGCTATCCCCCTCCTCTCTAAAAACATGAGCGCAAACGGGCAGATGAGAAATCTGTGCAGTTATGACGACATCACAGCATAAGCCCCTCCCACATGTTGGTGGCAGTGCCCCCGATAATCATTAGCCCAGCCCTCTAAAACTTCTTCACTGAGGTAGTGGCTGCCATTTTTTCCCCTTGCATACGCTGCTCTGGTACAGTGACCATGTCAAAGCTACGACCCAGCTGTTACTTGGTTCTTGGTTGCATAAACGAAGACAGGAGTCTATTTCTGCCTCCTCCGTCGGAAGATTTGAGGACCCAGTGGATTCATTTTATTTTTGAAGGGAATGTACCCACAACAACTCAGGAAATGTCGTATGTGTGTGACAACCATTTAACCATGGACTGTTTAACCAACGAGGGGCAGTTCAAAGCAGGATTCGCTTAGAAGCTGGAGATAAAACTTGGATCTGTACCGACTGTCAGTATCAGGGACCCAACTTCAAATGTGGAAGCTGTAAGTTTTGTGTTTTATATTGCTTTACTGCCGCCCGTATGACTAGTGCTTTGGCTGCAATCATGTGTGTTTGCCATCGTTGGTATTTGTCTTCAGACTTGCTTCTATTTACTTTTAATCCTATGAGCAGCGGGTGTTCCTCGAGGGCGCGGAGTCACGCTGGTGCTTCCAGCCGTGGTGGTCTGGAGGTCCCCAGACCACCGCTCCTGGACCACCGCGGCGGTGCCAGCAACTCAGAGCGGCCTTGGGGAGGAAGAGCGTGGTTAAACACAGCTTATTATCATTTAAAGGTACAGGCACAGAATCAGCTCACTCTAAGTGGAGCTGCAAAAAAAAAAAAAAAAGGGGTGGGGGGTTCAGGCTGGCTGATATCCACAAGCAAACTGGTGTTTTAGACAACAAACTCCAAATTTACTATTGTGGGACCTCTGGGACCTATTTACACTTGATGAAAGATGCCATAATAGGATACCTTTAAAAATAAGAGATAAAATTACTAATATCTTGCCCTCAACAGGTGTTTTTCTCTGAGATGATTCTGAAATTGTGAAGACACCCTTAAGACCTCTGGTGTATTTTAGTAACTTTCCACCTATTGACCTCCCTGAGTTAAATTCAGTAGTGTTAGCAGCTAAAACACCAAAATTTCTTTAAGCCTCAATTCCATTTAAGCTGCTGAAGGAAGCTCCTTTTTTAATCAGTACATCTTTACTTAGCTTGATCAATATGTCATTATTAACAGGATATGTTCCCCAGTCTATGAAAACGGCAGTGATAAAACCTCTCCTTAAAAAACCTTACTCTTGACTAAGGCACCTTAGCTAACTATAGGCCAATATCTAACCTTGCCTTTATTTCTAAAATCCTAGAAAAGTTGTTGCAAATCAAATTTGTGATTTTCTTCATAACAGTAGTTTACCAGAGGATTTCCAGTCCAGATTTAGAGTCCACCACAGCATGGAGACTGTACTGCTGAAACTGACAAATGATCTACTTATGGCTTTAGACAGTGGTTTTCTCTCTGTTCTTGTCCTGTTAGATCTTAGCGCTGCATTTGATAGGACCACCAAATCCTGCTACAAAGAATAGAACATCAAGCAGGAGCTAATCTATCCTGGGTTAAATCTGATCTATTTGATTCAGTTCCCCAAATTCTGCTACTGGGTCCCACAAGGGTCAGTGCTTCAACCGATTCTTTTCACTTTGTACATGCTTCCTCTAGTTAAAATTATGAAGAAATGCTGTAAATTTTTACCATTACGCAGATGAGACTCGGTTATGCTTATCAATGAAGCAGAAGAAACAAATCAGGTAACCAAACTAGAGCCTTGGCTCAAAGTTATAAAATCTTGGATGACCAATAACTTTCTGATTCTAAACTCAGACAAAACTCGAGTTCTTGTTTTTAGTCCTTACACTTTCAAGAGGCATTTTTCTGCTGCAGAAAAACTAGTCCACACTTTTGTTACCTCTATGTTGGATTACTGTAATTCTCTCTTATCAGGCTGCTCTATTAAGTCTTTAAGGACTCTACAGCTGGTCCAAAACGCCATGGCTTGGGTATTGACTAGAACTAGGAGAAGAGAGCCCATCTCTCCTGTCTTAGCCTCTCTTAAGTGGATCCCTATTAAATCTAGAATTGGATTTAAAATCTTTCTTATGACATACAAAGCTCTTAATTGTTTAGGCTCCATCATATCTTAAAGAGCTCGTAATACCCTACTATCCCTCCAGACCACTACGGGCAAAGTCTGCTGGTCTCCTTGTTGTACCAAATGTCTCTAAAAGTAGTATTGGAGGTAAAGCTTTCAGCTATCAGGCACCTCTCCTCTGGGATCATTTTCCATTCAAGGTTCGTGGGACAGACACTCTCTCAACTATCAATAGACATAAAACTTCCCTCTTTGATATAGTTCAGGCTGGTTAGGCTTGAACCAACTCTTGGTTATGCTGCTTTGGGTTTAGACTGCTCAGGGATCTGATACACTGAACTCCTGTCTGTACCTTGTCCTTTAAGTTACTAACCAGATCTCTCTGAGTGTCCTTAAACCCCCCAGTCTCTTAGGTTCTTCTGGACTGATGCTACAGATGGTTGGCTGCTGTGGACCTCCCTGACCCCGAGCCCCTTCATCTCTTAGGTTCCTCTGGACTGATGCTACAGACATGAACATCAGCCTCACTGACACTAATAACAAAAAGCTAACTACTATTAGGCCTGCTGACTGTAATCATGTTAGATGATTTAATTAGGTTTATTATTAATTATTTACCTTTTCTGTAAACTGAATTCATATCCTGTCATCATTATTTGCTCTGCAGCAAGGACTTTGTTTGAGTTGTTGCTGTTTTTGCTGTTGCTGCTGTACCCCATCTCTCTGTCTTCCCCTCGCTCTCTCCCTCCACCCCAATTTCTAGCCCCACCACCACCACCACCACCCACACCCACACACTCCTAACATGAGTCTGGTCCTGCTCAAGGTTTCTGCCTGTTAAAGTGAAAGTTTTACCTTGCCACTGTCACTCATGTTGGATGAGATGGGTCAAATCTGTCCCATCTTAAGGTTGGGTCTTTGCAATTCAGCAAACAATGAGTGTGGTCTCGACCTGCTTTTTTTGGAAAGTGTCTTGGGATAACAACTGTTGTGATTTGTTGCTATAGGTATAAAAACTGATTGATTGATTGATACTCAAGATATTTCTTTATCAGGTGAAAGCACTGTAATGTACTGGCTGAATGTCTTATTGACATCTGACAGCCATGGCTCAAAGATCTGTTATAGCTGCAAGCACTTACAAAGTCAGTGTTTTGATCATTCACTTTACACTGGCAATGCAATTCAAAAAGACAGGCTCAGAATCAAAACATCAGTAGAATATCAAATATCACTCAAAACACTGCATTTTTATGTCCTCACAGGCATAAAATCAAAACAAAAAAATCCTATAAATAGGGTTATCAGTGCTAATCCCCAACTCTTAAACTGTCAGAACTTAATAAAAGACCAAGAAATAGCTGATGCTCTTAACAAACTATCTAAAATCAGGTAAACATTTTTTTTTTTTACAGAGGTAAAATCTAAAAGCCTAAACTGAGGCGATTTATCAGCTGAAATGTCCTGCATCATTTCAAAAAGCTGCTCCTTGCAGCTTTGCTTCACCTTCTCGAACAAACAAGAACACTTTTGGACAAGGAAGGAACTTTGTCGAACTGTCCTCAAACATGTTCTTCTAAACAAAGGACATGAGAACAAAGTCTTACTTCTGAGATGTGGCCCCCTAAGATACACTGGAAAATGGTATAAACTGGAGGCAACAACAGGGCAGCTGCTGCCCTCACTCTCAAAGAAGACTCTGAGATATGTGATGAATTTTTTTCTTTTTCAGAGAAGACTGACAGCAGAGACAGGGGAAACAGGAACTGTGGTGCAAGAGGCAGGGCTTCTAAGGTAGGCATTAGGACAAGGATGTCATAGAGAGGAGAAGAAGGATAAAGGACTAGAAGCTCAAGACAAACAGGAAAAACAGCTAAATGCACAAAATCTCAATAGAATTTATCTGAAAGTTCAACAGGCAGACAAGAAGAGGAGACGAGATGAGAGGAGGGGGGCGACAGGATGTGGCTTCAGAGACTGAAGAACCTATGATGGGTGTAGCCAAATGGATGAGGAGATGTGGGTGAGGCAGCTGGGTAGACTGCGGGCTACCGGTGGTTTTGGAGGAAATTCATGCTGCTTCACACACCAGGGAGAGTAGCAGCAGAAAGGGCCCTTCCTTCCATCCTCCTCCATACCGGGGGAGCAAGGAGACCATAGGCAAAGGGATTTGCTTCTTCAATCTTTCCGTACCCTCCTTTTCCTTACTGATTGTTTGTGGCTTTCCTCTGCTGTGTTTCCTTCCTCCTTTGGCTGCTAGATGGAGTTGTGATAAAATAAAGCAAGGATGGTTGTTACATGGATGACACACTGATATTCACTCTCGATACTTTCCAAAGCTCAGCAGATAAAGATCAAAAGGATTTCAGCAGGTTCATCAGGGGAAATATTCCACATGACACCAACCTCTTCTTCTAATGTCCTCTCAGGAGCTTTGCTTTGCTCCTCTTCATTCTCCACCTCATCTTCCTCAGCATCTCCCTCTTGGTTGTCACCTCCTGCATCTGCTCCCTCGTCTTCCTCTTCCTTCTCCTCTTCTTCGACTTCTTCTGTTGCTTTTAAAGGGAGAGGAAAGTTGATGGTGGTCATTGGGAGGCATCGTGACTGAAAAATAGTCAAAGAGCAGAGTGTGTGATGTCCTGTTAGACCATCTCACCTGCAGCTGGTTCTCCCTCTGTAGCCTCGTCAGCTTTGTCTTCCTCATTTGCGGCAGCCTCCTCTTCGTCTTCATCCTCCTCTTCCTCTTCTTCTACAGTAGCCTGGGGTATACCCACCTTTTTGTATGCAAAGTCATCTTCTGATTTCTGGGACACAAAACAGGGGAGCAGTCAGCTTCCATGGTTTTTCTGGTGTGCCTCTCTGAGGTCAGAAACACAGAGTGAATGAATGACTCTTGAGGTGTATATTACCTTTGGCCAAAAGAAGAGCACAGCCAGTCCTACTGGCAGGCCTACAGTTAGAATGTAGACCACCCAGAGCCATGGCCGCTCCTCTGCTGCCATCATCAGCTGAGCAAAAATTCCCGGCTGAAACACACAAAATAGAAATACAGTTGATACAAGTGGACAACTGTGATCCTGTCCCCTTACAACAACAAACATTTCAGAGGTAAATAGTTTGTCCATGGTAATGACAATGTTTCTATTGCCCCAACAAACCCTCCCACTGACCTCGTTAGCACTAGCCACCAGTTTCTTCAGCCCCCAGCTGTCAGACGCCCACCGATCGGCCACCTCCTTGTGAGACGTGATGATGAAGTTGTCGAAGTAGATATCAGAGGTCATGGACCAAAGCTCCAAGCCCAGCGCCTTAAATGGTGACATCCTGAAGGGCTGCAGGTCTTCGAAATAGTCTGGGTTATTTATCTTGCCAGGCTTCCAGACTCCCTTGAGAGAAACAATTAGGAAGAGGAGTTGAGCAGGTGGTTTCAGCTGGTGCACAAACATACAAAGAATCAGAGGTTCTGAAGGTGGACTGTCATTGGCTAAATGCTGTGGTGTGTAACCTCTCTGTAATTCATGTTTTAATGTAGAACTACAGCTCTTTAACAGTCTATGTCTGTTGAAAAAACAATAGATAAGAAGTTTACATTTAACAGGGGTGGTTTTGCCCCACTTATTTACAGGTTGGACTCCTTAACCCCAGAAAAAAAGTTCTCTCTGCAGAGCAAATCATTGTCAGTACATGCCTTCACTCCAGAGGAATGAACAGCTATGCTCATGGTAGAGGAAGAAGACACTTGGAGGAACAGCAAAAGGATCAAATGGAAAATGAAAAAATAGATGTTATTTGATTGCCCCCAGCTTCAACAACTTTCATAAGAACTAACACACTCATCCTAAAATTCAAAGGTGGGATATAAAAAAAAGGGAAAAACTGCACAAGTCACTAATAAAACAAACAAGAAACAAAGAAAGGCTGTTCTGGCTCTTTATGCTGACACAAGAAGAAAGGTGTATGATGTACTGTGGAGTTTGATGCACTGCCTACCAGTGGACTTCATGGTCTGTCAAGTCTTACACAAACACTGTATATACTACGGACAATCTGGTTCTGCCTTCCACCAGTATACAGCTTTGGAGCCAAAAAGCTCTCGGTAAATCTGCAATTTTTCTCCATTTCCTGGAACCACCACTTGTGCAGTAGCGTTGTACGCATTCGGACAGAGAGTCACTGTGATGAGGCTCCGCTTAAACAGCGTATCCCCCGGGTCAGCTACGCAATCTTCGTACGCCCATATGCTGTATCAAGTGTTAATCAAAGAAAACATGAACCCCCTAATAACTTTCAAAAATGGAGCTGCTCAGAAAAAGAGGACTTGAGCACAAACCAGTCTTACAATAACTACATGTCAACATCGCAAACAGGGGGGGAGAAAAATCTATATTCTGTGTAATAAATTCCTAAAGTCTGTCCACAGCTCCATATATTGCTGGAGGAGGCGGGATTTATGACCTATACTGCAGCCCGTCACCAGAGTGTGCTGTTCTCGGGGTGGCTTCACCCAACAAGGAGGCAAACGGCGTCTATTCTATATACAGTCTATGGTCTTACCTAACTGTCACTGCTTGATTCACTGACACAGGTAAAAAATTTATACATGTTCCAAAAGCTAGTGTCTTGCAAATATTACACTGGTGCTCATATGGCAGAACTTCCAGTGAAAGCTAAAGGGGAATAGAAATTGATTAAAATAGGGGAATAGTTAATAATAGTTATGGTGACTACAGCTGCAGCTGTAACAATTAAGGTCATACAGGCTTATATAAAAATATGTTTGTTTTAAAGTCCAAAGTATAATGTGAAGTCAGGCAGGTTATGGCAAAGTGCTAAATATAAAGCGCTAATGAGCATTTAGTTTTACATGTACTGTACTTTTTTAAGAAATGAGTCATATTTTACAGTAATTAAACAGTAATCAGTTCAGTAGTTGAAAAATATAGTAGACAGACTAAAAACATCTACAATGTTTCATCTGATTTACTGAAGAAAAAAAAAACAGCCATAGTTTGGCTTAAAGTTGAAGCCAAACTATGGTTGTTTTGTCCTTCAGTAAATCTGATATTGTGGGGTATTATTGCATGGTAGCTATTGCTGCAGCATCATGATGTTGTTGTTATTGTATGGCAATTATCATTTATTGTATGATATGGTATGCTATTCTACTGTGGCTCACTCTGCATTACCCAACCCCCTAAAACAGAGCCCTGTTGAGTTTATCCAAGTTACAAACCAAACAAAATAAAGACAGTGAACAGTGTGTGCGTTTCCGTTTTCTGACCCATGTGGAAAAATATTTCTAATTTAGCCCAATAGCACTGTGCTTAGTTCTGGTAATACTTACCTGATAGTTGGGGTTGTCCACCAGAGGGGCTTTCCACTTGCCCTTGTACTGAGGGTTGTTGATTTTTGGACGCTTCCACTCTCCACAGCCAGGAGCCGTCTCACAGGCTGGGTTAGGAATCTGCGGGGCTTCCCATTCACCATCCATCTCCTCATCCCTGCACACAGAAGACAGCTTTAAGGCATAGTATTTCTTTTTTTTTTCAAATCAGTGCTGTAATGTGATTCATAGGCTGGCTGTGTGTTTTCAGGGGGAGTTGACTGTGTTTGTTTACCAGTCTTCTGGTTTCTCTGCAGTAGGGTCAGGGATAAACTCTGGTTCATCATCCAGCCAGCCCTCTGGCTTTAATGCATCGGGGTCGTCAATCTTGACTGGAGCGTCTTCATCCCTGAGGCATACACACAATCACATGTCCACGTTTTGTTTCTGATCATTACTGATAAGGTCACTGCAGCCCTAACATTTAAATCTGCAACAAACTCTGCAGTGTCTACTGGTACAGAGGGTATAATCACCAGTCATCTGGTTTGACCGCCTCAGGGTCAGGAATCTTGGCCCTCTCATCCCAGTCCTCTGGCTTGGAGTCGTTTGGATCATCTATCTCTTTGGGTGGGTTGACTGGAGGCACCATGTCATGAAGCAGGTTGCCGCGACTTACACTGGACTGGTCAATGAACATCTCATAGCTGTTGTCTGGGTTTACAACTGATATACAAACAAATATGTAAGATGTACATGTAAGCAAAATGAGAAATGCTGAAATGTATGTAGATAAATGTAGGGTTGACTTTTTATGCCACCTTTGCTGGCACATTTCTGTTACATTTCAGACACAAAGTCAAAGCTAATACTGAATCTTTCCAAACTGTGTACCCAAAGTGTAGAGGTGTGTCTTTTTGTCTACGTAGAACTTCTTGAGGTCTACATCAGCCCTCTTTGCATGCTTCTCCTCCAGGTCTTTGTTCAGGGGATTTTGATAGCGGAAGATGAAGTGAAGCTTGTAATCCTCGCCGCACTTGTCCGGTCCAAACATGATAGTGTATGGTGTGCGGTCGTGGAATTGCTCCTTCAGTGCAAAGGAAACAAGAGTTTAAGTCTTTGGGTAATGACTGTTGTGAAGGGTACCCACTATTTTAAGATCAAATTACATATGGAGTTATCCACTTCTTGTACTTTGGATTTAAAGTGAAAATGTCTGACATGATAAAATTCTTCTGTTCATGTCTAAACTACATACTTCATAAATGGAGTAATACAGAATAAAAACAAATACTCCAACCAGATCGAGATCGTCAGCATCTGAAAGGAGTTTGATGTATGCTCCACCACAGTCGATTCCCTCCTGGAAGTTAACCTCATACCTGCAACCAGAGCAACATCTTGTGTTAAGACCCCCCCCCAAAAAAATCAGATTTTTTGCATCATTTTATTACTTAGCGCTACAAAAATACCAATTTGCAAGTGGTAAGACTAGTTTGTACAAGAAAATACTGCAAAGCTGAACTGAGGTCATTTCATTGAGTGAAGACTGAGAAATAAACTTTAAAGCCAAATTGTAAAAGCCTCTCAGCTTGGAGGCGATCCTGAAGTCCTGAGATTGCATCACTAAAGGTCTGTCAAGTCTCCATGAAAACACCCACTGAAAGGTTGTTTTCATGTAAAGCAAGACAAAGCACGAATGTTCATCATCATGTCGTTATTTTGGTGTCCTTTTAGCAAATTAACTGAAATTTATTTGAAACAAATAGTGATGATTTAGGAAATTGAGAGGACTGAGCCAGCTGCAACCATGAACACAACTTGTTAAAGTGAAGCTACTGCTGACAGGAGTCTGATGGACAGCTTTGACTAAACCAAGGTGTTTATTTTTCCACTGAAACATTTTTGTGCCCAGCCTAACCAGGGGCCTATTCTACGAAGCAGGACCACTGCTTAGAGAGGTAACTTCGAGGGTAACTTCGGGGTTTCCTATTCTATGACGCAGGTTCACTTCTTAACGAGGCGAGTCTCCATGGCAACGTACACTGAACGGCTAACCTGCTCCAGGGCAGGTCAGGCTCCAGATTGAACTCACAGAGTATAAAAACCCCGCCCACTGACCAAGGTTGATAACCAGCGTTGTAAGACCGTTTAGCGAGACCGCTGGCTACCGCACTAAGTTGAGCGTGGAAGCTCCAGGGCTACCTCGCTAGGTCGAACTTGCTTCGTAAAATAGGCCCCTGACCTAGCCCACAGGTCATAAAAGAGGTTCTGGTTAGCTTGAAGTTGCAGGGAGCACAAGGAAAGTTAATACACAGTCTCCAGAAGAACAATGAAATGGCCCAAGCTGTGAAGATGTTTCCTGTGTTTTATTTTATTTTCCCACAACAAAACAGTGTATACAATCCTAGGCCACATTTTATTCACTGGAATAAACACAAATGGTTGTGTAGGTGTGTGTGTGTAGGTGCATTGGTCTGCACTTACTGTATGACTAAAGGGTCGTCCTTGAAGACAAAGGGTTTGTTCAACATGGTTGAAATTGCATGGTGTTTTGCTCGGGACTTGAGAACGAGGCCTAGGTCTCCTGGAACTTTGTTTTCTTTCAGTTGCTCCACAGCCCACTTCCCTTGGGAGGGCAGGACAGGAAGAGTCATTTGACAACCCAAGTTTTGCCTCCATTCACAGTTAAAACAATCAGTTATAGCTTTGAGATTATTTTTCAGTAACAGTTAAACTTAAACTCAGTCGTTCGGTTTCATAGTCTCTGCTTCAATCAACTTAAGTTCTGTCAACAGAACAAGTCAAGAGAACAAGAGTATGGTGACAGGAACGACAAAAACAAGATCCAGAGCTCTAGCCGTGTTCTAGCACCTGCCCAACCCACATATAACACAAGAAGAGGTATGAGGGAAAGGGCATCTTTTTAACTGCATCTTACACTCACCGGCCACTTTATTAGGTACACCATGCTAGTAACGGGTTGGACCCCCTTTTGCTTTCAGAACTGCCTCAATTCTTCGTGGCATAGATTCAACAAGGTGCTGGAAGCATTCCTCAGAGAGCTTGGTCCATATTGACATGATGGCATCACACAGTTGCCGCAGATTTGTCGGCTGCACATCCATGATGCGAATCTCCCGTTCCACCACATCCCAAAGATGCTCTATTGGATTGAGATCTGGTGACTGTGGAGGCCATTTGAGTACAGTGAACTCATTGTCATGTTCAAGAAACCAGTCTGAGATGATTCCAGCTTTATGACATGGCGCATTATCCTGCTGAAAGTAGCCATCAGAAGTTGGGTACATTGGGGTCATAAAGGGATGGACATGGTCAGCAACAATACTCAGGTAGGCTGTGGCGTTGCAACGATGCTCAATTGGTACCAAGGGGCCCAAAGAGTGCCAAGAAAATATTCCCCACACCATGACACCACCACCACCAGCCTGAACCGTTGATACAAGGCAGGATGGATCCATGCTTTCATGCTGTTGATGCCAAATTCTGACCCTACCATCCGAATGTCGCAGCAGAAATCGAGACTCATCAGACCAGGCAACGTCTTTCCAATCTTCTATTGTCCAATTTCGATGAGCTTGTGCAAATTGTAGCCTCAGTTTCCTGTTCTTAGCTGAAAGGAGTGGCACCCGGTGTGGTCTTCTGCTGCTGTAGCCCATCTGCCTCAAAGTTCGACGTACTGTGCGTTCAGAGATGCTCTTCTGCCTACCTTGGTTGTAACGGGTGGTTATTTGAGTCACTGTTGCCTTTCTATCAGCTCGAACCAGTCCGGCCATTCTCCTCTGACCTGTGGCATCAACAAGGCATTTCCGCCCACAGAACTGCCGCTCACTGGATATTTTTTCTTTTTCGGACCATTCTCTGTAAACCCTAGAGATGGTTGTGCGTGAAAATCCCAGTAGATCAGCAGTTTCTGAAATACTCAGACCAGCCCTTCTGGCACCAACAACCATGCCACGTTCAAAGTCACTCAAATCACCTTTCTTCCCCATACTGATGCTCGGTTTGAACTGCAGGAGATTGTCTTGACCATGTCTACATGCCTAAATGCACTAAGTTGCCGCCATGTGATTGGCTGATTAGAAATTAAGTGTTAACGAGCAGTTGGACAGGTGTACCTAATAAAGTGGCCGGTGAGTGTATATACTAGTGCAATTTACAATCCAGATTTAAACATATTTATTTAGTTTTTATCCTTGTTATAGAACTTTTATCATAGTACTTGTATTTGTCTTGAGCTTGTTATCTCCCTCCCCATACAAAATTCAATCAGACAACTGCAGCTAATAGAGAATGCAGCTGCAGAGTCCTCACGAAGAGCAAGAAAGTAGATCACCTTGCTTGAGTTTTGAGGTCTTAACTTTGGCTCCCTGTTTATCAGAAAATAGATTTAAGAAAAATTACTGGTTCACAAAGCAGTGAATGGTTTAGGGCCAACTTACATGCACTCAGGTTATCTGGAGCAGGTCTGATTTCTTTACTCAGAACTCAGAACTCAAAAGAACTTTATTGCCATTGCCGATGAACAGGATTCACAGACTAGGAATTTGTTTCAGCATGATGGTGCAACATTAAGCATAGAGTAATATAAAATACTAGAATAAAAACTAATAAGAGCATGCAAGAATATATAAAGTATAAAAGCATAAAAGGTTATGTACAATGCTATGTACAATAAAGAGTCAGAAGCAACCATGGAGAAACAGCTTTCAGTTTTCACAAATCTCCCAGAAAATGTCAGGTCCGTTCCAGCTTCCCTTTATTTATTTTTTTAAAACAAATCATCTACTATAATTACACAGCGCTGTAACTTTTATGCTGTAATCTATCACTATATTCAACCCTTTATTTTTGCTGTTTTTATTTTGTCTTTGCTTCAATTATAATGTGTGAGGCAATTTGAATAACACTGTTATTGAAATTTTCTTTATAAACACATCTGCCTTGCTTCATCTATTTTATTATTTTTATCCAATCTGTTTTTTTTTATGTTTGATTCTTTGATCGTTTTTTTTTTTTTTTAATCTTTTACATGTTATTTGAACTACATATATTTGATCCCTGTCGGTATGCATCCAAATCCATTTTTATTTTACATCATGTTTTGCCATTTTGTTGCCTTTTGTCAAAATCCTTTGAAGCACTTTGAGATGCAGATGATTTGTATGAAAGGAAAGAAACATACCATCATATTTGGCAACGTCATCATCTGCATCCCCCTTAACTGTCTTTGAAAGTTGCCACCTGTGAAAATAAAACCCACAGAACATCTTAGATTTGCCAAGAAACATAGAATACAAACATATCACAACCACTGATGTGAAAGCTTATCTTGGTCACTGAGAACCATCAAAGGCTCATACATTCATTTCACACTGTTTTTAGTAGAGTTGTTAAGCCTATACCTGTCCAGTGATCCATCATCAAATGTCTCTGCCAAATAGACTTCTCCAGTTGGAACAGGGGTCTTGTATACTACCTAGAAACATAAAATTACAAGCTGATATATATGCTTTTGTAGTTTGTATTAACCACTGTTACACAGCGACAGCCACTTCTTTTGGTGTCCATGTTGGGAACATAATTTTTTTTTCTTCTTTTTTTTTGTTATGGATATATGCTTTTAAAGGCAGTTACATCATTAACCATACACCAAGTCCCCAACACCAAATCAATGACAATAACTCAACTGCATGAATACATGCTACCTCCAAATTAATACACGTTAGTTCTACATGTAACTAATACTTGACCTTTGGTTTGAGCTAATTATTAAAATTACAGACACACAGCCTTTTGAACAATATGCATTAGTCAGATACTGACTGCCTATTTGTCTTACAGTCAGACAAACAGGCATGCTGAAGTAAGCCAACAAGGTAAAAAATAAATAAAAAAAGAAACACTTCACAGATTTCAATTTTTGCAATTCAGAGATTTAAAATTCCAGAGACTTTAAGAGGTTAGCAAGAGATGAATTATGAATGGTGAAAGCCCAGCCCCTAAAAAGACATCGCCATCGATTTCACTCATTTTCTGGCAAAAAGCTCCACACATCAGCTTTAATACTGGTATAGGATCGGATGAGATAAGCCTTACTATCAGTTGATACCAAAGGCCAGGCACTGGCTCTAATACAGGACTTTAAAAAGTTGTTGCATCCCTAGCTGTGCCCATGTAAAGCTGCTGCCTAATAAAGACCATCTGGACAGAGACTTTACCCAACAATGTGAAATTCTATGATGCAAAGCACCATGAACTTAAACGGCTAATAAAAGTAGGGCAACTACCAAAGGGTCAAAACATCCTAAGTGCTTTGTCAAGATGGCAGCAGCAGAAGAACAACATCCTACACTTCTCTTCAGATTATGAATAATCAAAATGCTTTTTTTATTTTTTGAAAAATTTTTTTTGGGCTTTTTCTTTTTTTTCCAAGAACAGACATGTGCAGCCTTGTCAACCACTGACTCTGACCTGGAAGGACACATTTCCATCCATTCCATCCTGCTCGTCCACTGTGTCCTTGCTGTCTGCCTCATCAAAGTTGTCATCATCCATCACGGCGGCCTCCTCTTCTTCTTCTTCTTCTTTCTCCATTGTTTCCTCTTCTCCCATCAGAACCTCTAACTCTTCCTCATCCAAGCCCATGTCATCATCAACATCAGAAACATCGACCTTCACCTGACTCTCCTGGGCAGCTACAGCTGCCAGAGCCAGGGACAACAGAAGCAGCAGCCTCATACCGCCCCGGTACGACTTCATCTGTACAGGGTAAAAATATGGAGAGAGAGTAAAGTGATAGTAGAGGGGGCAAAAGAGAGTTAAATAATGGTGTGAAAGATGAGTGTGGTGTGAAGAGGGCGTGGTGTGAGAGGATGAGGGAGGAGGGGGCGGGAGAGAAGAGGCAAGTGGGCATGAGGTGGATGTTATTTATGGACTAGAGGGATGTTTGTGTGGGGGCCAATGATATAATTAGAAAACACAAGTGCATGAAAAGATAGTGGGATGAAAGGGTGAGGGAGGAATTTCATGAGTGACTGAGGTCACTTTAGTGGATGGTGCTCCTGATGTGTTTTCAGACTACAGCCTTATCAATAAATCAATGAACCAATCAATGCCTTTATTTGTTCCATAGTGAGCCTTTTTTTTTTGGAAAGCAACAGAGCACACAAAAGCACAGACATACAAACAATACACAAATACACATAACATAATAAATAACATAATACACAAGGCTAATAAAAGATGTGCACAAGAAAAAAAGTATTTGCTCATAACTTTTCATAAACCTCTAGTAGGTTTATCCTGTGATACATACCAACTACATGTTTCAATAACAGACAGACCGATACCAGAAACATCTGTGTCCATAAATCTGGAACATAAAACTTAAGTCCTTTCTTTAAATATTCCTCTAATTCCTATTCTATAGCAACAATGACTTCCAATATGATCACTTGGTGAGCTGTCATCTGCCTTTTGAACACAAAGAGCCTCTGCTGAGCAATTCAACAACCCGGATATCTGTTACACTAAACAAAGGCTTTAATGACCCTCTATTGATTTGGCCACACCTGCTCACTTTAGACGTTAGCAGCAGCACTTCAAAAGCATCACTCCAGACAGCACAGTGGCACGCTTTCCCTAATTCCAAATTAACATTTATTCTCACACTGCTGTTGTTCTATTTGCCGAGATAAGACCACAGAGTGATCACAAGGATTCCCATAAGAAGATGGGGGAAATGATGAATGAGCAGTGCTATTGTGAGCCATCCTATCCTGTGATATTAGTATGTTACTTATTTATTTGCATGTGTGGTCTAAAAATCCAATTGTTTGGGATATATCTTGGTCACTCACAGCTCATGCAGTTAGGTGAAAAAACTGAATGATAGCAATAGCGCAGGCCTACGATTGCCACCACTTCGCTGCTTCATGGATGATGTTACAAGCCTACTGCAGACCGCTGTGTGTACAGCACGGCTCCTCAAAAGGTTTGAAGAGTTGCTGTCTTGGGCCAGGATGAGGATAAAATCCAAGAAGTCTCGCAGCCTCTCAATCCGCAAGGGTAGACAAATGGACTCAGTCTCTTTTCTAGTGGCAGGAGAGAGAATTCCCGTACTTGCAGAACAACCACTCAGAAGCCTTGGCAGAGAATATACAGCGGATCTCTCAGACAAGCACATGGCAGCTGCAGTCACAGACCAACTGAAAGAGGGGTTAAAAAGGATTGACCAGAGCTACCTTCCTGGCAAGTTCAAAGTCTGGTGTTATCAATTCACACTATACCAGCGGGTGATGTGGCCCCTAAAGATGTGTGAGATAACGGCAACAACAGTCACGAAGCTGGATGCCAAGGCCAACAACTACATCAAAAAATGGCTTGGGCTCCCAAGATGCCTCTCCGATGCAGCGCTGTTTGGAAGAAATGCACTGCAGCTACCAGTGAAGAACATCTCAACTGGGTATAGGCTGGAGAAGTCAAGGCTGGTGCTGGAACTCCGACAGTCAAGTGACCATCTGGTCAGAAATGCTGGGGCTAAGATCCGGACAGGCCGAGCATGGAAGGCAGAGGAGTGTGTGGACGATGCAATCTCCAGATTGAAACATCAAGAGCTTGTCGGAAGAACACAGCAAGGAAGGCGTGGCCTGGGCTGGGGAGAGCCACAAAAGATGTGGTCAAAGGCATCCTTGAAAGAAAGGAAACAGCTAGTGGTCACAGAGGTGACAAGGATGGAGGAAGACAGGTTCTTTGCCAAGTCTATTGGCCAATGCCAGCAAGGTCAGTGGACAAAGTGGGAGGGCTTCCTACCAAGGTCAGTAAAATGGAACGACCTGTGGAAGATGCCTCAGGCAAGACTGAGCTTTCTAATCAGAGCCACATATGACACTCTTCCTAGCCCAACGAACCTGGCACAGTGGTATGGATCTGAGGACAACTGTAGCCTCTGCGAAACAGGCAAGGGAAATCTTCGCCACATCTTGTGCGGCTGTCCAACAGCCTTGGCCCAGGGCCGATACACATGGCGTCATGACCAGGTGCTAAGAAAGTTGGCGGAGCACACAGAGAACATGAGAGTCCTGGCCAATGAGAAGACAACATCCCAACAAAGGCAGCTGGTCCAGTTTGTAACAGCGGGACAAGCCAAGAAAAACTGCCCTAAAGCAGACAGAGCAGCGGTCCTGACTCCAGGCAAAGACTGGTCAATGAGAGCTGACCTTGACAAGCAGCTACGCTTCCCATTCGACATCACCACCACCACACTGAGACCCGACATCGTCCTGTGGTCCTCAACTGAGAAGCGAGTCCTGTTAGTCGAGTTGACGGTCCCTTGGGAGCAGAACATCCAGGAAGCGTATGAGAGGAAAATGGCCCGTTATGCAGAGTTGGTGGCAGAATGTGAAGAGAAAGGCTGGAGAGCATCAACCTATCCAGTTGAAGTTGGCTGCCGCGGCTATGCTGGCCTCTCAACAAACCGCTTCCTGAGGGACATCGGCTTCACAGCAGCAAAGGCCAGGAAGGTCCTACAGGATCTCTCAGAGGAAGCAGAAAAGGGAAGTTTCTGGCTCTGGCTGAGAAGAAAAGACAGGAGTTGGGGGAATCGAGATGCCACACAGTAAGCCTGAGTGCCGAAGTCCAGCTGCAGGGAGTGGCGGGGAGACGTCCCTGACCGCTGCCCCACCATCCTGAGATGTTCTGGTGATCAAAGGGGCGAAACATCAGTGAAGGATGGCTCCTAGCTGATGACCCTGCAGCTGGTACTTCTGTACTGGCTGAAGTGGGCCCGATGGAAGCGGCCCATGAGGTTTCAACCTTCGCTTCCCAACCATCAGGTATGCGGTCAGGTGCAAGCCTGGCTCAGGGAGGAGGACGCCCCTGCCATGCAGAGTCTAGGGTCACTACCTGGAGAGGGGCGAGGCCAGGATGGCTCTCAGCCGCAACCCTGCAGTTGGAGTCTAGGCACCGTCGGAGGTGCGTCAGGCAGAAATGCCCTGCAGGTACCAACACCTATCTGTCACATAAATCTTAAAGATGTATATGGACTTCCACACATTTTATCACTGTACAGAAGACTTGATATATCATATAGTCTTTCGGCCATCATCTCTAAAACAGAAAAGCTTTGACTCAGAATTTTGAATTGATATTTCATTGTGGTACAGACTTAAAGATCTCTCACTGTTTAGCCTTACAAGTATTAGCTTATTCACACTTGAGTGATGCGACTTGGTTCCCTGTACTCCCTCTGCTTTACTAACACACACCTGATCCACCTACTCTGCTTTGCACTCCTGGATTTAGATTGTTATTGAAAGTTGCAGTATGCGCTTTAAACATATATTATCTCAGTCACTCATGTTTCTTTGACCATGAAAAGGCCAAATTGTGACTAAAATTTGGCTCATTGTGCTGCCCTAAAGTGATCGCTGCTATTTTTACCCCCTCAGTTAGCTTACCCTACAATGCTATTTAAAACAGAAGGCTTTTGTGGATGAATGTTTTCAACCACAAAAGGCTGTGCCCTAAACAGATATTTGTTGTGGCATGTAAAAAATTAGACTTCATCCGTCCTCTTCTATAATCAAACAGTAAAAGTAGACTATTCAGGGTGTAAAACACCATAAATATTAACTAACATATTGATTCATTGATCAAGAATTCAATAACATCAATACAAATGGAATCCAGTATCTAATAAACTCTGGATCAAATATCTGCAGGTATTCTTCCATGATTTTTTGAAACTGTGGTGGAAGACTTTAAAAATTGATTGATTGAACACAGGCAGGATTTCACAGAAATGTGGAGTCTAAAAATCTCCTATAAGGTGGAAAATGGCTAGACAAACTACAGAGACATACTGAAAATATCTTTCCTGCTTTCAATCCAACAAGCATGGTATATATTTTCTGATGGATTTTTCCAATTTTGGCCAGAGTTGGATCGGGTACTTTATGGCTGTCGGTTGTCTGTAAAACATTCACTGATGTAGGCTTGTGAGAGTGAATACAAGAATGAACTTTATACTATTTAATAAAAAGCTTGTCAAACAGGATATACCAGTGTAATCTAAATGAAAAAGGTTTTGTTCTATATTTCAGCATCCACTGCAAAGTCAGTGTTTTGTACACGAGTACTGGGATAACGTTCCCCACCAGCCATAACAGTGCACAACTCCTCACAGGCTGCTTATTATTACTATTATTATTATTATTATTATTATATTTATGTATTTGTTTGTTTATTTTTATTATGAATAATATTCCTTTATACCATTTTTCCAAACTTGAAACAACTGAAGCAGGGGGGTTGTAATACAAGTTTAGTGGACAAGACTGTTAAAATAGCATAGCTTCCAGCGGACACTCTAATTTCCAAGCTCTTTCAGATGAATGGCTCCGAGTTGCAACACCTGCTCCGCCAGCTAACCAGCCGGTGTTTCGCTGAGAATGGTGACCCCTGTCAAATGGCGGCTTTCGCAAGATGCGCCAGTGGTAATGCCTCTTTGTTTTCGTAGAATACATGCCTGAGATTTCATGAAAAACGATTTTTTTTTTTTATTTCAACTATTTTTTTTCCTCAATTTCATTTTTTTCAATTTTCAACTGCTAAAGCTACAATTAACAACTGCTGACACATTCGGATGAAAGTCCCAAATTTACATGGTCACTCTGTTCATCGAAACACCAGCTAGCTGGACGGCGCGCCAATCGTTTCCAGCAAATGTTAGCATAACAAAAGATAATCTCGTACATTACTCGTCTGTTTCGTTGCACAGGGACTCCGTGGCCTAACATTATGATCACAATTTTCAGAAAGACACATTGAAGCAAAATAGTGGCCGAAAATATCCCTTGGCACAGCAGAAATAAGGGGATAACAGCGGTTAGCTCGCTAAATTTGCGATGATGTCGCAAAAGCAGGGATGGAGAGAATGAATGAGTGCAGCCATACAAACCTGCTGTCTTCTTGTAATTGCTGAAAATATCTCCCACAAAAGTCGCCTCTGAGCTTTTAAAAGAAAAACGAGTATGTATCCGTGCGTATCGTCCGCTGACTATGTAATAAAGGCTAACTGAAGACTGATGTGAACACACGGTGATCAGAGATGATGACAACGAGCCTCGGTAACGGTTCTCAGCCAGCAGTTGCTTTGATGCGCATGTGCGCTCCAAAGAAATCGCGAGCGTGAATGAGGCCTTCACGTACCACCGATGAATGGAAATATATTCGTTGGTGATAATAACGAGGAGTTGTTCGTCTGGTCTTTCCCCGATGTCTTTTGTCGACATTTTTCTCACACACTCGTCTCCACTCAGACTCCTCCTTTTCTCTAAGAAGTTCTGTTTACTTGCTCTTACATTGTGCAGAACTGTTTTCGTCGTCGAAAAGACATTTATTTTCGAAGACAGGTACAACTATGAAACATACAGTAAAGGCACGAAAACAAAACACACATTTAAATACGGGATGACAAGAATAAATCAAGTGACAACAAAAAATCAAGTGGAAAGTCTCCATCACTGAATTATCTTGGTATTGAGCAGCACCATAAACAAAATGCGGGTTTCAAAAGACAGCCTTTCAGAAATCGACAAAGCTACAGTATCAACTTTGTCGACCCATTAATGTTTTCTAAAATATCTGCATTAATACGCCATAACCTTTGTACAGCACAGTTTTTACCTACGGTTTTTACAGATTTTACAGTCAACATTCGCAATGTTAAGAATCTAAATTTACGATGTGACGATGAAACCCTGAAAGCATCAAAAACGACCCACCGATACGACTTTCAAAGTAAAAGTCTATTTTAAGTTATGGCGTGAAAAACAGTGGGCAACACGGTGTAGACGGTGATATCGTAAATGATGAAGTATTGTAGTTGAAGTGAGCATACATAACAGTGGTTTTGAAATCGTTTCAAGTCAAATGAAAAACAAACTCCGTCTTATTTCGGTCGGCTACGTCGGATGTAATTCCGGGTCAAAGTTCAGAAAATGTTGATGGTGGCCACATGCGTGTTGGAGCAGTGTTAACGCTGTTTAAAATAGATATTTCAATACAGTTATTGATACTCTAACCCCTGTAAAATGAAGGACACGCCCCTGTCTAACTGTGAGCGTGACTTTTTGCTGAAAGCCATCGAGGAGAAAAAGGCGAGTAGGATTTTTACTGTCTGTCCACCCTGTGTAGTAGCAGAGGCTGTTCAACAAAAACAGTAAACATTTGTAAAACACGGACTGTGGGCAACAGTTCATAAACCCTAGTCCCAGGATCCATTAATGTTTTAGTTGCAGTGATTTTTACGTTACGTTGTTTTGTATTTTTATTGTTTATACCCTCAAGAAGTATAAACAAGCACTGGTTTTCTAATGTGTCCTTTTTCTGCAGCGCCTCGATGGACGACAGACTTATGACTACAGAAAAATGAAAATCACATTTGGGACTGACTTTGGATGCTGCTTTGTGGATCTTGGGAAAACCAGGTGAATCTTTTATTAGATGATGATAATAATAATAATAATAATAATAATAATAATAATGACAACAACAATAACAATAACAACAACAATAATAATAATAATACCAACAATAATAATAATAATAATAATAATAATAACAATGATGATTATACATTTTATTTGTAAGTACCTTTCTTAACACACAGGTCACCTTACAGGTCTAAACAGTACAATTAAACAACATGATAGAATTAAACAGTAAAAAATTGGACAAAGTAATTACAAAGAATAGGCTGCTCTGAACGGGGTGGGGGGGATGTTTGAGCCTGGGGGGGATTTAAATTCTATTTTTAATTTAGCCAGGAGCTAGTGGAGCTGCTGTAGGATGGGAGTTATGTGAGACACCTCTGGGAACGGGATGACTAAGAAGCTGTCGATTGTGAGGAGGAGACTATTTGCTAATGTTAATGTTTGCTTTATTACCTGGTTGCCACAGTGCGGTTGAATCTTCTTTTATAAACTTTCTTATACTTTTATATGTTAAATATTAAAGTAAGATGCAAAGTTTTCTCCAAAATTTCTGATTTAACACTGTCCTGTACAAATTCAAGATGTTCTGTGTGTATCTTTACCTTTACAGATATTTCCTCCAGAGCTCAGGCTGATTTTGGCAGTTGTAAAAATGTTAGTACTCAGACCCTGAAAGGTGGAGAGCCTCTCAAATCAAGCACTAATGGTGTGCAGAATTTATGCAGTGTGGTAAATTTTAAGGGCAAGAAGTTTTCATTAGAAATTTAATGCATTATTTTATTCTGATCGTGAAAAATGTCTGTTGTTCTCCTCAGGGTCATGGCACAGGTGTCCTCTGAGCTGGTTACCCCTAAAGAAAGTCGACCAAATGAAGGAATCATGTTCTTCAACATTGAGCTGTCACCTATGGCCTCACCAGCATTTGAACAGGGAAGGTGAGGATGAGAAATTCATCTTATAAGTGATAACTATATTGTTGTTTTGGTGCAAAAGAATTTATTTTTCTCTTTGGAAAAAATTTCTTCCCATGTGGAACTTGTGATTTATGCTATCTTTGGTGCCACTTGTGGACAAAGGTAACTTGACAGATTTAATCTTTCACATGTGTGACTAATATTTTTTGAGAGGAATATGCCACCCCTCTATTAATCTGCTACTCAAATGTTTCACCCATCAAGAATCTTTGGTACAGAACACATGCAAAAAAAAATCACTTGGTCTGCCACCTTCTTCCTGCACATAGTTTTAAACATTAAAAATCACTATATTAAAAATTATCTGTCTATTTGTTAATGGTTTGTTTGCTTTCTTTGGCCATTTCAGTCTGTTTTCTAACCAGAAATAAACTCCCCATAGGTGGCGTAATGTATGTTAATGCTAAACAACCAACAATAGTCATCATAGAAGTGGAAAAGCACAAAGGCTTCAACTCACTGCATAAGATCACTAAAGAAAACCACAAACAACATCAATCTTATAAAACTTATTTTCTAGAATCTGACTAATAGATATTGCCAAGTATTTTCTACAAGCTTACCTATAAAACAGGAATGGTCTGTCTATCGGTTAAAGCCCATACTCAGAGTGGAGGCTGTGTGATGGGACTCAAGGTGGAGGTTTTTAAGTCTACTCCATGACCTTCATGGTGGTCCGTGCTAAAAGAAGAAGCTTAAGTTTTACTATGCATGTGGATTGCTTTATCTTGATGAAATCTCATATCTGCATATACTCTCCCACACAGCCTGGTAGAATAAAAGCATCCTCTCGTGATCTCAAGTTTGTGCTTAAAATAAGTTTGTGATCTTTCTGACTAAAACGTTTATCTTGATGTTTTACAACATACCTACATGAGCTAATCTCATTGATTCAGCTGACCCAACTGATTTTATTTTACTTTTAAAGTTGTAAATTTCTTTATGAGTTTGTTTTAAAAAGCCTGTTTTGCATTTTCGGGAGTTATAAGAGGAAGAATCTTCCTGCCACTTGGTGCATTTAGTCCAACATTGTGTGCAGAAAGTTAAACTCATCTGTGGGATTTTCTTTTTCCTCCAGACAGTCTGAGCTGTCAGTGAAGCTAAACCGACAGCTGGAGAGATGCTTGAGGAACTCAAAGTGCATTGATACTGAGTCACTGTGTGTGGTGTCTGGAGAAAAGGTACAACACGCACACATACACACACAAATGAGAAAAAGAGTGAAGGATTGCGTTTACTGCATTAAACATACTGTATGTGTCCTTGTCCAGGTGTGGCAGATCAGAGTCGATGTTCACATGCTGAATCATGATGGGAACCTGATGGATGCTGCCAGCATTGCTGCAATCACTGCTTTGTGTCACTTCAGACGCCCTGATGTGGGCATCCAAGGAGATGAAGTCACAGTGGTGGGTCTGCAACAGACAGACAAACACAGCTGGAGTCTCTGCTTCGATGAATCTACCAGGAGACGTCCAATGCTCAAAACACAAAATTGCTTTGTCATTTGAATTGATCAGTGAAACTTAAAAAGAATTTAATGCTTTCCTTAAAACAGTTCTCATATCTGTTAATGGTTGTAAATTAGTATTTCTTTCTGTGCCCTTTCAGTTTAGTCCAGAAGAGAGAGACCCGATTCCTCTGAGTATTTACCACATGCCGATCAGTGTCAGCTTTGCCTTCTTTCAACAAGGGTAAGGCACCAATGCTTTGTTTTCGTTCGATGTCAGACAGGAGATATACAGAAAATCCCTACCATTACCAGAAACATCTCAGTTCTAAAAGTTTGGAGGGCCAAAAGTGTGCTGCGTGCTGCTAACAGAGTGTTATAATATTTAAAACTATCAAAAGTTCATTATAGTTTGTCTCTATTTTTTAATACCTCCTACAAACTAAAGACACCAGAAGACGCTGCAAGCCACTGCAATGATAGCTCCGTGTCATTCTAGGAATTCGCTTATGCATTTTTTCAGACTCTACTTCCTCTCTGATTCCTCTCTAATATCTTTACATGGTTTTCAATTTAAAAAAGCCTCACATTTCTAAGAGTGGTGTAATAAAATACCAAGAGGCTGGGAGGGAAGAGCTCCATGTGTTGGCCCCGCCCCCTGGTCAATCAAAAAAGCAGCAGAGCACCGTTGTCTCGCTCTGCTGAGGGTGTCACCTCACATGCCTTTGAGTCAGGCCTTTGAGCTTTGCCAGAAGCACAGATGAGCTAGTCAGGAGAGCCTATTACACCAATGCAAGCATTTTAGCGAGTCTCACGTTTTCTTCCAAGGTCCCATTTTTGAGAAGTGTAATACCACCCCATTTAAACATGCTGATAAAGGCCTGTTGTGATATATCAAATTGGTATAAATGGAGAACTTTCAGATCAATGCTCAAGTCTGTCTTGAAGGGATATAAAGAATGAATAAATGGTGCATGACCATCTCTTACTGGCTGACTATTATCTTTCATTCATATCAGTCTCCTTTTTCTTCTGAATGCCATTGTTTTTCTCCTTCAGAACGTATCTGCTTGTGGACCCCTGTGAACGGGAGGAGCGTGTGATGGATGGCTTGCTGATGATCGCCATGAACAAGCACAGAGAGATCTGCTCCATCCAGTCCAGCGGGGGCATCATGCTACTGAAAGAGCAGGTGAAGTTCTGCAGCCAAGACAAACCTAAAACGATCTATTACAGACTTCTTTTTAGAGATACACTATTACCAAAACACTCAGCGGCTGAATCAAACCAAAGTTATTATTATCCTGAAAGAAACAAAGATGACAGAAATACAAGAGAGACTGATTTTGTTGAATGTGTTTATTGTTGAAGGTTATGAGGTGCAGTAAAATAGCGAGCATCAAAGTGTCTGAAATCACAGAACTTATCAGCAAAGCTCTGGAAAATGACAAAAAAGCACGGTAAGCAATCACATCCCAATCCACAATTGAAGAAGACAGACTCAAAAGGAAGATACTAAAATAAACAAACGTTTTCATTTGAAATTTTAGGAAAGCAGGTGAAAGATGTGGCTTTGCAGAGTCAATGCCTCAGGAGCGAATCACAGCGCTGAAAATGGACGAAACTCCAGTGGAGATGACTGATGTGACAGAAAAAGCCAATGATATTGTCCACAATGCTGATGCCCCACCTCAAATGTATCCTTGAAAAACTCTAGTCTATAACAGCATCTATCAGATTTTTCTCAGGGGGCTCTGGTCATTTAAAATGAAACACTTAACGACTTCTTTTGGTCTAAGCAGGTAAGAAAATCTGCAACTGTTTACATTTGATCTCCTGTGAATCCTTTACAAGACACACCAGGGTGCCTTCCCCAGTGGTGCCCATCCCTGGAGTGGGTCAGGTAGGGCAGGGGGTCCAGAGCACCTGGGGGCTAGAGGAGGATGATGAAGGTGAAGAGGAGGAAAATGATAACAGTGGTGAAGAGCAGGATGAAAAAGTGACGAGGATGGAAGAAGAAAAGTTGGAGAGCAGAGAAGGTAATTTCTGATAAGAAAGTGAGACAGGAATAGAGGATCAACACACTGAAGTTTAGCAAAAAGGGATAGAGTTATCTGTAAATGTTACGTGACGTTAATGAGAGCATGTTTGATTTGAAAATATTTAGATTTTAAATGACATCTTTAACTATGATTATTTTGTTTTTAGGGGATGTGGTTGAGATATCTGACAGCGAAGAGGAGGAAGTGGTCATACTTAATCCAGAGAAAGTGTCAAAGTAGGTTAACTCTTTGTCTTTTTGTGTCTACAGAATGAGCCAAGCTATGCACACTCAGAAGTGGTCACAGTTTTTAACTGCATCTTTGCTTTGCTTTCAGAAATACAGGATATACTTCCCATCACAAGGGGGCAGCAGCAACACAGAAAAGAAAGAGAAAATGAAAGGCCAATTTCCCTCCATGGTTAAAGATCTATCTTCATGTCAACAACAGAGCCGGATATGGCAGCAGCTCTTTACAGCAGACCTCTGTATGGATAGGGGCTGAGGGTCATTACAGAGGCAAACACATCCAGGAGTTGAACTGTTAATATGAGAAAACATTGTTAACTTCTTATTTTTAGTCATTTTGATTGATTTATAAGCAGGCCTTGTGTGTACAAATGTTAAGATAATGTTTGGTATTCATAATAAAATGTGAAAAGCTCGTTTAAGTTATGACCAAGGAAATTCTCAACCACTGGTGTGTGTGTGTGTGTGTGTGTGTGTGTGTGTGTGTGTGTGTGTGTGTGTGTGTGTGTGTGTGCGCGCGCGCGCGCGCGCCTGCGTGTGTGGGGAGATAGAGAGAAAGAGCGAGCGAGAGAGAGAGAGAGATGTGGACATTGCACATTGCTATAGCCAAAACTGCTGCTCCTTCCCATCGTGTCCTCCTGTTACCCCTCCTCCTCCTTCTTAAAAAACTTGTAAAAATCTGTTTTGTTGTATTTTCTTACCTCTACGTTTTAAAGGCAACCGTTTTACTGAAAAGAAAGTACAAGAGAGCAGAGCCTACTATTTGTATTAATTTTAGAGTTTCGAACTTGTGGCTAAAATGGCGTAGTACATTCATGCTATTCCTCACTCAATAACTTTTCATGCTATAAACCAGCGATGCAGATGTGCATGACCAACATAGCCTCCAATGTTAAAAAGACAATCTTTCAGAAAGAGACTTTCTTAGAAGTAAAACCTCAGGTTCCACCGAGATTTGAACTCGGATCGCTGGATTCAGAGTCCAGAGTGCTAACCATTACACCATGGAACCACTGCGTTGGTCTCCGGCTGATATTTCAACCAACTAGCTACGAAAATGACCAGCATACTTCACCGTAAAATGCAGTTTCTGGTGAAAACCTTCATTGTTTTTTAACTTTATTGCGGGACAACTAAAGTGTGGAGCAGAACTTGTTACTAAGAAGAAATCGTCCCAATTTAACGACTCAAACTTCGATTCGTGTTGACAGAGAAAGCTCACATACGGCATTTCACTGACGGACAGATTACAGTGTGGAGTGATCACATTTACGTTGAACTCAGACTTTTGCACACAGGGGGAAAATGTTGCTGGCCCGTACGGGGATCGAACCCGCGACCTTGGCGTTATTAGCACCACGCTCTAACCAACTGAGCTAACCGGCCATGTTTTCAACGGAAAATCTATATGGTTTAGTTCCCAGGTCCATATACATTTTTCAAATGAAGTCCTCCATGATTTATTGAAGATTTAACTGAAAAAGGTATTTAAACGAAACTTAATATAATAACGATAATAATCATGTAAATAATAATATAATAACGGTAATAATAATAAACAATACAATTCAGCTGGTTGTGGATAAGGCTACAACAACCTTTGTAGTGTGACCTATTTATGTTTTTTAAGTCGTTTCGTTTTTCCTTTTCTTTGAACCGAGCTAATTCCTACCGCTAAGTGCAGATCCGTCGATAAAGCATAAAACGTTGTGCTAATTACACTTGAGCAGTTAAGCTAAACGTCCTAGCGGTATACTTAATAAACTTCGGTGAACATTATCTCTTGTTATTCACGTAGGGAAAACCCCACCACTGCCACTACTGAAACCGAGTGCGAGGGCGCTTTACCGGGTGAGTAATAAAATAAAGAAGAATACAAGCGGCAGTGTTCAGTGCTGACAGCAGCGTCCACTCTTGATTTTCTTTCTTCCCATACGTCACCTCCGACCCGGTAATAACAACGCTACTTCCGGTATTTCTTCACAATAAAGCTCGGCACATCCTGTGTTATGAACCGTGCCTGCCTCAGCTCCACTGAGAGCTGCTACAACAAAAATAGGTTACAGTAGCAAGGCTCTCAAGTTTTGAACTAAGCTTAGAGTGAGATTTCCTTGGGGGGGGGGGGGGGGGGGGGGCGGAGTATAAGGGGCACAATTAGAAAAAAAACGTTATTAAATCTTAAAGAATAAAGTTATTATGTGGGAGAATAAAGTCATTAATATCAGTATTAAGTCGTTTAATCTGAATTAAGTGACAAATTGATGAGAAACAACTATGAAACTGATAAGATAAGAACTTTATTGATCCCTGAAAAGAAATTCAATAAAATGATAAAACTGTAGATAAATCACTGCATAAAAAGATAAAACACATGTAAAAACAAAACAATCAAGACATTGACAATGTAGAAAAATACAAAAATATACATGTGTGCAGTAGGACAAACAAAGGTAATTCATATTTTCTCACTCCATCATGTTACCACTAATGAGCTACAATGGCTTTGTAGGTGTCTTCTTTTAATTTATTTTATAAACTGATGTATCATTATCAGCAAAAGCATACTGAGTAATGCCAAATCATCCACATTTTCTAACATCTTTTCACTCAAAATGACTTAAGTCTTAAGAAGCTGAATGAATTCTAACTAGAGTTCAACCCTTTAACAAAGCACCTTCACAAACACCTTTAGCCTACATTTTTGCATATTTCAATATATGCTTTCTTTGTTTCTTGAACTCCTTTTATTTGATTAGTGTGTAAAATTTAAAAATGACTTTACCTGGACTGTAGCTGTTTGCAACCCTCTACCTCACCCCACACCTCTCAATATGAAAAGGAAGACAGTAGCAGACACGGCTGTATACCAGATTCTCTTTGGAGTGCTTTGTGCATCACAAACTGGCCTGTGAGGTTGAAGTTAGCTTATATTCTTTAGTAGTAGATTTAACTGTTCCAATAAGCCTCTTACTCATTCTCCTTGTGAGCTTTCATCCTATTGTTGCTCATGCTTAGCAGTGAAATGACTCCAAGTTCTGTCAGTCTGGTTCTGGCTTCTCCTTCCCAGCCTTTATTGGCCTTTGGGTTTCTGGGTGATGGATGCATGATGCTTTCTACTCGCACACTGACACCTGCAGCAGTCAAGGCTCGCCGGGCTCTCTGCTCAGCCACCCTTCCAACTCCAATCACCATGGAAACACCCAGCGCCTCCACTACCTTGCACAGTGTAATGTCACACAGGGCCAGGAGCTTCTCCCGCTCACCCACAGGCAGTTCAGGGGGTGTTAGGTTTTTCCCGCTGGCACTCATAAAAATGAGTGGGCATAAGTTGTGCACAAAGCAGTGTTTGAAAAACTTTTCTGGTTCTCCACAAAGTTTCTTGAAAAAACCCCAGAAACGAGCACCACTCACTTCACTCTGAGTGCAAGCGAGTCCTCTGATCTGCCGCTTTGGATGCTCATTAGGAGGATGACCCACTTCCCCGGTGATCTTCAGCCAATCAACAACAGACCTGACTTCACCAAAGGTAACCTGTGGATAGAAAGGTTTTTACAACTTTAAGTGTGGACACTCAAACAAAAATAAGACAGAACAGTATCGAGCAGGAACTTTTGACATATTGTGATGTTGCATGTTGAGGGTGTTGTTGAATGGCTGTGTGGAGTATGTGTTGGGGAGAGTGGGGTAAGATGAGCCATTTTTCATATTTCCGATCACTACATCTAGGCAATCATAGTTTTGTCTCTAACTAGTGTATCTAGTTAGAGACAAAACATTTCACAGCTTCAGCTCCTACAAAATTCAGCTGCACGCATGCTGACGAAGACCAGGAAGAGAGCCCACATCACACTAATTTTAAAATCTCTGCATTGGCTACCTGTGTCTTTTAGAGTAATAATAACCACTATTATGACTTTATTAGTCCTCTAAGCTAAAATGGTGGACTTTTATGCTAGGGTTTTTGATCTCATGTTGTAGCTCATAGATACCACAATTGATGTATAAAACAAATTTAAAATGATCTTTTTTTTGGTCTGAACCATAGATTGTATATAGAATGGACGCCGTCTGCCTCCTTGCTGGGTGATGCCACTCCAAGAACAGTACCCTCTGTTGACGGGCTGCAGTACAGGTCATAAATCCCGCCTCCGCCAGCAAAGCTAATGGAGCTGTGGACAAACTTTAGAAATTTATTACACAGAATATAAATTTTTCTCCCCCCTGCTTGTGATGTTGACATGTAGTTATAGTAAGACTGGTTTGTGCTCAAGTCCTCTTTTTTCTGTGAAGCTCTGTTTTTAAAAGTTATTAGGGGGTTCATGTTTTCTATGATTGACACCTGATACAGCCTATGGGCATTCAGGGATTGTGTAGCTCTCCTGGGGGATACGCTGTTTGAGCCGAGCATCATCACAGCGATACGCGCATTTGACGACTGCGCGGCCGAATGCGCGTATCGATACTGCGCGATTAGTACTTGAGCCAAGAACCAAAATTTCACATATCGGTACCACCTGGGTGGGCAAATTCTAGTTGTGATTTTTTTATTGCTATACATCCCTACAATAAGTTTTTATATGATAGACCTTGGTAACTGGTAGCTTTATTGTAGTTATCACTCATTGAAGTAATAGAGTGCAGCTGTTCAAAAATGAAAAATCGCCTTCCTTCAAAATGAGCTTTCTTTCATTTTAACCTCTCATTTAGGTGTGTTTGAACTATTGGCTAGCCATAGAGACTTGTAATAACCCCCTAAGTAGTATTTCAAGTAATTTATCTAATACAGGTGTGTATATATAAGCTTCAATTAGCCAATTGTCAGGTCTAAATCAAGGTCTAAATTAAGGATATTTTTTGAGATAGAAGTAGAAGTAAAGTAAATGCAGACTAATAGCATTAGAATAACACAACTTTAATATGACACTGACATATTTTCAATGCAGGCACTCATACAATCATCCTGGCTGGTGCAGGGCAAGAAGACATTAGCAACAAAATAAGATCTACTGATGTATACACTCTATACAATCATCTGAGAAAAACTCCATTCCTCCACCAAGAACTTGATGAGACTGGCTTTGTTGGCAGGGCTGCAGAGAAGTTTCCTCCACTGCTGAATATTGTGGCCAGAAACAATGTTTCTGAACTGGATCCCCATGTCTGCACCTCTGTTAAGTCTTTCTGAATTTTTGATTGACATGTCCTTGTAAACGTCAAAGACAACATAAATCTTTTCACTATCACCACCTTCATGCAGGACCTTGGCTAAAGTTGAGTCCAGCCAGCTTCCACCATGTCAGGATTACGTATTAATGCAACCAATTCGTGCCAACTACCAGGCTGCTATCTGGAGACGGTCTCTTCATACCAAGCCATCTGGACCAAGCCCCAAGGACCATGGGTGGACCATAAATGACGAAGGGCAGCTGGAAATACAGTGGATGCGTGGTTCCCCAGCACCAGATGCGGTCTTGCAGTTGCTATCCTGCAAGTGTGTGAGGACATGCAAACCACCAGACTGCACGTGTCTCAGCAATGGGCTGAAATGCACAAACCTGTGCAAATTACAAACTTGTGCCAACCAATACAGTGAGGAAGAGCCCCTTGCACACCGGCAGATTCAGATGTAGAAGAAGATACAGATACTGATGTCGATTACTGATGTTGATTAATAAATGATGACCAAAGGGAGCTATGTTAACACACCCACTGTGACTCAGTGACAGTATTATGTACTAAGCCAAAACTTGACAGTCATATTTGCTGTCACTGTTCCTTATGGAAAGAATAGGACTTTGAATAGGAATTGGAGTTTTTCTCAGATGATTGTATAGAGTGTATACATCAGTAGATCTTATATTGTTGCTAATGTCTTCTTGCCCTGCACCAGCCAGGATGATTGTATGAGTGCCTGCATTGAAAATATGTCAGTGTCAAATTAAAGTTGTGTTATTCTAATGCTATTAGTCTGCATTTACTTCTACTTCTATGTCAAAAAATATCCTTAATTTAGACCTTGATTTAGACCTGACAATTGGCTAATTGAAGCATATATATACACACCTGTATTAGATAAATTACTTGAAATACTACTTAGGGGGTTATTACAAGTCTCTATGGCTAGCCAATAGTTCAAACACACCTAAATGAGAGGTTAAAATGAAAGAAAGCTCATTTTGAAGGAAGGCGATTTTTCATTTTTGAACAGCTGCACTCTATTACTTCAATGAGTGATAACTACAATAAAGCTACCAGTTACCAAGGTCTATCATATAAAAACTTATTGTAGGGATGTATAGCAATAAAAAAATCACAACTAGAATTTGCCCACCCAGGTGGTACCGATATGTGAAATTTTGGTTCTTGGCTCAAGTGCTATGATACCTGAAAGAACTGCTCCACCATCAAATTGGGCCACTCCCACTTCATCAACTCATTTAATTAGACACAGGTTTGATTCACTTATAGAACACAGCAGTGTGACCCAAATAGAGTATGACTTTTAATGTGCTTTTGACTTTCTGTGTTGCTTTTGGAGTTAACAAAAATTCGCCTATTGAGGAAAATAACAAAATGAGAAAAAATATAAAAAGCTACCCCTATGAAAAGTCTATCATATTTTAATTTACTTATATTGACCCTAAAAACAATTTAGTATATGTAAGGTTTTGCCCACCCAAGTGGTACCGACATCTGGTCCGGCTCAAGGACTAAATGTTGGTTTCAGGAAATGAAGAAAAATCCCAGAAATACAGAGCGCTTTTCGGCTTGAAATCCTTATACAGGCAGGAGGCGGAACCAAGTTGTCCATAGTATATACAGTCCATAGTCGGAACACAATTCTTATAAAATTTACGACAGACTAAATTCACTTTCAATAGTGAAAAATGTTTCTTTTTTTTTTTTTTTTTTAGAAATAAATGTCTAAGCCCTTCACCCATGTGCTTCTAACCCTCACAGACTCCATGAATTGATGCCCATCTCCTAAATATTTGGTCAGATGATCAATTTCTTTTACCATTTTCAAACAACAGGGGGCGGCAAAATTTACAGAAGAAGAAGAACTTTCAGGAAGTTTGAAAAGAAGCAAGCCGTCCGCATTCATTCAATCTCACCTCCGACCCACTCAAACTAACCTTAACCCTGCATTCCATTGTTTCCATCATGGGAAATCTAAGTGATGCTCTCAAATTAACAGGAACATTGCGCAAAAGATATGTCCTGGGCAATGGACTGAGAAAACGGGCAGAGATTTAGAGGTATTTGTGCATGCTCTATATTACAGTTGAAAAGTGTATAACAGCTTTCCAATGCTGTTACTTGTGACGAACACCTTTTTGCTTGAGTTGACGCGTGCCCGCAGGTGGAATAATGTCACATGTCACACCGTCCATATTTTCTGTTGTTTTGATTTTTTTACTCATTCATCATTTTATGTAAGACAAAGACACAAGACCACTTCACACGGTCAAAAAACTGTTCGGCTTCCCAGGTGTGCGCACCTGTCCTAATCAACCCACCCATTAAATAGACAGGCACAATAGCACCATCTGCTGGCACAAAAAATACATAACAATAAACTGCAAAACCCCAATCTGGCTCCTACAAAGTGTATGTGACAAGATGATTAACGTTTGCTTTTGTTAAATCAGGGCTTCCCCAGCCAGGACTTCGGCTCAGACTGTGGCATATTCATGTTGATGGTAGGTCATAACGAGCTGTAATGCACAAATATTGTATCTAGAATAACTTTCCAACATGGACTTTTTTAAAGTTATCTCATATGTTGTCTCATAATTTTTTTTTTAAGTCTGCCATGTACATCGTTATGGAGTCACAGTTTGACTACTCAGTTGTAAGTACTTTTCAACACGCAGTGTCATCCTCAAGGTTGTATTTTGTATTGTGCACTAAAATGAAATACAAACAACAATTTCAGCATGACATGCCTGTTTTGCGGCGATGGTGGTGCCTGTTGCTCCTGGAGAACAATTCTTTGAACAGGTAGACAGTTTAAGTAGACTAGATGCCCTAATTAACTGGAAGACAATCAATATATTGTACTTAAAGATATATTGTCATTACAGTTGTGGGAAAATCTTCGCCCACTGGACCAAAGAATGTCAAGAGCTCATTGCTGGAAAGCATACTCCGGTCTTCAGTCTAAAGAGGAAGGCAGAGCAGCAGGACATAGAGGTTAGAAAATTGCCTTCTAAAAACAATATTATCTCAGTGGGAGTCCTTCAAAATGCACACAGTTGTATGGATCAACATTGTCTCGATGTATTTGGTAATTGATGTTACTTTTCAAATGGCCTTGTCAAGGAAACCATGACGCAGACGGCATCGGATGTCCAAAGAATGTGCATGGCAGATTCAATGCAATTCTGTGTCTACCAGACATCGAACAACACAGGAGAGAGGTGTGTTGCAGACTCAATTTAATAAATGCAATTATCGGGGCCTATTCAGTGATTTTCCATGAAGTGACCACTTTTACATATAGTTTAAATGCACGAATCATGCAGGAAAACTATTTATACATTCAAATGTGCTGTAGAGGTATAATCAATTGGACAGCGTGTTTGTTTAATATTATGTTTGTCTCTCATTTGATCAGATTGCTTTACCCTGAGGTAAAATTGATAAAATGGGTCCAGTGCAAGACGTGCAGGGGCTGGCTGCATCAGGATTGTGCCGGGATTGACATGGAGCCGTTTGACTGCGGCTGCGAGGACTCCATTGAGCATCCTCGGTATAACATAATTTATCAAGGAAACATAGTATCAGTCAAAAATACGAGGCTCAAAGGATGAAAAAATGAGGGCTTGCTCTTTTTCTTATTTCTCTGCAGGATCAAGGATGCTGTTGACAGTGGAGGAATTGATGCTGTCTTTTCTAAGACACAGATCAAGGTTGCTTTTGAATGCACTATCAGTTGTTAAAGCCACCGTTTCTTTTTCAGATGATTACATTTTTGTCTCTTGCTCTTTGGTTTCAGACATTACACAATGATCTACTGTCTGGAAAGATCCGCTCCAACAGAATGTTTCTTTGGAGGAATCCCGCCACCTCACTCCGGCTAAAGCAGCATCTTAAGATAAGGACACTAAATTGGAGTGAGCAGCGCGTAAGTAAAAATGCCATCCATCATGAGTATTTTTACTCTCAGAGGTGTTACATTTGAAAGCTGTTTACTTTCTGTGTTTTTCTTCAATAGATGTTCGAGCTCCTGCGGTTCATTGAGGAGGCAACAACCATTTCAGAAAAAATCAAAAGAGGCGAGATTCACCTGCTTGATTTTGTTTTTGATGTCATGCTCCCAGAGGTGAGTAGATCAAACTATATAGCTTGCTTTGAAAATTGATGATATTGTTAAGAGGTTGTTCTTATTCATTTGGAAAGCTCAAGAACAACAATTAACCCATACTGCATAACTTCAATTGTTCACATTATTTGACTGTTTTTCAGCTTTTGATCAAAGCACTTCAGGAGCATGGCATCACCCGGTTAAGAGCAGAGCAGATGATGGCCTGTGGCAACATATTTTAAGCCCCCCACCACACCGACGGCAACGCTCTAAATTATGTATATATTATATATTTTTTTACTGTTCACAATTTATTTTTTGGAAAACATTAAAGAAATCTTTGAAGCAGTTGTATGACAATTTCCCATTTCTTTACACAGTCTGTAATGATATCGCAATTCAATTGTTTTTGCTATATGGCTCTTCTGAACCTTAAACAGATCATGTGACTTGTGTCTCTACAATTATTGTGTACTTGGATTTTGCACAGTCAATCAATCCTGAAGAGGTTCACCAGGAAGCACACCATTTCATAAATTATGTCCCTGGTTACATAATGTTACTAAAGGATGGGGGGGGAAATATGTGCAGCAACATAAGCACTCTCATAAAACATAATTATGAACAACAGAAAATATGTGAGGGTCAGGGCAACATTGTTGACATTAAACGAGGTCCTAATAGATTCACAGTGGAGGATACATCACACACACACCTGCTAATAGGAGAAACAAGGTCACAGAGAAGGTAAGAAACATTCATGTGCTGTGTAATAAAGCTATTGGAGAGAGAAGTTAGAAAACACTCTTATATGATGTGTAACAAGACGTTAAAACAGTCCATACTTGTAGCAAACTCTTACATAAGAATTTGAGTAAGATGATAACTTCTATATACATTTATACCTATTCTGACAAATTATCAGAATATGAGGACATCAGTCTATATATACATATTACTGTAAACTTCAGAATTAAATCAGAACAAAACAGTAGTCATAATTAAGACATAAACGTTTTATTCTGCTTTATTTTTAGCTCAATAATAAATTCAATTCGATTCTTACGGAATGAACGGAGCGAAAAAAAAAAAAAAAAAAAGCTTACGGCGACTAAATCCGACTACTGGAAGTCCCTTCTGACAAAAAAAATTGATCATTGGAATAACCTTCCCACATGTTGTTTCTTTATTTAGCTGGACGAATTAATTCCGTTAGAAACGTACCGCATGGATGTGAACAAAAAACAAACTTTTGGCGAAATATTTCGGCGCCGGAAGTCCGCCAACGAGAAAGCCCATCCGCCGGAAGGTAATCCTTTTGGGTCCGCCAATCGGAGGTAGTGCAGAAGTTCATTGCAGAAATTCATTGCGGAAATTCATCTTTTGGGTCCGCCATCTTGCGCTGCAGTTGGGTCCCTCTCAGTTTATAAGTTACCATTGCGGTTTGTTTTTGTTTTGGTCCACTTCCGCTTACAAGAGACCAAGACTGCAGATCACATGGTTTGTTTGTCACCACAATATCAATGGTTATCAGCAGTTTTATACATGCAAAATGAAACATGGATTGTGTAAGAATGCTGTGCTCACCCCTGTCTGTGCCATCCCGAAAGGACCTGGATTCATGCCCAGGAACAGGATCGATTGTCCGCTCTGACAGTACCTCTCCACATAGCAGCGGTGAGTTTCCCAGGCGTACTCCAGAGGGTTGTAGATATAGCGGACGGGTTCTGTGAAGGACAGCCGGCTAAGAAGGACATTCAGCTCCAGTTCAGCCTGCAGAAACCTGGAGGAAGGGGTCAGACTGAGTCCTGCTTCTCCTCCCTGTTTAAAGCCCTGCAGCTGCTCAGACTTCAGCCCATCATAAAAAAGAAAAAAAGAAAAAGAAAGCCCCTCCGTCTGATAAATTTCACCTATCAACTGCTTCATTGAGGAAAAAACAATAACGCTAATAACCAACCAGTGTGATCTCTTCTTCTGCTCATTTTAGTGACTCTGCTCCCCCTACAGGCTCACTGGTGCTACTACAGCAAAGAACAACACTAATCCGAGACACCAATGTACCGCCTAAATTCAGCCTTAAATGGTTGATATCGTGAAACTAGAAGCGAGGCCTCTGCACTCTGTGGCAAGCTGGACACCCTGGAGATAGCTTTCATGGCACACTTTTGGGATACAATTCTGCAGCGGTTCCGAGCCACGAGCCTGCAGTTGCAGAAACATGACATTGACATACACACAGCTACATAGCTTCTCCTTTCACTTCGTGACTTTGTGGCAGCTTAACTGTTACCGACTCACTCTCCCAAGACTACAGACATGACCTCCAGCGCACAAAGAAGAGCAAATGTATGGCTGATGAAAGTGCAGAGCCAGGTGTTGAATTTAGTGGAAAAGAAAAGTTTCGGATTGAAACGTTCAATGTTCTATTTGAAAAACTTGTGCCCTGTCTTAACCATCGGTTAACGGCATACACACACTTGACCAATCTTTTTCATGTTCTTTTCATGTCTGATAATCTGTCCAACAGTGAGCTCACTTTAAGGGCAGAATCTCTTGGTGCAGCATATCCCACTGATCTGACCTGACCCACTGATCAGCTTGGCAGATGAACTTGTTCAGTACAAATCATTCATTTCAGAAGAACAAAAATGCTTTCCAAAATGTTAACATAGCATTCAGACTGTTTTTGACCCTGCCAATAACAAACTGTGAAGGGGAACCGTCATTCTCTAGACTGGCTCGAATAAAAAATGAGCTCAGGATGAAAATGTGCCAAAATGGGTTGAATTCACTATCCCTTCTTGCAATAGAATCAGAGTTTGTTTGACAGCTCAACTTTGATTAGTTAGTGGACGACTTTGCAAGAAGGAAGAGCCGAAAGAAACTTTTATAGAATCCTTAGGTACGGTAGGTTGGTGCGGGGGTGGGGGGTGGGGGTGGGGTTCGGAGTGTTGGGGGGGAGTTTGGACCCCTCTCGGACCCCTCAGACCCCCATAATCCGGCCCTGCCCCCACCTGTATTCAACCGACACCTGCAATGTCTGTCATGGTAGCAATAACTCGCATGCTATATAACGTGTAGTCAGACGGAGCCGATAAACTCCATAGCTTGCTCGCATGTTTATTCAACAACAACAACAGAGGACATCCCGTCACTTGTAATAACAGTTCCCCACCTAGTGGTAGCTTAGGGAAACACAGGGCAACATCACAACAGCTCTCACAACACATCCTCCCTTCTGAGTAGGCTGCATACAATAGGCCATAACATAATAGAACACCTCAGAAGTTCACCAGTTGTGTTGCAGATTATCCTTAGCCCATTCTTTTGTTAGTCACTCCAAGTAACTTCAAAATAAATCAAAATATTCCAAACTTTTCAACAACACCATTGTATCACACTCACTTATCTTTCCTTTCTTTCCCTAACTATGAAGGTGGGGTGGACTACCCATTCCTTCATCTGAGTGAGGGGATTATTCTGCACCGGGCTGGTCACTCAGAGTTACGAGAGTACCTTCTATCTGATTCAAAGTCCATAAGGTACCTTGGAGGGTTTCTCTCTCTGGTAGGGTAACGCCTCTCCATCGCTTGGACCCTCGGCGGTGTAGTGTTGGGCCTCACCATAACCTGGTCTCTTGGATCGTGGACCGGTGCGATGTCCGCTGGCGAAGCAGGGGTCTGTGGGGCTTTAGGTCCAGCGCCGGCCCCAGGCAAGGTGACGAGATGACTTCAGTTGCGCCGCAGATTCCCTCTGGAGCGTGTCAATGATGTAGGAGCGTGTTGTGTCAGCTCCAGCTGTCACTGTCCCCTTCTCCTTCATATCGGTGACCCAGACACGGTCACCAGGGTTCAGGCTGGCCATGTTGCGGGCCCTGTGTCTGTCATTGAACCATTTCTGCTGTTTCTCTCTCTCCCTCTGTTCTTTCTTTCTCAGGGCTTTGACATTTGGCCATTTTGGGTTCAGACAAGATGGGAGAACTGGAACTGTGGTACGTAGCTTTCTCCCCATCAGCAAGCGGCAAGCGGAGTGGCTCGATATGTCATGAGGGCCATGTATGGGTCAGCGCATATTTTCAGGAGGTCCTTCACAGTTCTTACTGCTTTTTCAGCCTCCCCATTGCATTGCGGATATCTGGGGCTGGAGGTAGTGTGAACAAAACCCCACTCTGAGGCGAACTGTCGGAAGAGGTCTGCACTGAATGTCAGCTGTTGTCACTCCGTACCTCCCGAGCAGTGCCATGACATGATGTTTTCTTTAGTTTTTTTTTTCTTCAGTTTATTTTTTTTCCTTTTTTTTGCCTGGCACCTCTGTCTGGATGAGCTACTCTTAGTCTGGTCCCTCCCCCAGGACCTGTTTGCCTTGGGTAACCTTTCAGAGGCATAAAGCCCTGACAACATAGCTCCTGGGATCATTGGGACACACAAACCCCGTTTTTCGGTGCAAAACACCCGGTTTAGGGTGTTTTTTTTTTTTTTTTTTCAGAAATAGTTCTTTTTATAGTTCTTTTTTATTTTTCTGCCTGTTTTATTTTTTTTTTCAGAAATACTGTTATGTTTCTTTTTTTTTAGTTTTTTTTTTTACAAATACTATTCTTTTACTTCTTTTTTTAGTTTTCTTTAGTTTTTTTTCTGCCTGTTTTAAGTTTTTTTTTTTTTAGTTTTTTTGTTATTTATATATATTCAAAGTGTTTTTTTTCAGAAATACTATTCTTTCTGTTTCTTTTATTTTGTTTATACTATCCTTTTTCTTTTTTTAAGTTTTCTGTATTTTTTTTCTGCCTGTTTAAAGTTTTTTTTAGTTTTTTGGTTATATATATATTTAAAGTGTTTTTTTCAAATATACTTTTCTTTCTGATTTTTTTATTTTGTTTTTACTATTCTTTCTCTTTTTTTAGTCTTCTTTAGTTGTTTTTCTGCCTGTTCAAAGTTTATTTTAGTTTTTTTGTTATATATATATTTAAAGTGTTTTTTTTAAGATAAACTCTTCTTTTTGTTTTTTTATTTTGTTTATACTATTCTTTCTCTTATTTTAGTATTATTTATTTTTTTCTGCCTGTTTTAAGTATTTTTTAGTTTTTTGTTATATATATATATATATATGTATATATATATATATATATATATATATATATATATATATGTATGTATAGTGTTTTTTAGAAATACTTTTCTTTCTGTTTTTTTGTTTTTACTATTCTTTCTCTTTTTTTAGTATTATTTAGTTTCTTCTGCCTGTTTTAAGTCTTTTTATAGTTTTTTTTTTTAGTTTTTTTAAAGTTGTTTATTTTCAGAAATACTATTCTTTTGTCTTTTTTGTTTTCTTTAGTTTGTTTTCTTCAGTTTTTTTTTCCTATTTTTTTGCCTGGCACCTCTGTCTGGATGAGCTACTCTTAGTCTGGTCCCTCCCCCAGGACCTGTTTGCCTTGGGTAACCTTTCAGAGGCATAAAGCCCTGACAACATAGCTCCTGGGATCATTGGGACACACAAACCCCTCCACCACGGTAAGGTGGTAGCTCAAGGAGGGGAAAAAACCCTCACATGAGAGGGAAAAACCGCGAGGGTTTTTTTTTTCTGTGCAAAACACCCGGTTTAGGGTGTTTTTTTTTTTTTTCAGAAATACTTTTTTCTTTTAGTTTCCTATAGTTCTTTTTTTTATTTTTCTGCCTGTTTTAAGTTTTTTTCTTCAGAAATACTATTATGTATCTTTTTTTTATTATTATTATTTTTTTAAATTTCCTGCCTATTTTAAGGGTTTTTTATGTTTAAGTTTTCTTTATTTTTTTTCAGTTTTCTGCCAGCTTTAAGGGTGTTTTAAAATTTAAATGTAATTTAAATTTTTTAAAAATATTTATTGATTTGTGTTTTTGTTTTTTATTTGTTTGTGTTTTTTTTTTTTAGAGAAAACTTAGGTTTTCTTTGTTTAGTTTTTTTTTTCCAGTTTTCTGCCTCTTTGAGGGGTTTTTTGTATAGTTTTTTTTTCAGTTTTCTGCCATTTTTAATGGTGTTTATATATATACTTCAATATCCACATTGACAACACCAACCTGACCCTCACCAGAGACTTTTCATCATGCCTGGACAGTTTTAGACTCCATCAATTCATCAACTTCCCGACACACACTAAAAGACACACTCTGGATCTACTCTGCTGCTCTGGCCTCATCCTATCCAACTGCACAGCCGATGATCTCCATTTTTTTGTTTTTTTTTAAAGTTTTTTTTTAGAAATACTATTCTTTTTCTTCTTTTTTAGTTTTCTGTAGTTTTTTCCTGTTTTAAGTTGTTTTTTAGTTTTTTTGTTATACATATATTTAAAGTGTTTTTTTCAGATAAACTTTTCTTTCTGTTTCTTTTAATTTTGTTTATACTATCCTTTTTCTTTTTTTAAGTTTTCTTTATTTTTTTCTGCCTGTTTAAAGTTTTTTTTAGTTTTTTTTTGTTATATATATATATTTAAAGTGTTTTATTTCCAGAAATACTCTTCTTTCTGGGTTTTTTTATTTTGTTTATACTATCCTTTCTCTTTTTTTTAGTTTTCTTTATTTTTTTCTGCCTGTTTTAAGTTTTTTTTTGTTTTTTTTTTATATATATATATATATATATATATATACATATATATATATACATATACACTCACCGGCCACTTTATTAGGTACACCTGTCCAACTGCTCGTTAACACTTAATTTCTAATCAGCCAATCACATGGCGGCAACTTAGTGCATTGAGGCATGTAGACATGGTCAAGACAATCTCCTGCAGTTCAAACCGAGCATCAGTATGGGGAAGAAAGGTGATTTGAGTGACTTTGAACGTGGCATGGTTGTTGGTGCCAGAAGGGCTGGTCTGAGTATTTCAGAAACTACTGATCTACTGGGATTTTCACGCACAACCATCTCTAGGGTTTACAGAGAATGGTCCGAAAAAGAAAAAATATCCAGTGAGCGGCAGTTCTGTGGGCGGAAATGCCTTGTTGATGCCAGAGGTCAGAGGAGAATGGCCAGACTGGTTCGAGCTGATAGAAAGGCAACAGTGACTCAAATAACCACCCGTTACAACCAAGGTAGGCAGAAGAGCATCTCTGAACGCACAGTACGTCGAACTTTGAGGCAGATGGGCTACAGCAGCAGAAGACCACACCGGGTGCCACT